TATCTAGAAGACTATCAGTCCCATTCAATATCTTCTATCTAGAAGACTATTAGTCCCATTCAATATCTTCTATCTAGAAGACTATCAGTCCCATTCAACCATTCAATATCTTCTATCTAGAAGACTATTAGTCCCATTCAATATCTTCTATCTAGAAGACTATTAGTCCCATTCAATATCTTCTATCTAGTAGACTATTAGTCCCATTCAATATCTTCTATCTAGAAGACTATTAGTCCCATTCAATATCTTCTATCTAGAAGACTATCAGTCCCATTTAATATCTTCTATCTAGAAGACTATTAGTCCCATTCAATATCTTCTATCTAGAAGACTATCAGTCCCATTCAATATCTTCTATCTAGTAGACTATTAGTCCCATTCAATATCTTCTATCTAGAAGACTATTAGTCCCATTCAATATCTTCTATCTAGAAGACTATTAGTCCCATTTAATATCTTCTATCTAGAAGACTATCAGTCCCATTTAATATCTTCTATCTAGAAGACTATTAGTCCCATTCAATATCTTCTATCTAGAAGACTATTAGTCCCATTCAATATCTTCTATCTAGAAGACTATTAGTCCCATTCAATATCTTCTATCTAGAAGACTATCAGTCCCATTTAATATCTTCTATCTAGAAGACTATCAGTCCCATTCTATATCTTCTATCTAGAAGACTATCAGTCCCATTCAATATCTTCTATCTAGTAGACTATTAGTCCCATTCAATATCTTCTATCTAGTAGACTATTAGTCCCATTCAATATCTTCTATCTAGAAGACTATTAGTCCCATTCAATATCTTCTATCTAGAAGACTATCAGTCCCATTTAATATCTTCTATCTAGAAGACTATTAGTCCCATTTAATATCTTCTATCTAGAAGACTATCAGTCCCATTTAATATCTTCTATCTAGAAGACTATTAGTCCCATTCAATATCTTCTATCTAGAAGACTATCAGTCCCATTTAATATCTTCTATCTAGTAGACTATCAGTCCCATTCAATATCTTCTATCTAGAAGACTATTAGTCCCATTCAATATCTTCTATCTAGAAGACTATTAGTCCCATTCAATATCTTCTATCTAGAAGACTATCAGTCCCATTTAATATCTTCTATCTAGTAGACTATCAGTCCCATTCAATATCTTCTATCTAGAAGACTATTAGTCCCATTCAACCATTCAATATCTTCTATCTAGAAGACTATTAGTCCCATTCAATATCTTCTATCTAGAAGACTATTAGTCCCATTTAATATCTTCTATCTAGAAGACTATCAGTCCCATTCAATATCTTCTATCTAGTAGACTATTAGTCCCATTCAATATCTTCTATCTAGAAGACTATCAGTCCCATTTAATATCTTCTATCTAGAAGACTATTAGTCCCATTTAATATCTTCTATCTAGAAGACTATCAGTCCCATTTAATATCTTCTATCTAGAAGACTATTAGTCCCATTCAATATCTTCTATCTAGAAGACTATCAGTCCCATTTAATATCTTCTATCTAGAAGACTATTAGTCCCATTTAATATCTTCTATCTAGAAGACTATCAGTCCCATTTAATATCTTCTATCTAGAAGACTATTAGTCCCATTTAATATCTTCTATCTAGAAGACTATCAGTCCCATTTAATATCTTCTATCTAGAAGACTATTAGTCCCATTTAATATCTTCTATCTAGAAGACTATCAGTCCCATTCAATATCTTCTATCTAGAAGACTATTAGTCCCATTCAATATCTTCTATCTAGAAGACTATTAGTCCCATTCAATATCTTCTATCTAGAAGACTATTAGTCCCATTTAATATCTTCTATCTAGAAGACTATCAGTCCCATTTAATATCTTCTATCTAGAAGACTATCAGTCCCATTCAATATCTTCTATCTAGAAGACTATCAGTCCCATTCAACCATTCAATATCTTCTATCTAGAAGACTATTAGTCCCATTCAATATCTTCTATCTAGAAGACTATCAGTCCCATTTAATATCTTCTATCTAGAAGACTATCAGTCCCATTCAATATCTTCTATCTAGAAGACTATCAGTCCCATTCAACCATTCAATATCTTCTATCTAGAAGACTATTAGTCCCATTCAATATCTTCTATCTAGAAGACTATTAGTCCCATTCAATATCTTCTATCTAGAAGACTATCAGTCCCATTTAATATCTTCTATCTAGAAGACTATTAGTCCCATTTAATATCTTCTATCTAGAAGACTATCAGTCCCATTCAATATCTTCTATCTAGAAGACTATCAGTCCCATTCAATATCTTCTATCTAGAAGACTATCAGTCCCATTTAATATCTTCTATCTAGTAGACTATTAGTCCCATTCAATATCTTCTATCTAGAAGACTATCAGTCCCATTCAATATCTTCTATCTAGAAGACTATCAGTCCCATTCAACCATTCAATATCTTCTATCTAGAAGACTATTAGTCCCATTCAATATCTTCTATCTAGAAGACTATTAGTCCCATTTAATATCTTCTATCTAGAAGACTATCAGTCCCATTCAATATCTTCTATCTAGAAGACTATTAGTCCCATTCAATATCTTCTATCTAGAAGACTATTAGTCCCATTCAATATCTTCTATCTAGAAGACTATTAGTCCCATTCAATATCTTCTATCTAGAAGACTATCAGTCCCATTTAATATCTTCTATCTAGAAGACTATCAGTCCCATTCAATATCTTCTATCTAGAAGACTATCAGTCCCATTCAACCATTCAATATCTTCTATCTAGAAGACTATTAGTCCCATTCAATATCTTCTATCTAGAAGACTATTAGTCCCATTCAATATCTTCTATCTAGAAGACTATTAGTCCCATTCAATATCTTCTATCTAGAAGACTATCAGTCCCATTTAATATCTTCTATCTAGAAGACTATTAGTCCCATTTAATATCTTCTATCTAGAAGACTATCAGTCCCATTCAATATCTTCTATCTAGAAGACTATCAGTCCCATTCAATATCTTCTATCTAGAAGACTATCAGTCCCATTTAATATCTTCTATCTAGAAGACTATCAGTCCCATTCAATATCTTCTATCTAGAAGACTATTAGTCCCATTTAATATCTTCTATCTAGAAGACTATTAGTCCCATTCAATATCTTCTATCTAGAAGACTATCAGTCCCATTTAATATCTTCTATCTAGAAGACTATTAGTCCCATTTAATATCTTCTATCTAGAAGACTATCAGTCCCATTTAATATCTTCTATCTAGAAGACTATTAGTCCCATTTAATATCTTCTATCTAGAAGACTATCAGTCCCATTTAATATCTTCTATCTAGAAGACTATTAGTCCCATTCAATATCTTCTATCTAGAAGACTATTAGTCCCATTTAATATCTTCTATCTAGAAGACTATCAGTCCCATTTAATATCTTCTATCTAGAAGACTATTAGTCCCATTTAATATCTTCTATCTAGAAGACTATCAGTCCCATTCAATATCTTCTATCTAGAAGACTATCAGTCCCATTCAATATCTTCTATCTAGAAGACTATTAGTCCCATTCAATATCTTCTATCTAGAAGACTATTAGTCCCATTCAATATCTTCTATCTAGAAGACTATTAGTCCCATTCAATATCTTCTATCTAGAAGACTATCAGTCCCATTCAATATCTTCTATCTAGAAGACTATCAGTCCCATTCAACCATTCAATATCTTCTATCTAGTAGACTATTAGTCCCATTCAATATCTTCTATCTAGAAGACTATTAGTCCCATTTAATATCTTCTATCTAGAAGACTATTAGTCCCATTTAATATCTTCTATCTAGAAGACTATTAGTCCCATTTAATATCTTCTATCTAGAAGACTATTAGTCCCATTCAACCATTCAATATCTTCTATCTAGAAGACTATCAGTCCCATTCAACCATTCAATATCTTCTATCTAGAAGACTATTAGTCCCATTTAATATCTTCTATCTAGTAGACTATCAGTCCCATTCAATATCTTCTATCTAGAAGACTATCAGTCCCATTCAACCATTCAATATCTTCTATCTAGTAGACTATTAGTCCCATTCAATATCTTCTATCTAGAAGACTATCAGTCCCATTCAATATCTTCTATCTAGAAGACTATTAGTCCCATTCAATATCTTCTATCTAGAAGACTATTAGTCCCATTCAATATCTTCTATCTAGAAGACTATTAGTCCCATTTAATATCTTCTATCTAGAAGACTATCAGTCCCATTCAATATCTTCTATCTAGAAGACTATTAGTCCCATTTAATATCTTCTATCTAGTAGACTATTAGTCCCATTCAATATCTTCTATCTAGAAGACTATCAGTCCCATTCAATATCTTCTATCTAGAAGACTATCAGTCCCATTCAATATCTTCTATCTAGAAGACTATCAGTCCCATTCTTCTATCTAGTAATTGGATTGGTGACTTTTGGGTCTGGTTTGGTTGCATTATTTTATATTTTTGGATTTTGGCTCAATGCATTCTTAGAAACCTTGAGAGGTGGTTAATGTGAAGTAACAATTGTATGTTAAATATGGATTAGGAGGAACTTTCAATTATATGACATGCATGCCAAGTCATTGATTTTGTGTAGCTGTTTAGATTAATGGGCTTAAAAGAAGTCCTGCTGTAGCCATATTATGTTACTCTCTACATAACCATCAACCTTATAATGTAAGGCCATTCTAGGTTATGGAAATTTACTAAAAAGTTTTGATTTTCAGGCATAAACTTAAAAAAAATAAATTTGCATGCACTCATATTGTGCCCTCTATTTTCTCATTTCAGATGAAAAGCTGCAAGATCAAACTGTAGGACTTTGATGGTACTGATAAGTCGGGCTTTTTATCACCAGGACAGAATAATTTTATGTGCTGTGGGGACTTGTTAAACATAAGGTTTGATTAATAAAGAAGGTGGGTATATATAACTAGTAATAAGACTTTTATCTTACCTTGATGGGTTACTTTTATTGCTTGTTGTCACAGGATCAAACTGAAGAACTTTAAGAGCTGCTGGTAGTGTCTTGGGTGTGGGTATAACTTGTAATATGCTGGTTGGAGTATCTGGTAAAGTGACACCATCAAACTGAAGGACTTTAAGTGCAGCTGGCAGTGTCTTGGAGGTGGGTATAACTTGTAATAAGCTGGTTGGAGTATCTGGTAAAGTGACACCATCAAACTGAAGGACTTTAAGTGCAGCTGGTTGTTCAGGTCTTGCTGTTTCTTGTGGCAGCTTAGGAGTATTTGGTGCAGATTTGGATTTCTTTGGATGAAGCTGTGGATGAAAAAAAAAATTTAAAACAATGTATCAACATAAACTATCAATCCACAAACTGTTGTGCCATCAGCACAAATACACTATTCTTGACAAATAAATAACTCTGGACAACAAAATTGAAAATCGTCAAATGTATCCAATCCTCAGTCTACCACCATTCGTAATAATTAATAAAGTTTGAAGTTAATCATTCAAAGCACACTGGAATAATTGCACAACATAAAAAATTTCATTCTGCTTAAAGTCCCATAGCTCTGGAATGATAAAAGTAGAAATCATTAAAAGTATACAGACCCTGGCACAACTATTCTAAATAATTTGGTAATGTTGGAGGTAAATTGTTGAGTTAGTGTGCAAGACATTAATGCAGGATGGACCAATGGACAGACAGACTGACAACTGTAAACTATAATACTGTAAAAGGTAAGAGTTTCAGAAAAATATTGTAAAATCTTATCTTATCCCATTTACATAAATTTTCACTTTTTAAAAGCAGAATTATTAGTTTCTTTTAATTGTATCAAATTACCTGTTTAAAAAAAAAAAAATTATGAGTTATACTGATGTCCTAAATTACGATATAAATATTCAGTATTATTGTGACTGATAAATTGAAAATGAAAACCTGTCATATCATGCATAATGTGAAAATGCCGCTGCTTATGAAAATGAAAGTTTCTTGACATGACTTTACAATAATTTCAAATATTTGTGAGTTCTTATTAAATAATAAAATGGCATTTTCAGGTGGCTAATCAATTTGACTTGGTATGTTGGTTAATTCTGTTACCATACTTATTTAAAGAGTGACGGTTTCCTATTATGATTGTGTAACTAAGTTATAAAGTAAATTTCATGAAAATGCAGCAAATCTGCAATAGCTGCAATATACATATTTTGGATGAGTCAATTATTGGTACGTGAAGTGTCTGCAATATAATCTATATGCAAGAGTTACTTCATTATTTGTTTTTAAAGTAAAGATTACTTTATCAATAAAGTTTTTTTAACAGTAATATGATTTTCTTAAATACCAAGAACTTTAAATTCCACAGAGGTTTTGATCTGAACAATTGGTCTGGGTTGGAAGATTAACTTTTTCCATGACATGTACACATAAATATTTATTTGCATGTTTATGCTATTTAAGCAAAAGCACCGTCTGCAAAATATATCCCATGAAATCTTTTTCATTTCACAAGGTTTAAAGTCTTGCATAGTAATTCATGGCATAGCTACACAGCGTATATGTAATATTGTAGTCTAAAGCTGAGTGGGGAGATGAATCTCTTACGTTTCTAGAGATTCTTAAGCAGAAAATTTAAACAGCTCCAACTGAAAGGAGTAGGGGCAATAAGGCCCTCATTTGGCCCAAATAATACTGCAAATTTAAAAGTTATCATACATATTCTTAAATTTGTCCTAACTAGACTAAGGAAAAAGATATTTAGAAAATAGAAAACAATTTCACATTTAATGAGTTACCATGGCAACAAACCATGACGAAATTTGTATATTTTGTAAAATTTCTTGAATTTTCTTGTTTTCCATCAAATTTTAAGTATTTTTCAGACTGGCAAAGTATGTGCGCACCCAAGAAACAACTTTATATTTGGTGAGATTATGTCAATAGCTATAATAAAGCATCTCTTAAATTATTTTGTTGTTTCTTGGCTGCACACCATGTTTCCATAATTGAAATAAGGATGGAAAACTGCATAAATTCTGTATTTTTCATAGTTTTCATGAAAACAGTGCATATTATAACATAATTGTGATGTCGTTAGATAAAAAATTTTATGTTTTTCATTTATATTTCTTAACGCTAGGCATATCCAAACATTATGTGCCAAGTTGAAATAGTTGTCCAACATTTTATTTTCTTGGGCCAAAACTCCTTTATCTGATATCATCTATATTTCTACATTGTTTCTATAAAATTAATAAAATATCTTCCTTAGAAACAAAGTCTTCAGCTGTAGAATTAGAAATATCTAGTTATGGACTGAAAGGAAAATGTAACTAAAATTTTGTCTCTGTGCATATAGGCAAACAGAAAATAGAACATCTATAGAGCTCAAAAGTGTCACACAGTATGAAATTATCAGTTAATAACTTGGTGCTATATCTCAAGAAGCTATGACATTGTTGACATGTGAGAATAAATTGCTTCACCGAGCACAGCTGGATACGACCGCAGAGTTCCAACCGCAGAGGTCCAACCCTGAACAGTTGGGGCAAAAATGGACACAATATTCGCGCTTGAATTTCGATTGTAATTAAATATTTGACACATAATAGGTTTCTGACACAGAATAACTGTAGTCAAAGAACTTAAAATTGGTTATATGATTTGAATTTATATTCAATATTTTGCTTTTGTGCAATACACTTTGCTGTTGCGAATTGACCCCCCCTTCCCCCACAAGAAAAAAAAAAAAAATTACCCCCCCCCCCCCTTTTTTTTTTTGCTTTTGTGCTTTTGTGCAATACATGCTGTTGTGTATTGACCCCCCCCCCCCCCCACTTTTTATTTGCAAAAAAAAATCTGAAATCTGAAAAATGAGAAAAATTTAAAAATTGACCCCCCACAATTTCTTTTTACCCCCAATAATTTACGTTGTTTGGATTACCTCCCTTACACTGCTTTTAAATTGTCTTATGTAATTGTCTATTAACCAGGAAACCCTTGTTTTTCCCCTTTTTTGCCCCTAATTCCTAAACAGTTTGAGCCATAACCCCTCAAAGCAAATCCTAACCATCCCTTTGTGGTATAATTTCAGAGAGATCTATACACCATTCCACAAGTTATTGTCTGGAAACTAGAAAAATGCTTATTTGGGGCCTTTTTTGGCCCCTAATTCCTAAACTGTTAGGACCATAACCCCCAAAATCAATCCCAATCTTCCTTTTGTGGTTATAAACATTGTGTTTAAATTTCATAGATTTCTATTTAATTATACTAAAGTTATTGTCCGGAAACCAACTGTCTTCTGACGACGCTGTGGACGACATGATACCAATATACGAATATAAAAATGAGACTAAATTCAATAAATACGAATGGCATCTTAAAGATATAAGTTTAAGACAAACAATAGGTGAACCATTGTTCATGAAAACATGGACAGAGGTAAACCCATCTCAAATCAACTATAAACATTTTCAATTTCTACTTGATGATGTTTTTCCAAGGAAATACCACAAAACATCACATTATTTGAAATAACCTTAGTTTCACTAGCTGTTTTTTACAAGTGATTATCACTTTTTTTCATAAATTCCTGTGTCAAAAGGGGAGTATGAACTAGTACAGATTACAGGTTCGTGTTGCTTAGTCTTTAGTTTTCTATGTTGTGTCATCTGTATTATTATTTGTCTGTTTGTCTTTTTATTTTTGGCCATGGCGTTGTCAGTTTGTTTTCGATCTATGAGTTTGACTGTCCCTCTGGTATCTTTCGTCCCTCTTTTATACATGAACAATTACAGTATGTGACAGAGAATGAACTAAAATACATAATAAACTGTTGACACAGAGATATGTCTCGCCTGTCGGCATAAAATTCAGAAAAAAGACATTCTGATGGACAGCAACATGGTTTATTAATTCAGTCACTGGGTCATTATCTAGTGAGCAGGGCCTGAAAATAATCATCAAACTGATATGAACTGATAGTAATGCAACATTATACAAAATATCATTGATCATTCAAAAGTAGATCCTATCAAACTAACTTAAGCAGAAAACTTATCATTGAAAATTGCTAATAAATTCAAAGTCACTGGACCATGACCTAGGGGCAGGCTTCGAAATAGTCGTCAAACTGATATGAACTGATAGTAATGCAACATTATACAATATATCATTGATCTATCACAAGCAGATCCTACCAAACTAACTTAAGCAGAAGACTTAACATTGAAAATTGCTAATTCAAAGTCACTCTACCATGACCTAGGGGGCAAGGCCTGGAAATAGTTGTCAAACTGAAATGTACCGATAGTAATGCAGCTTTATATTAAATATCAATAATCTATCACAAGTAGTTCCTATCAAACTAACTTAAGAAGAAAACTTAACAATTGTTGATGCCGTCCTATGTCTTGCTGAGACGAAAGTTGCAGGCGAGACAAAAAGTACAAATAATAGCTTGTCCTTGGTATATCATAAGTTTAAACCAAGTCAGAAAATTGTGTTGACCAACAAATAGAGGGCATTTCTTTTTTGTATAAAGCTCTTTTTACAATTGAAATTATAGAAATTGTTTATCCAATCGAGAGAAAAAAAGAACATTTATTATAAAAAGACTAGTTTTAGATGGGACATTGCCAATTTGCTACCGTCTGATATATAAAGCTTTATACAAAGAGCTAATGCTGCCACCATATTAGAACCACTATATCTCACATTCTGCACCATTTGTTACAGAAGAGACAACAATTATTATAGTAGTCAATGGGTAAAATACATCTTATTACATAAAATGCATCAAGTTTAAGGAATAGATAAGAATAAATTTAAATATATTAATGTTTGACAGATAAATGTCTTGTATTCATGTGGATACTGATAGGTTTATAAATTTCTTACTAACTTAAAAAGGTGTTATCATATCTTCTTATTGTTTGGTTTAGAAAATAAAACCACATGAAAAAATAAGATGTAGTATTATTGCCAACAAGACTTGGTCAAATTTGTTAAAGGGGCACTAGCTGTCAAATTCATGTTCACCGATTTGACTCAAATTCTCATATTTGATTTATATCAATGTGAAACATTTATCCAAATTATAAAAAGTCTAAAATAAACAATATACTGGCTAGGGTTCGATAGTGTGTGGCTTCGTTTCGTGTGTATTTTAGTCTAGAAGCCATCTTATTAACTGTGGAGTTGACCTCCGAAGACCTCCGATTGCCATATAAGCGATATAAACATAAATATAGATATAAATAGATAGCAGACTCGTGCATTTGGATTTTTCTAGGTCTGTTTAATTTCATATTATAGATTAAAAATATATATTAATCAGTGTTCTCCCCAGGATTTTTGGACAGCACCAGGGTAACGCGTGTGGACAGCTTGGTGAAATGATTCATACAATCAGTTGTGTCCCGTTGCGTCGCTTAGCTATATTTCTAGTTACTGCAGTATGTCTCCTGTTTTGTTTTAACACTGTGGTACTGTGTTATGTAGACATTGAGTCAGAAAATTATTGGTAAAAAAAAAGTAAATAAAGAAACAGTTTGTATACTTTAATATTTTTTTTAAATAAATAAAACATGATTCATTACAAAATATTCATCTAAATTTAAAGTAATCAAATCTTTTACAAAATCCATGACCAATAAAAATAAAATATCATTCAAAGGAGACCAAAAATGTTCAATTTAAAAAAAAAATTATAGTTTCTAGAAAGAAAGTTGTTGTATGTGAAAGGATTCTTGTCATAAGGAGATATAAAATAACAAGAACAAATATTGATTTATTGTTTGAACCAGTTTCTATCTTAAATTTAAAAAAATTTTTTTTTTTCATAAATCTAAAAACATTTTGCCATAGATTTCATGTAAATATTAACCTTTCTTGTCTTTGGTGATAATCAAACATTGATACAGACGTAATACTGCACTGAAATCTAAATCTTTATTTGTCATGATCCATCTAAAAAGAATTCCTAAATCTATAAATTTATCTTAGGTCTATAAGTAACCATATTCAATGTCAACAACAAAGTCTCCCTATTTTCCCCGCCTAAATGACAGGAAGTAGATATAAATAGATTTAACATGTGCTTATGGATAAAATTTGCAAGATTACTTCTGTTATTCATTAATTGTGGATATAGATATCCAGCTTGAAGGTACAGTCATACATTTTATTTATTAAATAGAATAGATTGCAATTAATTGCAAATAAACTTTAATATTCTACGTGAACTAACTGGTCATGTGATATGTACATATGTCCGTCCCCTTCAGATACTATAGTTTGAAACCCTATATCATGCACTAACCACAGGGGTTTGTAACAATTTGCCGGGGTTTATTATCCATATGAACCCCGAAAAAAACACGGGGTTCGTATGGATGGTAAACCCGGCAAATTGTAACAAACCCCTGTGCTCTAGCTATGTCATAATTAAAGAACATTTTGGCCATGGTTTAATCAGACATATAAAACTATACTAATGAGCCAACTTTATTATGTACAAAAAATGATCAGGCGTGTGTGCAACTATCGGGTTCACACTGTTTGTGTATAAAGTATATTTGCAGACTTGTCACAGGTTAGCGCTTAGGTTGTGAGTGAAGCCATAAAATAGTTATCAGTGATCATGAAGTTATGAACTCTAATGTAACAAGTGTTAATTACATCGATTAAATCCAATCAACAAAGGTAAATCGATCACGTGGTGTCAACAATCTGGGTAAACTGGTTTGAACTGGTTAAATTTCACCTGTAATTTTATACTGCACAGAAAAGATTTAACAAATCGCTTAAAAGTTTACCGAATTATGATTTTTTTTACTGAAAATTTTACATCGCGGTAAGACCAATATCACCACGGTCAAAAATTATACATTGCGGGCCCGCGGTCCTTTAAGGGCCTGGGGAGAACACTGTTAATCATTGTTTTTACCTGTACAAGAATGACTTTTTGTGGATCAAATCAGTCAATCAAATGATTTACCTTTGTTTAACTTTCAATGTTGACATTCTTTTCCTTTAAATAATTGAACATGCACAATGCATGCAGTATCCATCTCTAGCTAAGGGGTTAAATTGAAGTTCACATGAATACAGATTCAATGAGGTCGAAATATTCACTTGCAAGTGAATAATTCCCTATTAATGTTTTTTAGCTTATTTTGACAAAATTGAACCATACTGGCTGCTAAAAGCGATATATTATTTCACTATTTCACTTTCATTAATGATTGAAAAAAAAACCATATTTTATATTTTTTATATATCTCGTAGCTAGTGCCCCTTGAAAAGTTGATGTATGCTATGTTTATATATATAAATTTCCTACCGTAACCAGTTTATTATAAACTACAGGTATGTTGACACTACTAGATCTCTGTATACTATAACAGCCTTCTAGTTCATCGTCATCGTGCAGCAAAATTATCTCCCTTATTTTCATTTCCTAAAGTGGAAAGTAACAGAAATAAGTTTTTCAGAAAACCTGCAACTGGCATGATACAAAATAAAAACACTGTTCCTTTAAAATATGGGTTTCCCAATCTTCCATGATAAGGTTTTATCATTTTAATCATTAAACCATTCAGCCTCTGAAGAAGGTCCATTAAAGTTCGAAACTGGTCAGGCTACATATTATATTCATATATTTTATTCTGGTTTCTTGTTTTATCATTTTTGATTGAAGAATTCATCTAATTCAGGTAATTCTGTAAAATCTGAGTATCTTATGAGATAATAATCATGTATCATAGGTTGTATCAAATTCTTAAATGCAATCACATGACATCTCGAAGAATTCCAATTTTATTATTAAGTATTTCAAGTAATTCCAAACAATCTAGCAAATGTATTCTATGCAGCTTTCTTGGTTTTTTGTATCATCCTTAATTATGGTGAGTCCTTATTTTCAACTGTCATCTTTCTCCCTGTGAGCTGAGATGGAACATTCCTCGATAGACTTACCTTACACCACCATTCTGGTAAAATGGAACAATCCTAACTTATGAAAACCTTACCTTACACCATACTGGTAAACATGAAGCATCCTGTCTCATTACTGGTTTAATTTCATTGACATCAAAAGGATCAGTAAATACAGGAAAATTGGGAATTTTCTTCGCTGTTTTAAATGTCTGAAATATATTGAAAATTTGTTATATTTATACATTTTTATTATTACAAAAATGAGTTAACATTATTAAGTACAACAGGGTTAAATATGTGCATTTAGAAAAGTCCATGTGATGTTTCTAAATTCAAACGTGTTTCAATCACACTGTGAAAAACTCTTTTCTATTAGAAATGCTGTCCCTTTCACTGCATGAAATTCAGATCATTATGTATATTACTGTCAGTCATAACTGAATATGTTGTCATTTAGGATTGCATAATTCTGTTAATCCTTCTAATCATAATAAAATACATAGTAATGATTCAAATTACCATGTCAATTGTACACTGCTCCAATGGGAACTAAAAACCTACTTTCTTGATTAAATTTGAATTTATTGAACTATATTACATATTACTTCTGTTTATTTCCCTTCCAATTTGATCAATATATATTTACATCAGTCACATTCAGTCTTTACAAATTGCAAAATAGAACTCAAACTTTGGACTTAAGGATTTTTCAGCCTGTTTGGCATTAAACAGATGCATGTTCAATGGAGGTAAGATCTGATTGTAAATTTTCCCGACAAGCGATGGGAAAATAGTTTGTGTTTTTTCCATTAAAAATCAGAAAAAATACCTTACCCTATGGAATTTCTAGTAAATATTCAAGTACAACCACAACTCTGAGCAAGATCATAAATGTATAGACTAACCACAGTTTGGTAGCAATTATGCCTTCATATGATTCTTAAAAATGTTTTATTGGTTTTTTCCTCCAATTTTTTATTTAAGTAATATAGGTGTCCATGTTTAAAGCAAATATGGTCATTAACTTTATTTGTAAGGAGAATCATGTATTATTCAATTTAACTCATCCGCCAGTTACCCATCTGCCAGATGATCTATCCGCCGGATAACCCATCTGCCAGAGATCTATCCGCCGGATAACCCATCCGCCAGATAACTCATCTGCCGGTTAACCCATCCGCCAGTTAACCCAACCGCTGGATAAAACACTGGATAACTGGGGATTAAATATCCGGTAACGGATAAACTGATCCATCAGAACCACCGGATATTATCCGTCGATGGATCACTATATAAGGAGACCAAAAACACAATTAAACCATTCAGCCTCTGAAGAAGGTCCATTAAAGGAATGAAACCGGTCGAGCTACATATTATCATCAGGCGCTGTTATTAAGTTGCAAAGGCATATATTTTCCTATATTTTATCATTTCTTAATAACAATTGTATCCATAACTGAAGGACAATGGTCATTAATCATAAATCTTACACATTCATTAATCCATGTATATCATAACTGATGGACAATGGTCATTAATCATAAATCTTACACATTCATTAATCCATGTATATCATAAAATGGATCAAAGTAGTTGACCACATCACCAATGAAGTGCATTTCATTTCCATTTTTTTTTAAATATCAGTTCCATAAAGAAAACAATAAAAGTATTGAAGTGTATTCACATTACCTCTCTATTCAATCTCAAAAGGAAAACTATAATTTTCTTGAAATACAATGACTTTTAAAATCACTGGAGATGTGTACAGAGAAGGTTAGCAAGACAATTGTAATATTTAAAATCACTGGAGATGTGTACAGAGAAGGTAAGCAAGACAATTGTAATATTCAGTAAAACAAAACATTATGTAAGCATAATAAGCAGATCCGGTGAAAATAAACAAACCTTAACTGGATTATCTGGAGTGTTTTTGGCTGTAAGATTTTTTATTCTAATTTTTATTTGATCTTCTGTTTTACATGGCAGCATAAATTTCTGAATCAATCGTCTGTGGTAGGGTAGATTTCTAAACTGTTCCAATCCTAATGCCAGTAAACTAGGAAAGGAAAATATTCATATTTTATACAATGAGAATAAACTGCATTTTTAAATCACAATCCAAACTTAATTAAAATAAATTTTTTTTTTTTAAAAGTGCAGTTATTTTTAAGGAGCAAAAAGGTGGTTTTTATATAGTATGAGATACCAAACACTATAAAATAGTGGAAACAACCTAATCTCTGCATTTCTAACAGTTACTACCGTATCCATAGATACCTTTTTTTTTTTAAAACTGAAGAATATGTTGCAAGATTAAGATTAGTAAGGGCTGTTCCAGATATAAACGCATGGGGAGATGGGAGGCACTGTTTTTTAGACCCCAACCACCCATAATATTAAAGTTTCCATTTAACATATAATTCTAACAAAATTCTAAAGAAAATGCAACTACCCACAATTTATAAATTTGAGTGCCTCCCACCCACATGCGTTTAAATCTGGAACAGCCCTCATTAATTATGTATATATTATTTAAATGAGTTCTGTCTGAATTCTCTAATACAAAATCCTTTCTATTCCTGTAAAACTTTGATGAATTTAATAGAACTCACTTGTCTTCAGCATCAGTAAAACAAACTCTTGGTGATTTAGAGAAGTCTCTGGAGATCAATAGATTTCCTAAAGGGAGATAATCAGGATAAATGAAGATGAGACTCCTCCAGAAAATCTCCCTCTGTTGTGTTGTTAAGTTTGGTAGATTACTCCTTGGTAACAATGATGAAGGTTCATTAAAATCTGAAAACAGAGATCAAACAAAAAACTGATGTAATGTGTGCTACTTTCTTATAAATTGACAAAATTTCTCTTAAAAATTGAATTAATTTCAAATCTACAAAGAGGCCAAACATTCTATTAACCAAGAGAAAAAGCAGATTCCCCATGGCAGGAAATTAACAAGATATGTCAGAAGAGGTTTTCTTAGGAGAAATTGAAACAACTTCTCCTTATCTGTTGTCATATCTCACATTAAGATGTGCTTGCAACCAGTTTAAGATTAAACATAGTTGAAAAAAAAATTCAAATTTTTTTTTCATCAATGAAATTCTTGAGATTTGGCTATTTTGAGGTTTTGAGGTCACTCTCTTATTATCATTTAAAGTTTTTAGATAACATGTTATTTTATCAAGTGATACAGACTGAACTTCATATCATTTCTAAACAGTGAACTCACTAGCCCCTTGTCCAAGCACACTGTAAATTAAATCTTTCTTTTTCTCTGACAACTGTTTATAATTCCTACATAACATGTTTTCTATGCCTTTTTCTGGAGAAACAGATTTGGAATTTTTCTCTATATTAGTCTTCCTGCTTCTTTTGCTTGGTGATAATTGTGTTTTCTTTGGTCTCATTCTATCTGAAATAAATGAATAACAGGCTATTATTTCAACTTGGAATTATTTTTAATTATGGGCTTATTAATTTCTTGGGCTTGAAATTTTTAATAAACTCCATGCTTATTCTGTATTTTAATGTTCTGTGCGGTGCACAACACTTTCTATTACAAAGAAGATAGCACATTTTCAATAGAATGTACTGTGCGGCGCACAACACTATCTATACAAAATACATTGTATAGAAAGTGTTATGCACTGCTCAAAAAAATATAATACAGAATAACCATGGAATTTATTAAAAATTTCAAGCACAAGAAATTATGCAAATTCCATAATTAAAAATAATTCCAAGTTGAAATAATAGCCTGTTGAATGTAAAAATTGTCTATTTAAATAAGTAAGGTAAAAATCTGAACCCTGCAACATGGCCTGAGAACACAGTTATTTCGTAGTGCATTTCTTTTAGACAATAAATTCAAATTAAAAAAATCGCACCTGCTCTATCTCAAAAAGATTTTTACAGTGTAGTGTACTACTATTGATACAAATAATATCAAAATTATAGAAACTTCTACCAGCTCTAACTCAAAATATTGACAATTCAGGTGTTAAGGGGGCTAAAATTCAGTTTGACAGCTTCAGACATTCTAATTTTTGACCTTTTTTAACTGGACCAAATCACTACTTAACATAAAGTTTCAGCACCCAAATTTTTTTAACATGTAATTTCATCCCCTTACTTAATATTTCATGCATAAAATATCAAGAAATAAATTGGGAAAGTGTATCAAAAAAAAATGCAAGTTATACACTGTTCACACTAGGGACTATATTCGTAGACAACGAAAACCAAAGGACGATAACTGTGTCCTTGGACCTAATAGGATAGAAAGACTTGACCAATTTTAATAAAACTTTGCATTACCTAAGCTTAGAAAATTATAAGATAGTTGGCCAAGTTTCATGGCCATAGGATATATATTATAGAAACTAGGGCCATTTTAATATTGAAATTTGGATGTTTATTTTTGACGTTTAAATCAAATATTTTCAACTGTTAAGATTTTGGCCTAAAAAATTTTAATATTGCAAAAATTTGCTTTTTAAATACTCTTGAATATAATATAACAAGTATTAAAAGCAATGGAACACTCATTTGATTTATCAGATTTATCACAGTTATTTAAAAGTCAAATTTATATGAGCCTGTGTCTGAAAATAGAGATTTTCGAATTAAGGGAAGCCTTACATAAACATGCATTTTTTTCAACCAATTTGAAGTTTTTGAAGTTTTTTAACCATACATTATTCTTCCATATATATTAAATGTACTTTAAATGTAAAGAAAAGTTACAAAAAGCATACCACATGAGTATAAAATGGTCTTAGGCCATGTAAGACTGAGAACTATTTAGAGTCGATTTAGGCCGTAGCCCATATTTACATATAAAAATGCACACAGAGGCTATAAGAAATGGAAATTTGTTACTTTTTGCTCATTTCTATGCTAAGATGTCATGATACAAGAAGTCTAATTGCAAAGGGACTCTTGAATTCAACTTTTTTTGCAGACAGTATGGTCTGATGACCAGTTTTTCACTTTTCAATGGAAAACTTGCATGTAGTTTTAGTCTCAATTGGCATATATTTGAACCACTTACTATCCTAAAGAAGAAAATTATGGTAGCATATGAAATGAATAGGGTGTACTGATCATTGTAAAGTGTTTTTTTTACAGATTTAGTGAAATATTTGTGATGGACAACAGATTTTATGTACAAAGCTCTTCACATTTCACATACATCAAACAGGCCGTTTTACCAGGGACATAAATACAAATATTGCACCTGCTCTATCTCAAAAAGATTTTTACAGTGTAGTGTACTACTATTGATACAAATAATATCAAAATTATAGAAACTTCTACCAGCTCTAACTCAAAATATTGACAATTCTGTGTTAAGGGGGGCTAAAATTCAGTTTGACAGCTTCAGACATTCTAATTTTTGACCTTTTTTAACTGGACCAAATCACTACTTAACATAAAGATTCAGCACCCAAATTTTTTAACATGTAATTTCATCCCCTTACTTAATATTTCATGCATAAAATATCAAGAAATAAATTGGGAAAGTGTATCAAAAAAAAATGCAAGTTATACACTGTTCACACTAGGGACTATATTCGTAGACAACGAAAACCAAAGGACGATAACTGTGTCCTTGGACCACATGTAAAATTATATTTGTTTATATAAGTTGGGTTTTTTTTTTGTATCTTTTCGAACAGATGTTCATAAATAATTTTTTTTAATTTTTTTTTTTTAAATTTGTAAAAGAATGCCAATATTTATTGGTACATCTGAATGAACTAATACTGTGGTTTTATTTATTTTCGTGAATACAAATTTTAGTGGATTAAGGAAAAACTGTAGGTTTGTGGACATTTGATTTTGTGGATTTGCCAAAGATTGTATACAAGCATTTAGAAGATTTGTACTTCCTTCAACGTTTAAATTCAGGGTTTACCTTTATCCACGATACATGAAAATTGGTATCCAACAAATAATATTGAATCCATATTAGTCAAATTCAATGATTCTACAATGTCCAATAACTTACTAACTATTGACAAACTGACATACTACTGACAAACTGACATACTATTGACAAACTCTCATACTATTGACTAACTGAATTAGTATTGACAAACTGATATACTATTGATAAACTGACTTACTATTGACAAATTGAAATACTATTGACAAACTGATATACTATTGACAAACTGACATACATGTACTACTGACAAACTGACAAACTGACATACCATTGACAAACTGACATACTATTGACAAACTGACATACTACTGACTAACTGATTTACTATTGATAAACTGGCATACTATTGATAAACTGACATACTATTGACAACGTGACATACTATTGACAAACTGACATACTATTGACAAACTGACATTCTATTGACAAACTGACATACAATTGACAAACTGACTTACTATTGACAATAACATTTTTAGGATCTATCTGAACAAATTCCTTGTCTTCATTGACCATCTCCACAGCTTCTTCCAAATTACAGGCTTTGTATGCAGAAAAGGAGGTTAATGTAGAATTCACCTCACTAAATTTCTGTAATTCATTCTGTAATTAGAGTAATATTAAATTCAATGCAAAAATAGTTTTCATGTCAATTCTATTTGCAAAACATTAAAATTTTGAGAAGGGCAAAAAGTGACAGCACTAAATGCAAAAGCATATATATAACAATACATTATCTCTAGCATAGCACTTTATTTCCTTATAAAAATTGAATGCTTTGAAAGAGCATAGCTACCTCTATAAGTGCTCTAAAACAGTATGGTTACCACTTAAAGTGAAGTGAAAGTAATTTGACTATGTCACTGAATTGTACAAGATTTCGTATACAGGTAGATGATAATGATTTTTAACATACAATCAGAAAAATAGAGCATCTATCTGTTATAGTTACAAAGCCAAAAATGTTAATTGTTGCATATCAAAGATAATAAGAGAACAGAGTTCCAATGTCTCCCGCATTGCACATATTTTATATTTCCAAGGGCATAACTCTTTTAAAAAAAGTCGATTGTCCACCATTATAGAACTTGTCCGAGATATTTCTGATATTAACCTATAGTATAAGTTTTATAAAAATCTGACAAGAATTGTACCCATGAGAGCACTTACAAGTAAGAATTTACTGTTTTCCTTGACTTCTTGGTAATCCTGTATATTTCCTGCAGCCAGCACATACATCTGGGATAACAACTGTACATGCTGTTAAAATACAATAAGTGTCACTCATACATTATTTATATTTAAGCAGCAGAAGTATACTATTGGGAGAGGGCAAATTCTTTTTTCATCAACTGACCCTGCATAAAATCTACCAGTCCCTTGTATATCCTACTTAACAAAAACCAAGTAACCCAAAAAGTATATTACTTTTAGGCCTGACTGGTCTATTGTAAATCGGCTTACTATGTGCCAGAGGAGAGATGTTATTACTATTCCTATGTAAAGAAACAAAAAATTGGATTTTTTAAAATTTTAATTCTTTAGCAAATCTTGAGCACTTTGAATAAGACTTTTTATGAGTAACAATCTTTTTAGTCTAAAAAACAAATGAAGATTCAAAAAGTCACAACCTTATGGATACAAACTTAGTAATTACAAATTTCATATAGCTTATTTCCTAGTTGCCATATTGATAGAAAATATAAAAGATTCCTCAATGATTACCTTTCTCATCTGATGTTCTAGTTGTATCCTCTGTGATTCTGTAAGTCCTACCTCTACACTGGTCAATACAGACTTGGTCGATTTCTTTGTAGATCTGTGGTAAATATCTTATATCAGTGTTAGATACATATAATTCAGTTGTTCAGTTGTTTCCAGTCATGCAATTTAAAATTCAATACAAATCCCTCATTGCCAATGTATGAATGATTGGTCAATATTAAAACTACTTTTTTGTATTTTGAAGTCAGGTTTATATCAGTGTTAAATTACTGCATATATAAACAAAACTAGTATATGAGGAAAGAAAATCAATGATTATTGATTGATAGTTGCTTATCATCCAAAATCAAATATTACATGTATATACAGAAAAAAAATATGTTAATGAGATATAACTATACCTGTTTTGTACAAAATTGACATGCTGAGTATAATCTTTAATGTGCTATCTCAAAAGGTAACAGTCTGCAGGAAGACATGTCATCCTACTAGAACTCTTTATTCTGATTCCAAGGCAACAAGTGTTTGCTCTTACTCCTGCTTGCTCGACAATAAACTACAAGTACTAATTTCAAAGTCTTTGGTTTGTCACTCTCATGTCATGCACTACACCTTGAGGCCATTAGTCAGTTAAGAAAGAAAATAACATTTTGCTGCTTACACCAAAATGATTTAGAATGAAATGCATCAGAATTATATGTGTATTTTGTATGTATTTCATTTGTATCAAACAAAAGTTTCAATACACCTTTTACTCATTCTTACATTTTAACTGTTTCGATAGCTCTTTTCTTTAATAATTCTTTTTCTCCTTCCTCTAATGTATCAGTATCTTGATAGGCTTCTAATAGTTCATCCATTAATTCATTCATTTCTTTTCCTATGAAAAGCAAACAAACAAATTATTTCTTCATACACAAATGAGCAATGTTCCAATGTCTGATTTTTTTATAAAGAGAACTGCTATCTCACATTTGCATCTTGAATTTTTCCAACTGAGTAACTAAAATTCAATTTTGTTCGACAACTCTTTCAAAGTATCCAAATAATTTCCCTACATATTTTATTAGCGATACATTTATATCCACCGAAAGAAATATTTATAAGACCTGACTATAGGTGCATCATTCAAAGCTATTTTAGTTTTTATAATCAATTTCTTTATCTGGACCTATATGTAATGCATATCAAGTCATTTAAAACAAAGTGTTGTTCCGTGTTTCCAAACAAAACTGTGGTAAGGTTAGCTTTTACAATTATACTTCATGATAATGATCATATGTCACCTTTAAATATCCATGTATCAGAAAAAGGTCATTAATATGAAAAAAAAATTAGGGTTTAATTTTACCTACCAACTATTACATATAAAGTTTTGTACCCTTTAAATACAATGTATTCTAAGCATTCTATTTTCTGTTTGTAAGCATTTTATTGTATGGGTGAAACTTTGATGTTTTAAATGGTAATATTACCATTTTTATAGTAATAAGCTTTTCTATCTTAAAAGCCGTTGTCTAATATTTTTCTGTCTCAGGTAAAATGCTTATGTTGAGAATAACTTTTCATTGTAACTTAAAATATCAAATAGGTTTTACTGTAGATATTACTTACTAGATATCTGTACTGCCCTGTCTCGTCTCAAATCTTCCATGTCAATATCCTCCTCCTCAACCTCTGCCAGGTAGTTATATTCTGGGTCATTCTCATCATCGTTGGTGTCTTCATTCTCTGCCAAAGTGTTAAAAGTAAAACATTTTTCAAAAAGTCTTTCTTTGAGTTAATTTATAAGATTCTACACAACAATATGTCTCAATGATACAAAAGTATAAATGAGCTTAAGGGATGTTTCATCTAAAATAATATAACGTTATAAAGGGACGTAACTCAAGAACGGTAAAAGTGACGCCACCCAAATTCGAACATGATCACAGTTTTGTGGTAATAAACATTGTGTATAAGTTTCATAACATTTTGTTGAGACAAACTTAAGTTAGAGAATGGAAACCAATTTCAAGACGTATGTACAGACGGACAGACATACAGACGGACAAGAATAAGACTTAATGGCCCCTCAGCTGGGGTGGGTGCATAACTAAATACTTCAGTCAAGTAAGAGTTGTAAGCCAAAGGATCTCTTATTTGAAATTTTTCTCCAATGAGCAAAAGAAAAGTTATCTCTTCTCTGTTGTTATTAAAAACCATACATATCACCAGTTACTTACCTGGTATTTTTTGTAATCCTGTTAAGAAAGTCATCCATTCTCTGTCATCACATGACGTTTCATACATATCCCAGGTGATATCAGGTGCAACAAAGTTTGATTCTAACTCTAAAAGACTTGTATCTGTCAAAGAAAGTTTGGATCTTGTTCTTAAAGCAATGGTCTCCTCTTCTTGCTGTAAAATTTCAAAACATTCAAATGAACGAAAGTAACAATGGTATATACTACGTAACATGTTACTGTAAAGTTTCCTAACGTTTACAAAAGTAACAATGGTATATACTACATAACATGTTACTGTAAAGTTTCCGAACGTTTATGATAATTTTCGTTGATCAAATCTTAAAGATAGATATGACAGAATAAAATGAAGCCCAACACCTGCAGCAAATAAAATTGCAAGTGTTATTTCATGGAAATGCTCAAATCTGTGACAAGGGCAACAGATAGAAACCTTGATCTAAATTCCTCATAATACAGCTATATATACCAACAAAAGGCTGTCATTAGGTTTATCTTATATTTAATTTCTTTTTTAAATCATGGGCTATAACTCCAATCCTCTGACCTCCATTTTTTTCATAAGAAACAACATATTAAATACTGAAAAACATTGGATGAAGCTTTATCAAGTCATGGCAGAGATTTGACATAAAGTGCCATTTTCCAACCTTTCAATTTAAACCATAACCCCTGAACTCCAAAATTTATAATAGTTAATATCCAACTTGACCTCCATTTTGATAATTCCTGTTACCCTGTAATGTACCATTAATGTGTGGATAAACTACAATTTATTTAATACTTTCTTGTCATTGGGTTTCTGTCTAATTGATGTTTACTCCATATCTCTTTATGTCATCTGTTATTCTATCAAAGAAAGTAAGGTAGATCATAAAGCTTACCTTAAGTTTACTGTATATTTACCTGTTTAGTCTTTCTGTCAGACTCTGCCATAGCCATGTGATATCTTTTTCCCAGCATGCTCTTTGTGGCTGATACTGGAAGCCTTGTTGGTGGACCCATAGGACTTTTTAGCTACAAAATAATGAAGCAATAATGTGGTTTGTTCTTATCCAATTTTTAAAATCATAACCGGCTAATGACCATGTTATAAGATACTATATAAATATTGAACTTTGATCCAGAAAATCTTGCATGTTTTAAATTCAACAGGGATCATTGTTTGATGTAAAAAGAAATATCAAAGGATGAGTTGTTTTCTTCATTACACAAAAATCCCAGCAGTGACACCAATGTTTATTTAATCAATTCTGTATACTGTGAATATATTCATTATAGATGTCCAATTTAATGGTCTTGTCAGACACAGTATATTCCCAAGTTTTTATTTTCACATTGACTATATAATATGTATTCTTTTTCATAAAGATTAATACAATATTGAGCCTTTTTATAATTTATAATTTTGTATACCATATAGATTAATACTATCTGCCTACATGTATATATTATCAATCTATGAAGAAATGTTTTATCATGCAATACAGAAGTCCCCACTGTACTTACTTCATCATCTCCTTGAACACTGGGAGTTTTGTCTAAATCTGAGAAACGACTGATCGTAGAGGATGGTGTTGCTGGCGTTGACGGTCGTGGTGACCCCAAGTCACTGACCTGGGAGGAGGCTACACTCTCACTGTCTTCATCACTATAACTTCCCATCTAAAAGGTTAAAATTCATTGTTATGTGATGTATTAATAAAATACACATGCATTTCTTACAATGAAAAAGGTGTTATTTAAAATCAAATCAAACTAAAATGCTTATTAAGAATAGAATATTTACAATATTTTCCAAACAAAGAATGTTTCCTTAACAGACATCAGTTCTAGCAAATAAAACTATATCTAATTCCACAATAATGATAAGTTTCAATTTAATCTATTTCATACAGTACAAACAAATAATAGATATTGTGATACTAATTTAAACTTGATATTGTGATCCTGTCTAGCATTAGGACTAATGCATAATCAACACCTAAGTATTTAGCATTTAAAGGCTAATTTCTAATGTGAAAGTGTTAGGCCAATAAAATTTGTTTACGTAAAATCAATAAAAAATGTATGACTAGTTTAACAGAATTATCCATAAAGCTGAAGGTAAAACCTGTTAGCAATTTTGCAAAACAATAATATATCAGTAACATTCAAAGTTTGTATTTATAGCCTTAAGTAGTGCATATCTAACTCTTCAAATTTGGATTAAAATTTTGAACACATTTTTTTTTGTTTTCCCATAACTGTTGATAAATTTAGGGTCTAATAGACTTAAATAACTTGATTACTTTAGGGTTCATTTTGTACTTTACCTCTATTTCTTTCTCAGGATTATATTCATCATCTTCCTCTTCATCATCGTCCGGTAATGGAAGGTCCAAGAATGATGTGGTCAGTTTTTCTTTCTTTTTCAAAGGAGATAATGGCCAGGGATGATGTATCTGTCAAACAAATTCAAAGTTCCATAACATTTATAACACAAAGTAATTATGCTTATGGTATATTGTAAGTAGAGAAATGCATGCAATTTTTTTCTTAATTATACCATCAAACTTGTATTTAATGTTAGAATATTTTTACAAGTCTAGATAACATACTTTAGTATTTCTCAATGCTCTAGAAATATTGTAGAGAACATGTTATTTCTTTTGTAATAAACAATACTTGCATATGCTTTTCATTGACAGAGGAAGATAACTGTTTGTATTTAACAATTCTACAAATAAGCATTAATTAAAACTTGACTGGACATTGTCGTGTTGCCAACTATGGTGCGGTTGAAAAAGCTAAAAATCCACATAACCTGTAGTGTAACTGTAGCATCAAACTGGTACAGACACTGGTGAATTATCAATCACAAAACTACATAACCTGTAGTGTAACTGTAGCATCAAACTGGTACAGACACTGGTGAATTATCAATCACAAAACTACATAACCTGTAGTGTAACTGTAGCATCAAACTGGTACAGACACTGGTGAATTATCAATCACAAAACTACATAACCTGTAGTGTAACTGTAGCATCAAACTGGTACAGACACTGGTGAATTATCAATCACAAAACTACATAACCTGTAGTGTAACTGTAGCATCAAACTGGTACAAACACTGGTGAATTATCAATCACAAAACTACATAACCTGTAGTGTAACTGTAGCATCAAACTGGTACAAACACTGGTGAATTATCAATCACAAAACTACATAACCTGTAGTGTAACTGTAGCATCAAACTGGTTCTGAAACAGGTGAATTATCAATCACAAAACTACATAACCTGTAGTGTAACTGTAGCATCAAACTGGTACAGACACAGGTGAATTATCAATCACAAAACTACATAACCTGTAGTGTAACTGTAGCATCAAACTGGTACAGACACAGGTGAATTATCAATCACAAAACTACATAACCTGTAGTGTAACTGTAGCATCAAACTGGTACAGACACTGGTGAATTATCAATCACAAAACTACATAACCTGTAGTGTAACTGTAGCATCAAACTGGTACATACACTGGTGAATTATCAATCACAAAACTACATAACCTGTAGTGTAACTGTAGCATCAAACTGGTACAGACACAGGTGAATTATCAATCACAAAACTACATTACCTGTAGTGTAACTGTAGCATCAAACTGGTACAAACACTGGTGAATTATCAATCACATAACCACATAACCTGAAGTGTAACTGTAGCATCAAACTGGTACAGACACAGATGACAATCACAAAACTAACTAACCTGTAGCGTAACTGTAGCATCAAACTGGTACAAACACAGGTGAATTATCAATCACAAAACTACATAACCTGAAGTGTAACTGTAGCATCAAACTGGTACAGACACAGATGACAATCACAAAACTACATAACCTGTAGTGTAACTGTAGCATCAAACTGGAACAGACACAGGTGACAATCACAAAACTACATAACCTGTAGTGTAACTCTAGCATCAAACTGGTACAGACACAGGTGAATTATCAATCACAAAACTACATAACCTGAAGTGTAACTGTAGCATCAAACTGGTACAAACACTGGTGAATTATCAATCACAAAACTACATAACCTGTAGTGTAACTGTAGCATCAAACTGGTACAGACACAGGTGAATTATCAATCACAAAACTACATAACCTGTAGTGTAACTGTAGCATCAAACTGGTACAGACACAGATGATAATCACAAAACTACATAACCTGTAGTGTAACTGTAGCATCAAACTGGTACAAACACAGGTGAATTATCAATCACAAAACTACATAACCTGAAGTGTAACTGTAGCATCAAACTGGTACAGACACAGATGACAATCACAAAACTACATAACCTGTAGTGTAACTGTAGCATCAAACTGGAACAGACACAGGTGACAATCACAAAACTACATAACCTGTAGTGTAACTGTAGCATCAAACTGGAACAGACACAGGTGACAATCACAAAACTACATAACCTGTAGTGTAACTGTAGCATCAAACTGGAACAGACACAGGCGACAATCACAAAACTACATAACCTGTAGTGTAACTGTAGCATCAAACTGGTACAGACACAGGTGAATTATCAATCACAAAACTACATAACCTGTAGTGTAACTGTAGCATCAAACTGGTACAGACACAGGTGAATTATCAATCACAAAACTGCATAATTTTCCCCTTTTTTATTAAACTGAAAAACTTACTGTTCCATCTTTTTCCAGGACTTCCTTGAACTTTGATCTAGTCATTTTGGGTTCAAATGTAGCTGGGACTAACAAGGATTCTGAGTCTTCCTCAGTCATATCATGCAATGTATTCTTTACCATGGCAACTACATCTTCATTGGTTATTACTTGCTGTAATGAATATAACATTATCTAGTAATATAAAAATACAATATTGACTGAAGTAGCAATTAACATTGCACAAATGAAAGGGTTTTTTTTAACTAACAAATAGATATATTTTCAGTTTAAGTGAGGTTGAGGTTTTATTACTGTTTACCCAACATCTAACTTTATTCATATAAAAAGTTTGAATCAAAGAGAAAACCAAAAAATGACCTTTTATTTTACTCATTAACTTTCCCTGGTATCATGTGGTATCATATCATATGCCAAAGTCCCCTTATTCTTCATCTGGTAACACAATGAACTCCCCATGAAGTTGTGATTTAATTCATTAAATAAACAACCATTGTAGACTTAGGTTAAATAAGAGTTTGACACATTGTATAAACACCTGTCTAATGTTGAAGACTGTATGTATGCTGCCCTTTACATGTCTAATGTTGAAGACTGTATGTATGCTGCCCTTTACATGTCTTTTGGATATTTATGTTGTTTTGGTTGGTGTCTCATTGACATATGCTTACCATCTCCTTTTATTTCAGAATTATTGGTTGGGAATGCACCTACATGTACTATTAATAACTAGAGTAAGTGAGGTAAAATAAATGTGGATAGTGTTCAAATGTGGACACAGATGATGCCCCCACTGCATATCATATAGTTATAAAGGAACATAACTGAAGAACGGTAAAAGTGACGCTACCCAAATTTGAACTTGATCTGAGTTTTGTGGTAATAAGCATTGTGTGTAAGTCTCATAACATTTGGTTGAGGCTAACTTAGTAGAGAACAGAAACTAAAAATTCAGCAATTTTTCTATTTGTAAACACGCATAACTCTAGAACAGTTGTGTATAAGTTTTATAACATTTGGTTGAGACAAGTTAAAAAATTCAGCAATTTTTATGTCTATAAAGGGACATAACTCAAGAATGGTAAAAGTGTCTCCACCAAATTTTGTACTTAATCTGTATTATGTAGTAATAAGCATTGTGTATAAGTTTCATAACATTTGGTTGAGGCAAACTAAAGTTAGAAAACGGAAACAAAAAATTTGTACTTGATCTTAGTTTTGTGGTAATGAATATTGTGTATAGGTTTCATAATGTTTGGTTGGGGCAAACTTAAGTTACAGAATGGAAACTAAAAATTTTGCAATCTTTCGATTTATAAAGGGGCATAACTCAATAATTGTTAAAGTGACACTACCCAAATTCAACTTGATCTGTGTTTTATCAGTGGAAGTCAAAATTAAACATTGCATTGTATAAAGCATTGATTGTAGTTGATTCAACTATAATCATGGACAAAGGAAGATAACTCCAATTTTAAAATTACTTGATATTAGAAGAAAATAAAAATTTTGCAATTTTTCCATTTATAAAGGGGCATAACTCTAGAACGGTTAAAGTGATGCCACCAAAATTCAAACTTGATCTGTGTTTTGTGGTATTAAGCATTGTGTATAAGTTTCATCACATTTGGTTGAGGCTAACTTAAGTTAGAGAACGGAACTAAAAATTCAGCAATTTTTCTATTTGAAAACACCCATAACTCTAGAACGGTTGTGTATTAGTTTTATAACATTTGGTTGAGACAAACTAAAAAATTCAGCAATTTTTATGTTTATAAAGGGACATAACTCAAGAACGGTAAAAGTGTCTCCACCAAATTTCGTACTTAATCTGTATTATGTAGTAATAAGCATTGTGTATAAGTTTCTTAACATTTGGTTGAGGCAAACTAAAGTTAGAAAACGGAAACAAAAAAATTGTACTTGATCTTAGTTTTGTGGTAATGAATATTGTGTATAGGTTTCATAATGTTTGGTTTGGGCAAACTTAGGTTACAGAATGGAAACTAAAAATTTTGCAATCTTTCGATTTATAAAGGGGCATAACTCAATAATTGTTAAAGTGACACTACCCAAATTCAACTTGATCTGTGTTTTATCAGTGGAAGTCAAAATTAAACATTGCATTGTATAAAGCATTGATTGTAGTTGATTTAACTATAATCATGGACAAAGGAAGATAAATCCAATTTTAAAAATTACTTAATATTAGAAGAAAATAAAAGTTTTGAAATTTTTCCATTTATAAAGGGGCATAACTCTAGAACTGTTAAAGTGACACCACCAAAATACAAATTTGATCTGTGTTTTGTGGTAATAAGCATTGTGTATAAGTTTCATAACATTTGATTGAGGTAAACTTAAGTTAGAGAACGGAAACCAATTTTGGGACATACAGATGGATGTAGGTACGTACGTACGTACAGACGGACAAGGGTAAAACTTAATGCCCCCACCGCTATGGCGGGGGCATAAAAAAAACTTATCCCACAATACCATATAATCGGATGTTTTATGCAAGTATTATTTTCAAAGAAGACATTTACCGCAAAAATTTCTTGTTCTTTTAAATGCATTCTTCAATTCCATGAAATACAAATAAAGAACACAGTGAAGATTTAACAGCCCCATCTGAAGCCCAAACCTCGAACATAACATGACACTAAAGTACCTGATATACAATAATGCATTAAATTTCTAATTAAAAATGTATAGAAGGGGGTAATGGGAAAAGGGGGACTATTTACCCACAGACATTTAATTTTGGAATAGCCCTCAGCTGATAATACCCTTACATGTAATATGTTCTTGACATTGACAACAGTAAGATTTTGTCTTGAAGCATTTTCTTCTAAAGCCTTGTCTATTTCATTATCTGAACTGTCATCAATTATTTTCCAATTATCATCTGACGAATCATCATCAGATGTATCAGCATCAGCACCACTAGAGTTATGGCCCTTGTCAGGAGATTTCTCTGCAAATCCAATGGAACGTCTAACTCTCTTTGGCTTTCTTGGTTTGATTTTTCTGAAATAAAAAAGTATAATTTAATTCCAGTTCATGTATCTGTCTTTAGTGAATTGTCACGGTATAAAAATAACGAATTAATCAAGAGGAAACAGTACTATATATATATGCTGTAACTTAATTTTTGTATACATGGTATAGGACCGATACCTCTTTTGTTACCCCTGAATTTTCAAGCTGCATTTATGGTGGCCAAGTGTAGTGTTATATTGTTGTTAATATTTCTCCAGTTCCTTTCTGTGCTCTTTGCAGCGAATGGTAAATTTTAAAACTAAAACATCTTAAATATATACAACTAGGCCACAATTAAAAATATTTCAGTTTGCCCAAACCCGACCCATGATGACTGGGTGTGGGTAGGTAGGTAGGCAAATTCTTTTTTTTTTATCAGAATTTGCATGAAAATATTAAAACAGTATATCTTTTTTTTCCGTCAAACCTTTGTAGAGACAATCAAAAGCCATGAAAAACTGTCTGCCATTTTCACATGTTTTACTTCTTTACAGGGATGTCACTAGGTTTTGAAGTAGCAGGATTAATAATTAAAGTAGCAGGCAAGGATTGCGGACGTCATAGATGTCCGGTGCGACGAGCTTGCTCGTCACGTGACCCATCACGGCGAGGTTTTTTTTTTCTAAAATGGTGCAAAAATCCTGCATTCTGGGGATTCCTGAACTCTAATTTAGTCCTAATCAAACACCATTTTTTTAATGATGATAAGGTAAATGAGCAGCAAGATGGTCATATTTTCTATAAAGTTGATCACATAAATATTATTATCACTATATCAAGACTTTCAGCTAACAAGTAGTTGAAGTTGCTTGAGGAAAATGATGAAGGCATGACTCTGTAAGACATGGTGATCATTCAGGAAAAGATTCAAATTTGATCTTATTAGTTGAAAATATTTTTAGTTTAACTGTAGACATGCAATTATTCAAATAATTCTAACCCATAGACAACATTTTTTTTTATTTCTCAGTATTAATAATTTCACATACTTATTACAATAAATCAAATGATGAATTGGACTGTTGCAGGCAAAAAGGTGAGTCTTTAAGGATGTACTTTGGTGAAATTAGAAAAATGTAGAATTTAAAATTGATACTATAAGTCAGAAGACTTCAAGAGCATTTAAGTTAAGAAGCAAACTAATGGAAAGAGAAGAAATCTACAATCTGCTTAAATTTTGGTATATGACCTTTTATGAGTTATTAATTGAAGTATTATATATGAAAAAAAAATGGGGGTCATGGGGCAAAATATTTTACCCTGTATCATAGGAAAAAACCAGAGTCCAAACATCTAACAGAAATTCCAAAACCTGACCTAAGTACATCCTTAAATGCATAATCATGCAGGGCTCACACTACTTCAGAATCATAGGGAGAAGTGACTTCTCTTTTTGAAACTGATAGGGAGAAGTGGTGAGATTTGAAAGAGAAGTGCTCCTTTGCACACTGTGCTACAATGTTTGGTTTTTACTACCTATAGTACAAAGGGTCATATGTTCTTTTTATATTGTTCAATTTATATCTGAGTAAAGTAAAAGTTCAAATTCAAAGTTGTTTAAGTTTAGGTTCTTGTGAGAAACTACCAACTAAATATCTAGCACTAAAAAGATTTTTTTTTTATGACAAAAAGATAAAGAAATTATATTATATAAATCACAATTCAATTAAAAAACTATCTTGTTTATCATGTTTATGAAATTCAGTGTTTCTCATCAAAAGATATACAAAGTTAAGCTGGGACATATACATGATATATATTGATATTAGTATTAAAGTCCCAGAGTTAATTAAGCAAGTTTAATCAATATTTTGAAACAATCCATATATATGGAATTATATACATTAATCAAGTAAATCTAACAAATAGTCTGTTAATGCGTCTGGAATGCGTAATTTTTCCATTTGGGATCAATTTCCCTTGTCAGCTGTTCCATTCATGCGTCCGTAGTTATTATTGTAAAAATACGGATTTCGGTCATAGCTGCTCCGTTTCCATTCCGTAGTTAGAAAACAGTTAATGGCGGACGAAGAAAATTTACAAAAATAAACGATGTTTGACAAGCTATTTAGAAAGAAATATAACGTTTTTAATGCAATAAATGGATTAAACATTTACTGGAGGCAATTTTTATCACGTTCAAATGAAGTAACAAACTTATTTTGTCGCCGAAAGTTAGATTGATGTACGATCTCATGTAACAAGTACCGGAAGTGAATGAAGTGATAAAAAGTTGTCTTTTTATTAAATAATCTGCTTCACACTGTAAAGTCAATGCTTAAATCTCTGTTCTTCAGAAAATGAATCGTTTATGTCTGAATTTCTTTAATTATCAATGTTTCATCGACTTGGTAAAAAATGAAAACTTTGTGAAAATATTATTTTTGACAATTTTGAAGTAGCCGGCGCCAAAGCAGAAGTAACCGTTCGTTAAATCAGAAGATAAAAACCGAGAACATCGAATATCGATTAACTGCGTCTCTTACACGCTTTCTTTTAATCTTATTCAAAGTTACTTTCAAACGCAAAGACGACGTAAATTAAGTTTTATAAGATGACGGAGCGGACACGAATAACATCCGAAAAAAAAAAATTCTTCAAAAAACGGCAAAAAAAGAATTTGAGTCGGCGGGTTTTTTTTTGGGTCGGTCGAGTTTGGGCAAACATACCATATTTTTATTTTGGCCCTATTTAAAGCCATTAACCAAACAATTATACATACTGTGGGCTTCTTTTGATTCCTCTATTGTGAAGCTTCAGAAATTGCTTAACAGGTGATCTGAATTCTTTTCTCTTTCCTGCTAGATCATAATGCTTCCTGGCAAGGTCCTGTCTCTTCTGTTTGTTAGATTTGTGAATGGGTGTGGCTAATTCTCCACTCTCATTATTCAAGAAGTTCAGCTGTTCTTTAATGAAATCAAGATTATCCTCATCAGTGTTGTGGGTACTAGAAGTTGATGGTTTAGGAGGGGGTTGACTTGGTGGAGTAAACAAGAATTCTTTAGAAGTCTGAGGTGACGTTTCTGATGATGTGGACCCTTGGGGTGGAGTTGCTGATGATGTGGACACCTGGGGTGGAGTTGCTGATGATATGGACACCTGAGGTGGTGTACTACTAGATGTGGATGATGAATTAGATGCATCTTTGGGTGGTGTATCAGCTTTGCTATCTTCTTTAAATGTGTCAGATTTCTTTCCATTCTTTTCTTCGTCACTTTCCTGAGCCATATTGTCACTTTTATCAGATGACATCTTTGATTACTCCTAAATACTACATCACTTATTTATAATTGTCAGTTGATTGTCTGCAAAAGAAAAAAAATACATACATGTTTTTATTAAGGTCAAAAAAAAATATATGTCTGTTTACGGTTACCCGACCGTCCCTATTTTGGGGTGCCGACCCTATGTCATTTTATTCAAAAATGAAATCAAAGGTGAAAGTACAAAGCCGGAAACACCTACTTTCAGTTTAAAACAAAAGTGAAAGTAGGTGCGTGATCATCTGAGTGCTTTAATTTCAAAATCGCGGACTCGATTTTGAAGCGTTTTTTCCAATCTAAGTCCCTTTATATGTATAATAAGGAAAAATGAAAATAAATATTTCCAAAATTTTGCTCTGGATACTGTCTTTTGGTCATAAACAAGCTTCTGTCCAAATTTTATAAAATTCCATGAAGGTTTGACAAAGTTATTGATGACTGAAAAACTTAAACCTCAAACAAAATCTGAAGTTAACTGTAAACAAGAGTGCACACGCTGAAATGTCTCGCCTGTTTTACTGACCATTGATTTTATGTTGAAAGTCTTAAAGACAAAGGTATTACTACAAGTATCACATAAACTTAACATTTTTAAAGATCCATGACAATGAGGTCAAAGTCAGATAAAAACTGTCACACAGACATGTTCACCTTACAATTATTCCATACACCAAATATAGTTGACCCATTGCTTATTGTAATTGAAAAACAGACCAAAACACAAAAACTTAATGTTAACCAATGAACCATAGAAATGAGGTCAAGGTCAGATGATACTGGCTAGACAGACATGTACATCTTACAATCATTCCATACACCAATAATAGTTGACCTATTGCTATTGGTATTTGAAAAACAGACCAAAACACAAAAAATTAACAATGACCAATGAACCATGAAAATGAGGTCAAGGTCAGATGAAACCTGCCAGTCTGACATGTACCACTTACAATCATTCCATACACTACATATAGTTGACCTGCTGCTTGTAGTATCTGAGAAATGGACCTAATCACGTTACTTTAACCTTGATCACAGATCCATGAATTGAGGTCAGGTTAACCCTATCTGGCAGACATGTAGACGTTGCAAGGAACCCATATACCAAATATAGTTATACTATTACTCATGATAAGTGAGTAATTCACATGACAAAAAAACTGTAATTTTTTTCAAGCAGTCACTGAACCATGAAAATGAGGTCAAGGACAATGGGCATCAGTCAGGGGACTTACTTAAATGAGTGTTTTTTAAATCACTGATGCAAGTAACATTGTGTCCACAAATGTTTTAAGTAAGAGTTGTCTTTCTTTAATAATCACCTATTTAAGTAGTACAAATAAATCACTAGACTAAGTGATTTAATTTTATTGTAGCTTTAAATATACAATACTAATGATACAGGGACTAATTATGTTGCTAAAATTATCAGAACCAACATCAGTGTTGACAGGATGACAGGTCATGTCAGGTGATGACCTTGTACTGAATCTGGGATAATGACATGAAAATCACTTGTTTAAGTATCATACCTCTATTTTCTTCAAAAAAATCACATCTTTAAGTATCATACCTCTATATTCTTCCAAAAAATCACTTCTTTAAGTATCATACCTCTATTTTCTTCCAAAAAAATCACTTCTTTAAGTATTATTATTCTAATATTACCCCCACTTAAATTTCAACACCCTCGAACAGTGAAATTTTGATCGTGCATAGTAAAATTTTATTTCATAATCTGTTAAATGAAACCTTGAATTTTACAGGAAAATTACTCCCACTGCTGGGAAAAATCTGTTAAGAAAGTATCAGTTCATTATGTAAAGCCTTCATTATAGCATTTTTTCAACAAATATAGAATTTACAGCTAAATGATTGCATCAAAGGCATAAACCTTGCTATTTATAACAAGAAAAAGGTTCATTTTTTCCAATTTTACTAATAATAAGATATAATCTAAACCTATATGTTTAAAATTTTGGTAAAACTACAAAATTTCAAATTTGCTACTTGCTTTGCTTAAGTACCACTCGAAGTAAAATTATGTTTAATAAACAAATACCGATTTCTGCTAATTTTAATAGTAATACTAATCATCTAATGAGTACAGGATATCCCTGCTTCTACGAAGCATTATTTTGGACAGCAACTGAACCAAAAGATAGAAAGAGAGAACATGTGGGTGTCATACCACTTCTTATATACTTCCAGATTGTAAAAGAACATAAATAGTGAAAGGGAGAGCTGGATAATTTCACGAGAAATAGAAGGGATATATGCAACACAGTGTTTAAAGTCAATCTGTTCATTTGTTTATCTCCTTCTCATCAAATCAGTATGAAATTTTGAGGTGTTTCGAACTATAAAATACAAAATTGTTGACGTGAGAGGCTTGGAAAGTAGAACTTTTGTCAGTTTTGACAAACTTTTTGAAGATTTTTTGGTCATGTTGGTTTAGAAAACAACATTGATACTGGACTGGTCTATCTCAGGAAATGTCAAATGGTGGAATAAAAGTGAATTGAGGTATATTCCACTAATAAATGGTTATTTTTGACCTGTTGAAGGGTTTGGCATGGATGTAAACAAACCAGACGCTGTGTTTCGAAGATGAATTTTGATTCAGTGCAAACACTTCAGATGATCTGCATTTTCTTTATGGTTTGTACGAATAATTTAAAATCACCTTTATCCATTTTTATCTTAATGATATCGAATATGTGCTTTCATGTCTGCATTTTTGGTAATCAGTCGGAAACTTCAGTTAAATTTTCCAGAAAATGCGCCATTTTTAGATACAGGGGAAATAACTCTAAAGAACGCTAGACTGGTCTGACTAATTACCAAATAATATGAACCACATCGATTAGATATATTTTTCTTCTATTTGAGTAGCGTCAGCAACGAAGATATGAGACGACTACATCCGATTTACATAAAACAGAGACATATATGTGTATATATGTCTCTGCATAAAAGTAATAAATGTTCTAAAAAGAACAATTAGTTTTAATAAAACAGGAATCGTGTCATTATCTCATTTTTTTCAGATCATGCAGTACCACTTTCAGAAGATGTTTTATAATATCGGGATTTGGAATGAAATCTTCGTTGTGTCTAGTTTTCTGTCATCGAATTGATACCTTATCACTGCTTTTCTATGGCAATGTATTACTGTACTATCTGGTCTTTTCTGGTTTAATTGCCAATACCTGAATATTTTGCTGATAATTTATAACACTTCTATGTAAATATAAAAATAGTATATACTTTATTTCAATATTCACACCGACTACAAGGAGCAGATAAATTACAATAAAATATGTGTAAAGAAATATAACACATCAAATTAAAAAATAACAATGATTTGTGGTCATTTTGTTGATAACTGGCATTCATCAGTTACACCAGAGACATTATATACACACACAGAAAAAAAGTATAAATGCTGAATAAAACTTTTTTTTTATCTGAGGATAATCAGCTGGACACCCCAAATTAAATGTTGTTGGCTTTTATTTTACTAAGATGTGCACAGTCTTCTTATGAGCAAGCTACAATTTAACATTATATAGATGACTCATGATCCTGATCCATGAAGTTGTTTTCTGAACTAAGTATATAAAAAATTATCATAATTCTTACAAAAAAATCTTCATATAAGGTTGTCTGAACCGGGATGGAGATAAATACAGTCTAAAAAGAAATGAAAATCACCTTCAAAGATTGCAAAACTCGATCTCGAACATCCAAATTAATTTGTCTATCTTTCCAATGTTTATATCGTGTAAACTTAACTTTATTTTGATAGTATATTCCTCTGTTTCTAAGTGCCAAGACTGAGATGATGTTCAAGTTTGAAACAATTTTTAAACTTTCTATATGTTCTGAGCTTGTTGCTCCGTTTGGTATTCATGATATCGTCAATATTAATTTGGTTTGACAATATCTCGTGAAATTTTGCTTCATTCTGAGTTGAACTCTACAAGAATTTTATTTTTACAAGTCAGTATTAAATACATTTTTAAGATTTCAATCTGAAAAATTTATGAATATGTTCAACCCATGATTCTTTTTTATAAGCTATCTAGAAACATGGAGTATGATGTCCTATAAGCAGACAATCATAGACAACACTGTTCTTGGTGATTTTTAATATTTATATCCTTGGGTCTTGTCTGATATTTATCTTATCATGTTATTGTAAAATGATAAGTAGAATACAGTATTGGTTGACTTCAAATAAGTCTACTTTTTACTCCAATTTTAGAAGTATTCGATTTTACACCCAAAGCAAATTTACAGAAGTTTTTGTGGATTTTCTCAACAACTAGTTTTTCTAACTCTTTTGATAAAACTTTAAATGGATCATTCTTACGTTTATTAACTTGAAAACGTCGCCGAATTTTTTAACCGTCCAATAAGACAGGTTTTACTGGGTGTGAAATATATACAATAAGGGGTGATATTTAGTCTTGGGGGTGTACAAGCTTTATATAATTTAAAGTATGACTTTAAGTCCTTGTCACAGAGGTTTGCCTGACTACAGCATAGGAATATGCACATGAAGCTGAAAAGACGACTCATTGGCAATGCAATCATTCCACATCTCCTTATTTTTATACCTAAATAACTAGACCTTTGTACACATTGACTGTTCGTATAATTAGATTTAGACTAGATTCACTTGTTGATAATAATAAGGCTATAACAATCGTCTGCAAATATAAGACAATTTATTTTTGATACTTCAACTTAAATTATCCCATTATCAAACTCCAATAGTAGATGTAAAAAGAATCTGATCTTCTATTTTGAAGTTTTACGTATACCTGTATATTTTGGTACGTCATGGGTTTTATTAACTGTAGAAATTGGAGCCAATCCCCGTTCTTTTTAGTTTATAGATACGTTTGTTGTTTTCCAATATATTAAGCATTACTTGCAATAAAAACACGTTTATTCTTTCAATAAAATGGGGGAAAAAACCAAATTTTAATGATTGACAAAATTTGTGGTTCTACTCACAACGTCACAATATAACGTCACTTAGTTACACAGTACAAATGTAAGACCCTTAGTCTGTAATTGTTCACAGGGTAAAGGTAAGTTGTTCCATTTCATTCATTCATTCTTTCACTTTAATATCTAATGTTTTTGAGATGATGAAAAGTTTAAAATTATGGACACTAATTTTGGCCTTCTTTTTCTTTAGGGGTCCATATATCTTAGGGTTAAGGTTCATTTATGCATGGTTATAGTTAGGGGATGTTTTAGGTTAGGGTTTACTGTTAGGTTTTAGGGTTATGAATAGTGTTAGGGTAGGCTTTGGGTTAGGGTAAGGTTTAGGGTTAAGGATAATTTAGCATAACTCTATATGGGTTGGGACCCCTATAGTAAAAGGCCCCAATTTCATTCACACTATATGACATCTTCCGTCAAGATACGGGCGATTAAATAAAAATACAAAAAGCTGTATTTTTTTTTTTATCAAAAGAACTAGAAGCATGCAATAAAGGAAATTCACAAAGATATGTATGGGGGGTTTCTTTTACTCACTCCTAATCAGATAAGCCTCTTCACCGAAACGTTTTCTGTTGTTTAAAACAACAAAAGACAACAAGTAATCTTCATTATCCTGAAGTTTTGTTAATACACTGAAGAAGATGCAATTAATCGACAGAAGAACCATATAATATACTGTACTTACAATATTTCACTTGCGGCAGGAAATGAAAGTAGACCATGGGAAAAAAATCCAAGGCACTACCGTAATCTATTGGCTAAACAAATAGTTATTGCCCCGAAAATCTCCGGCATTATTATTTATATAAAAATAAGAAGATTGCGTTTGATTGCCCTTGACACAACTCTCCACCATAAACCAAAGGACGAGGATGTAAACAATTATAAGGTACTTCAATAATGAGTAATGCCCATATCGTATAGTTGTCATGCATGGGATAGAAGTTCCTTAATAATATTATTTCCACAGGAAGAAAAATTACAGCATTTGTTCCTAACAGAATAAAGGGTATAGAATATTTGTTCCTAACAGAATAAAGGGTATAGAATATTTGTTCCTAACAGAATAAAGGGTATAGAATATTTGTTCCTACATCAAGAGATATAGCATTATCTATAAAAAAAAATCCAGAGGAACCTCTAGTAGGAGGAACACATATACATTGAAATAGTAATTAAGATATAAAAGGCACCGGCATGACGAAATTCGAAGCAATTCAAATGAGAAAAACACAATACAAAAAACAAAAAAAGTCAGACAGCATCCAATGACAAACGCTGAATTACAGGGTTCTAACTTGGGAACGGCATATAAAGAATATGGAGGGATTACACATGTTTGTGATGCTCAACACTCCACATAACCTGGGTGAAGTAACAGTGATGTAAAGCACAACATAAAAATGAACTATACAATTCAGTTAGCCAAAAGGTTTGACTAGTCAGATTGGCACCAAGCACACACGTCAACTAACAAAAAAGACAAAAAAAACATAAGGTACCGATCTTGAGTATACTCGCATTTATTAAAAACTAGGTAAATATTATTTATTACAGAAATCGAGCGATAACTATTTTGGAATATGAAACCAATATATTTGTCGAAAATCTTCGTGTTTATCCGTCCTTAATATCAATTGACAAGATAAGTTCAAATATGAAGCAACAGTCTTTGATGTATATGTGATTTTCTTCTATTTTCCTATTAAAAAAATATGGAGATGTGGTAGATTGCCAATGAGATAACTATCCACTAGAGTCTCAATGATGTGGATGTAAGAAACGATTAGCTAAATTCATACCGTATAGTCAGCATTAAAAAGCCCCGACATGACAAAATGTGAAACAAGTCAAACGAGAAAACCAACGGCTTAATTAATGACAAAAGAAGTAACGATGACAGCCATAAACTAAAGACAACCACTGAATTATAGGCACATAAAGCATGTAGCAGGGTTAAACATGGCCTGGTTCATTCGAATAAACAAGATATAATATATTAGGCAAATTCTAAAGCTTTATTTTATATCTGTCACCATGAGCTATTTATTAACTCCAGAATTCAGCGAGGAATCACAAACCTAGTCGAACATGTTAACACCGAGATTTGAGTATATATATATCAGCGAGGCTAACTTTGATTTGACACGGAATAGCACTAAGGGTCATCCTAGCTGCTATATTGATAGCATGACAAAATCAGCCGCTCGACTATTTTAGAGTTCGTGTGATTCCTTTTCCGCTTTACTCCCATTTAGCAACTTCTTCCTTGGAATTTGAGGTCATACTTGGTAGAAGCAGACATATAATACAATTATATGTCTCTGGTAGAAGATACTCTTTGTTGGTAACACTATATAATTATATTGATCTATCATGATATACATGTTCTAATTTCAGATGATAGTGTTTGCAATGCAACTAGCTCTTAGCGCCATGGACACTTGCAAATGGTTTAAGGACGAGTTTGAATTAAAAGGTACGTAGTCACCAGCATATTTTGTCACCTTATGGACATATGATATAAAATAAGGAGATGTTGTATGATTGCCAATCCACGAGGGACTAAATGACATAGATGTTAGCAACTATATAAAACTGCTTTCAGCCAGAAAATTAATATTAATTTATACCACAAATTTCAAATCTAATAAATTATAATATAACCAAACTGCAGTTTTAATGCTAGAACGATTTTACAAATTGAAACATTGAAGGAGAGAGGGAAGTTCTATCAAATTATTTCTTCAACTCAGTGCATGTGGCGTACGCATGTTCAAGTCGTGTCAGCCTTGGTAACAGTCAATTTTCGTCACATTCACATGGAAATATCATTCAATTTCACTATCTTAACGGAATCATTATTTGACAAATTATGACCTGAAACCCCAATTCCAATCAATACAAACTAACAGCTATCATGTCTGATATTGGTAATCACAAATTTCAAAATCTATCAGTATGGGTAAATTTTCAGGTTTTAAACTACACAATTGTACTAAAACGTAGTTTGCAATACCACTTACGCAAAATTAACTTAAAAAGGTTTTGGCTGTCTTTTTTTTTTTTTGGGGGGGGGGGGGGGGGGGGGGGGGGGGGGGGGCGGCGGAGAGGTTTTTTTTTTGTTGGTCTTTGGTTTTTATTCTGTCAAACGCTTTATACAAGAAAAGATAAGATAACTTTTATTTGTGAACAGAGAACATATTAGTATCAGAATAATGCTTAGTGGTCCTTTGAAACAAATGATTGTGCATTTAAAATGACTTTGCATGTTAAGAGTGTTTAGGAAAATACAACAATTTACATATATACATAAACAGCCACACTGAAAACAACCTTGTATACTTAACTGATTGCCGAGACCAACATAAAAATCAGCATTGACCCTCTAAAAATATCTGTGGGTCCTCTCATGAGGATTTTACATGTACTGGACATACTACCAAATATGGAAACGTGGTATGTGTTACATAATCAACACTTAAACAGTAATCTGTGCTCAAGATTTCTAAATTTATTTTTTACCATTAAGTCAGAAAAAACGTGACCAAACTATATATTTCGACTTATTCAGGACTATTTCCATATACATGTACATAAACAACCACACTAAAAAGCAGATTCAAATAATTTGCTAAGCCAATATTCATTGAATGAGCAGGTATTAAACTTGATGAGTTTAATGTACAATATAAAAACTGATGATTTATAATTTACCTATAAACGTCCATTGGCAAATATTTAATACAAATACAAGACCTTTGAAGTTGATAAGTACTACGTAGGTAAATGTCAATATGGAACTTCATAATGCTCCGATAGCAACCAATACAGGCTGCACAATGTTTTAAAGGAACAATCCTTATTTTTTCCAAAATAATTTGTCAGAATGTTAGAAGAAACACTAGACATTTCAGAACGATGAGGGGCTCTGTTTGGTTTGGAAATATCAAATACATTATGCACTGATGACTGCTAAAGTAATATAAAGTGTAACTGTTGATGTACATTGCTAGTTGTTTCCCCCTCCTTGGTGTTATATGTGTTGTAGACCTATAATATTTGTGTTTTGCGAAGAATACATAGTAAAAAAAAAATGCCCAGTGTAGTAACACTAATACCGGTGAATTTCTAATTTCTAGACAATTCATGAGACCTTTTTAAATTGTATTTAGTAAATTTAATCTTATCTGAATCAGTACCAATATTCCAAAAGAATTTTTTTTCCAATTACATAGCACATATCTTCTGTTGAAATATTTAACTATTATTATTGATAAAACTGGTAAAAAAACATGGAAATTATTTTCTTTAAGTACCTTTAAAGAATTTTGATTTATACCATAACGACAGAAAAAAACAGGACAAAAATATACTTGAAAACTATACGGTATTGATAACTTTTCCCATATACATAAACAACCTGGAAAGAAGATTTGACTAATTTGCTAGTACATGTAAAGGGTTGGAATATACCAAAGAAGACTAAAATACATGTAAAAATACGATATTAATATAATCTTATATCTGCCTTCACAGAAGCCTACAGGGTTCGACTATACCAAAGAAGACGGAATAGACATGTAAAAAGTCATAGATACCAAAAACAGCAAAAAAGGCTTAAAGAAAGTTTATTTATGTGGCAAAGTGAAGAGGACTTAGATTTATTACGATGTATGTTTGAATAAAAAACAATAAATCTGAGAAAAATAAACTAAGTTGTTTTATTCTTGTGAATTTATGGATTTTAATATCCATGAAATGTTGAAATAAAGATGAATTATACATTAAAGTTTTGTTCTTTAAAGAACTTCCATGTGGTTAAACCCAAAATAAGCGAATATGTTTGCAGGCATTTCTTTTAAATTAATATTTTCAAATGAAATGCTGACTGTTTGAAATTGTACTATATAAGATTTTCCTAACACATAATCTAAGATATTTTTAATATTATATTTTTGCCAGTCTATTTAGGATACATTGATACTAAAGCTACATCAGAGACGACGGTTGACTAAAGTGTATGTGAGAAGCAGCTATCACTCATCCTAAAAAGTTTAGTTTATTGTAAAGTAACAGATCATAGTTTAGCTGTACAAAGGATTCTTTTGCCAAGCCTGAGTGGGAAAACAGAAGTAAAAGTTACTCATACATCTGAAAAGGAAAGATAAATGTGAAATGTTGTCAATCAAGTAATCGGATTTGTTGTTGATTTGACATTAAATACATGTAATTACCAATTAAAAATTACTATTACCTTTTGTAAAGTTTCATTTTATTAATATATCTTCACATCATAAACCTCTCCTCGACCCTTACATCCAGCTGTCCAATAAACCTCTCCTCAATCCTTACATCCAGCTGTCCAATAAACCTCTCCTTGACCGTTACATCCAGCTGTCCAATAAACCTCTCCTCAATCCTTACATCCAGCTGTCCAATAATGCAGACCTTAAATATACAACTGGCTACTGAGTGACATTAGCTGGGTGACCTACATTTTTATCTGCGTCACCAAAGGACAAATGCAGGTCTAGTTACTGCTCAACTCCATCTATTCGTCTGTCAGAAAGACCTTGTGTAGAATTTTTTGTCCAATTTTTCTTAGCTTCTATGAAAGGATATGATTTTATATTTGGTCTGCAGCTTTGTGACGTTAAGTTTTAGTTAGTTGGGAAGCATTTTTTACATCTGCAGTGCAGCCATTTCCTGTTTGACGATAGTTTGAAATTTTACAACACTCATTGTACAAGGATAACTTTTGTTAAATTTTTCTTCGCTTCTTTGAAAGGGAATGATTTTATATTTAGCATCCAGCTTTAAAATGTTGATTTGTAGAAGGTGAGCAATATTTACATCTGCAGGGCAGCCTATTTTTGTTTACCAATAGTTTGAAATTTTACAACAATCATTGTACAAGGAAAATTTGTCGTCAAAGTTTTCATGGCTTCAATGAAAAGAATGATCAGCTATGCTTCATTATACACGTTTAAACCTCAATCAATTACATGCAGGGACACAGGTCAATACCCGCTATTGGTCTTGTTTACTGTTATTACTAGTAAAAGTCATAAACTGGAATCCGCTTGTATTACGCTACACTCAAACAAACTATGAACAAAGTGTAGTAGTCAGCCGAGAACCAGCTTATAAAAGTCATATTCAATACTGAATTGTGACATTAAAAATGTATTTGTAGTAAATGATTGGAACATGTAATTAGCAGTTGCTCTTCTGGTCATAGATGTTTATGGTTGCTACAAGTTTTACAAATCAAAATATTAATGAACCCCCACTTTTAACAATTGGGGGGACTATGATTTGCTTCCTCCCACTTTTGGCACCACAAAAAATACTGAAAATAAAACATGAAAATAATAGAGAACACTGACTAACTTCTAGAATATAAGACTAAAGGTTTGTTTTTGCAAGTCATTTTCAAAAGATTTCCTATCCACACTTTTGAGTCTACTCCCACGCCAGTAAGATCATTAAAAGCTAGTTCAACAATTTTAAATAGATAAAATTTTAAAGATGGGAATATTGATATTGTAGTAAAAATAAAGTGAACATAATTTTTAGAAATTTATTTTGTCATATTGAATCTGTGTTAATGTTGTGACAAACAGAATGACATAATTACAAAACGGAAACCCTGATTGACAACTGACTGAAATCATGCAATAATTTGCCTACATTCATGTACTGAAAACAAATGATATTGTCATGATAAGAATCAGTTTCGCTGTCTGTATCATTATCTCTTATCATCATCAAGCACTTTTTGTCTTTTCATAAACCTAACTTTCCAGAGAACATAAAGGTTTTGTCCATAAATTGGCCCATAGCAGTGATGATGTTACATGTACTACTCTTCCTTATGAACATCACATGTTTTTTTTATTATTTATACAATTAGTAGTCATGAGTACCCATCAGTCGACTCCTTCCAGATCATCATCTTCACTGTCTATAACTTCAGGTTCTCTATACCTGTTTCTATGTTAAGGGTATATTCTAAAGACCTTGTATTGTATTGCCAATTTTATTATGCATCACATTGGTTTTTTTAAATGATGCCAATGATCGTGAACCAATCAGGGCATTTAAATGATATAATGGGTTGATAAGCTCAAGTTGTTTATATAAATGTTGATAAATAACAGTGACTACAACTCAGATTACCATTCATTCACTGGTTAAATTTAATGAATCAAAACATTTTCTTTGTAACTTTTCCCACAGATTCTCTACACAAAATCAGTATTATTAAAAATGTATGATACTGATTACCGTGTGTACAATGTGTATATCTGGAATGACCTTCATAAAAAACACTCAAGACTAAAAGGTTTGGAAGCCGATTACATAAAACCATAGTGACCTTCAAAATGAAATGGTCCTCAAAATTACTGTTGAAGGTCATCTTTGCCTACTTCAAACATGAAAATGAAATCTGTATGTCATGTATATAATTTGAGCCTTTAAAATGAATTACACACCATTCAATGGGGAGGGAGTATTCTCTAAATACTATTGACCATGAATATTTATTCTCTTAAACTATATTTTAATTTTGTGCCACTCTTGAATTTTTTTATTATTGATGTGATATCATTATTTTGTGATTCTGTGTATAAAAGACTGTCAGTCATTAAATTTTCCATTAAGAGAAGAACCTTATAATCTCAATGGCGCTACACCCGATACTGTAGATTTATTATTATTCGTGGAATACCTATTTCATGGGTACAAGTGAACCACAAATTTAAATGTTCAACGAAGTAAAAAAAATCATAGTCTTGTATGCAGACTTTATCAAAACAATCAATTCAAATATTCACAAAAAATACATTTTTTTCTTGATCCACAAAAATAGGTACACAAGAAAAACAAGCATTCTATGTGTATTGCATGGCAAACCATAGTCCCCTACCGGTTTAAAATTCATTGTATTTGAACAAAATTCTAACTTGATCTACAACTTGTCATGGTGTAAACTATATAACAAATACCAAGTCAATATCTTCAAGCATGACGAAAAAAAGTGTTGAAAACTGATTATTTGAGTGAATTTTCTAAGTCCAAGGACCATAACTATGCACAAAATCATCAGACCGGAACAAAATTCTAACTTGATCTGTAACTTGTTCTGATTAAACTATATACCAATTTTTAAACAATATCTTCAAGCATGACGAAAAAAAGTGTGGAAAACTGATTATTTGAGTGAGTTTTCTAAGTCCAAGGACCATAACTCTGCACAAATCATCAGACTGGAACAAAATTCAAACTTGAACAGTAACTTGTCATGATAAAACTATATACCAATTATCAAATCAATATCTTCAAGAATGACAAAAAAAATGCAGAAAACTGATTATTTTAGTGAATTTTCTAAGTCAAAGGAACATAACTCCGCACAAAATCATCAGACTGGAACAAAATTCAAACTTGATCTGTAACTTGCCATGATAAAACAATACACCAAATATCAAATCAATATCTTCAAGAATGAAGAAAAAAAGTGTGGAAAACTGATTTGCCGGACTGACGGTTCGACACAAAGACAGACAGACGGAGTGCAAACCTAAAGTCCCCTTCCACTTCGTCGGTAGGGGACTAATAAATGAATCAACCTAAAAGAGACATAACTCCTGTAAAAATAATAGGATTTTTCAAACTCACCTTAAATTATCATGCAAAAACAGGACCAAAAAATTAACACTGCCACCAAATTTGTGGTCTTGATGGTCATAATGAACTCTGCTATGATCACATATGAAATAAACTGCTTCGCTGAGCGCAGCTGGATACGCCCGCAGAGGTCCAACCCTGAACAGTTGGGGCAAAAATGGACACAATATTCAAGCTTGATACAGGTCTGAATTTGGATTGTCATTAAATATTTGACATATTACAGGTTTCTGAATAAATGTAGTCAAAGAACTTGAAATTGGTTATATGAATTGAATTTATATTCAATTAAAAAATTCTTGCTGTTGTGCAATACACTGTGCTGTTGTGCAATACTTAGTAAATCTGTTGTCAGACTATAAACAAATAAAGTTCAATCAATTCTCAATGTCATATTAGAAATTTATGAAAATCAAAAGGGAGCTTACATCAATAGATATAAACAATTCACCAAAGTTTCATGAGAATTGCTGACAGCATTTTTGAGTTATTGTCCGAAAACTGGAAAATCCCCCCTTTTTTAATGAATAAAACCCCATAACTCAGAAATGTAAAATGTAAAATTTATAAAATTCTAAATGGAGCTTACATCAATAGATATAAACTATTCATCAAAGTTTCATAAGAACTGCTGAAAGCATTTTTGAGTTTTTGTCTGAAAACTGGAAAATCCCCCTTTTTTTTTAATAAAACCCTGTAACTCGGAAACTTAAAGTCTAAAATTTATAAAAATCGAAAGGGAGCTCATGTCAATAGATATAAACAATTCACCACAATTTCTTGCAAGTTGGTGAAAGCATTCTTGAGTTATTGTCCGAAAACTGGAAAATCCCCCTTTTTTTAATGAATAAAACCCTATAACTCGGAAATGTAAAATCTAAAATTCATAAGAAACGAAAGGGAGCTCACGTCAATAGATATAAACAATTCACCAAAGTTTTATGCAAATTGGTTAAAGAGTTTTTGAGTTAATGTCCGACATGTTGACGACGGACGGACAGACGGACAGACGGACGGACGGACAAACGGACAACGGTATACCATAATACGTCCCGTAAACGTACGGAAAACGAGCGTATAAAAAGTAGCATCAACTGTAGGATGCAAGAATTACAAATCTACCTAGAATACCTACTGCTTAAATTCAAAATGTTATTTGTATAATAAATAATTTGTATAGTACATAAAAAGAGTGAAGAGTGAATTGCTAAAAGTACCCCATAGTACAACAGACCACATCAACCACCTACACCTGATTTCTCCGGAAAAAACTTACTATGAAAAACAAAGACTAACAACAACAACAAACACATCAACATTTATAATTGTGAAACTACAAACAAAAACGATTGATAATGAAAGGTTCCTGTACATTTTGCTTGAATGATTGGTGTTTAACACTACTTTCAGCACTATTGTGCTATTTCGTGAAGGTCAGTTTTTATTGGTGGAGGAAGCCGTAGTGCCCAGAGAGAACCACAACCTTTGGTAGGAAAACTGACAATCCTTGTCAATTAAGATTGGAGTCAAGTCCACCTGCCACATGCAGGATTCAAAAGTTACAGCCTCACTTTTGACAGGCTAGTAATACAGTAATTCTTTTTAAGTTTTACAAATTAAAATAAAAGGTCTTTAGAATCTTTTTGGATATTAATCAACCCCCACTTTTAATAAAATGCTCCGCAGGGCGCAGCTTGATACGACCGCAGAGGTCGAACCCTGAACAGTTGGGGCAAGTATGGACACAACATTCAAGCTTGATACAGCTCTGAATTTGGATTGTGATTAAATATTTGACACAGCATAGGTTACTGACACAGAATGAATGTGGTCTAAGAACTTAATTTTTTTTTATTAAATTGGACATTCACCTATTATGGTCCAATATCCAAAATCTAAATACATGGTTAGATTCAGCATATCAAAGAACCCCAAGAATTCAATTTTTGATGAAATCAAACAAAGTTTAATTTAGGACCCTTTTGACCTCAATGTGGACAAAGTTGATAACGGGGCCCAAAAATCAAAAATCTAAATACATGGTTAGATTCAGCATATCAAAGAACCCCATATATTCAATTTTTGTTGAAATCAAACAAAGTTTAATTTTGGACCCCGATTTGGACCAACTTGAAAACTGAGCCCATAATCAAAAATCTAAATACATGTTTAGATTCAGCATATCAAAGAACCCTAAGAATTCAATTTTTGTTAAAATCAAACTTAGTTTAATTTTGAACCCTTTGGACCTTAATGTAGACCAATTTGAAAACGGAACCAAAAATAAAGAATTTAACTACACGGTTAGATTCGGCATATCAAAGAACCCCAAGAATTCAATTTTTGATGAAATCAAACAAAGTTTAATTTAGGACCCTTTTGACCTCAATGTGGACAAAGTTGATAACGGGGCCAAAAATCAAAAATCTAAATACATGGTTAGATTCAGCATATCAAAGAACCCCATATATTCAATTTTTGTTGAATCAAACAAAGTTTAATTTTGGACCCCGATTTAGACCAACTTGAAAACTGGGCCCATAATCAAAAATCTAAATACATGTTTAGATTCAGCATATCAAAGAACCCTAAGAATTCAATTTTTGTTAAAATCAAACTAAGTTTAATTTTGAACCCTTTGGACCTTAATGTAGACCAATTTGAAAACGGAACCAAAAATTAAGAATCTAAATACACGGTTAGATTCGGCATATCAAAGAACCCCAATAATTCAATTTTTGATGAAATCAAACAAAGTTTAATTTTGGACCCTTTGGACCTCAATGTGGACCAATTTAAAATCGGGGCCCAAAATCCAAAAACTTAATACACGGTTAGATTCAGCATATTAAAGAACCCCAAGAATTCAAGAATAAAACCCCATTGAAATTGATCAAGAAATAAGCAATTAATACTGTGCAATTGAATATTTCTTGCTATTGCGCAATACTGTACAATTGACAATTTCTTGCTATTGCGCAATATTGTGCTATTGGATATTTCTTGCTATTGCGCAATACTGTGCAATTGAAGATTTCTTGCTATTGCGCAATACTGTGCAATGAAAGATTTCTTGCTATTGTGCAATACTGTGCAATTGAAAATTTCTTGCTATTGCACAATACTTATTATATAATAATTTACACATCCTGTTTGGTGTGTATCTCCTACCATATCATTATTATTTGCTTTTAAATATAAATCAGAAATAACCAACTTAAAATGGAAAATTTTAAAAGAAAAAAAAAGGAAAAAAAGAAAAAAAAATGAAAAAAAAAAAATCCCCCCCCCAATTTTTTGAAACCCCTTATGATTCATCACCCCCAAACTCAATCCCAGCCTTCCCTTTGTGGTATGGTACCTTGCAGTACAATTTCAGAGAGATCCATACACTTGAACACAAGTTATTGTCCTGAAACTAGAAAAATGCTTGTTTTTTTCCCCTTTTTGTCCCCTTATTCCTAAAATTTTGAGGGAATTACCCCCAAAATCAATCCCAGCCTTCCCTTTGTGGTATGGTACCTTGCAGTACAATTTCAGAGGGATCCATACACTTGAACACAAGTAATTGTCTGGAAACTATAAAAATGCTATTTTTGGCCCCTTTTTGGCCCCTTATTCCTAAATGTTTTAGGCAATTACCCCCAAACTCAATTCCAGCTTTCCCTTTGTGATATTGAACCTTGTAGTTCAATATCAGAAAGATCCATACACTTACACACAAGTTATTATCATGAAACTAGAAAAATGCTTGTTTTTTGCCCCTTTTTTGGCCCCTAATTCCTAAAATTTTGAGGCAATTACCCCCAAAACCAATCCCAGCATTACCTTTGTGATATGGAACCTTGTGGTACAATGTCAGAGAGATCCATACACGAACACACAAGTTATGTCTGGAAGTTACAAAAATGCTTATTTTTGGCCCCTAATTCCTTAACTGTTGGTACCATAACCCCCAAAATCAATCCCAACCTTCCTTTTGTGGCATTGAACCTTATGGTAAAATTTCACGGAGATCCATTCACTTAAACTAAAGTTAGAGTGCGAAAACCAATGTGTCTTCGGACGACGCCGGACGACGCCAGACGACGACGACGACGACGACGACGACGCCAACGTCATACCAATATACGACCAAAAAATTTTTAATTTTTGCAGTCGTATAAAAATTGCGGAAATATGTTTAGCTCCCTCCCACTTTTGGCACCACAAAAAAAATGAAAATAAAAAATGAAAATGAAAGAGAACACTGACTAACTTCTAGACTATTAGACTATATTTTTGTTTTTGCTAGTCATTTTCAAAAGATTGCCTCCTCCTACTTTTCTATCTACTCCTACACCACTGAGATCATTAAAAGCTAGTTCAACAATTCTAAACAGATAAAATCTTAAAGATAGGAATATTGATATTGTAGTAAAAATAAACATATTTATTTTTAATTTAATTTGTCATATTGAATCTGTGTTAATGTTGTGACAAACAGAATGACATAATTACAAAAAGGAAACCATGATTGACAACTGACTGAAATCATGCAATAATTTGCCTACATTCATGTACTGAAAACAAATGATATTGTCATGATAAGAATCAGTTTCGCTGTCTGTATCATTATCTCTTATCAAAATCAAGCACTTTTTATATTTTTCATAAACCTAACTTTCCAGAGAACATAAAGGTTTTGTCCATAAATTGGTCCATAGCAGTGATGATGTAACATGTATTACTCTTCCTTATGAATCACATGTTTGTTTTATTGTTTATACAATTAGTAGTCATGAGTACCCATCAGTCGACTCCTTCCAGATCATCATCACTGTCTATAACTTCAGGTTCTCTATATCTGTTTCTATGTTAAGGGTATATTCTAAAGACCTTGTATTGTATTGCCAATTTCATTATGCATCACATTGGTTTTTTTAAAAGATGCCAATGATCATGAACCAATCAGGGCATTTAAATGATATAATGGGTTGATAAGCTCAAGTTGTTTATTTAAATGTTGATAAATAACAGTGACTACAACTCAGATTACCATTCATTGGTTAAATTTAATGAATCAAAACATTTTCTTTGTAACTTTTCCCACAGATTCTCTACACAAAATCAGTATTATTAAAAATGTATGATACTGATTACTGTGTGTACATTGTGTTTTTCTGGAATGACCTTCATAAAAATCACTCCAGACTAAAAGGTTTGGAAGCCAATTACATAAAACCATAGTGACCTTCAAAATGAAATGGTCCTCAAAATTACTATTGATCGTCATCTTTGCCTACTTCAAACATATGAAAATGAAATCTATATGTCATGTATATAATTTGAGCCTTTAAAATGAATTACACACCATTCAATGGGAGGGAGTATTCTCCAAATACTATTGACCAAGAATATTTATTCTCTTAAACTATATTTTAATTTTGTGCCACTCTTGAAATTTTTACTATTGATATGATATCATTATTTTGTGATTCTGTGTATAAAAGACTGTGAGTCATTAAATTTTCCATTAACAGAAGAACCTTATAATCTCAATGGTGTTACACCTGATACTGTAGATTTATTATTATTTGTTGAATACCTATTTCATGGGTACAAGTGAACCACAAATCTAAATGTTCAACAAAGTAAAAAAAATCATAGTCTTGTATGCAGACTTTGTCAAAATCATCAATTCAAATATCCACAAAAATATAATTTTTCCTTAATCCACAAAAATAGGTACCCAAGAACATAAATAAATCTTCAGTAAGTTGAATGCAATAAATGTGTATGATGTCTTGCAAATGAATTATCAAGGAAGAGTTCAGGTACAATGGAAGTGTTCTAAAAAATTGAAGGTCCTGTCGGTCCACACCACCAAAAATCAGGTAGGTCCATAAATTTCGAGTGTAGTGTTGGTCCTAATGTCCACTTGAAAGTATGAGATAATTTAATAATGGAACATATATATCATTGTGCAAATCAGCCTTATCTAACTAAACCTATGGAAATAAAAGAACAGAGTTCCAATGTTCCCTGTGTTGCACTTATTTTATCTGTCCAAGGGTAATAACTTAAAAAAAAAAATTTCATTACTTTTTGATAAATAACTTGCAAGAAATGTAGGCATGAGATCATTAAGTAAGTTATTTCCTGATGTTTCTATTTTCGAGGGGCACAGCCACAGGCACTTGTCTCAGAAAAAAAACCTATATACCACAATATAATACATCAAGGTATATAGGAATTTTTTTTCTGAGACAAGTGCCTGTGGGCACAGCTCCTGTAAAACAATTAGTGTTTATTTAAAATGTGTGTATTGAAAACATTTAATTCTTTTTGGAATTCTGAGTTAGGAGCAATTGTCTGGTGTACAATGTGTGTATCTGGAATGACCTTTATCAAAAACACTTCAGACGAACTCTCCCAACTCTTCCAAGCCATTACTGATGTAGGCCTTTAATATAAACTTCATAAAAATTTGACAAGAATTGAAGGTGTGAGACTGCTTACAATGCAATGTTCAATATAAATTACATTTCAAAGAGACATAACTCCTGTAAAAATAATAGATTAGCGCTGACTTTTCGAACTCACCTAAAATTGTTATGCAAAAACAGGACCACAAAATTAACGCTGCCACCAAATATGTGGTCTTGATGGTTCTGATGGTCCTTATGAACACCAGGCTAAAAAAGATTCCCAGAACTCTGCTATGATCACATATGCAAAAAGTAGCATCAATTGTAGGAAGCTGGAATTACAATTCTACCTAAAATACCAACTGCTTATTCAAAATGTTATTTGCATAATAAATAATTTGAAGAGTAAATAAAAAGAGTGAAGAGATAACAGAAATCCCCATAGTACAACAGACCACATCAACCACCTACACCTGATTCCTCCGGAAAAAACTTACTATGAAAAACAAAGACTAACAACAACAACAAACACATCAGCATTTATAATTGTGAAACTACAAACAAAAATGACTGATAATGAAAGGTTCCTGTACATTTTGCTTGAATGATTGGTGTTTAACACTACTTTTCAGCACTATTGTGCTATTTAATGGCAGTCAGTTTTTATTGGTGGAGGAAGCCGGAGTGCCCAGAGAGAACCACGACCTTTGGTAGGAAAACTGACAATCCTGGTCAATTGAGATTGGAGTTGTCCTCCTGCCAGGTGCGGGATTCGAAACTTACAGCCTCACTTTTGACAGCCTAGTAATACAGTAATTCTTTTTAAGTTTTACAAATCAAAATAAAAGGTCTTTAGAATCTTTTTGGATATTAATCAACCCCCTTTTTTATAAATTGCAAGAATATGTTTAGCTCCCTCCCACTTTTGGCACCACAAAAAAAAATGAAAATAAAAAATGAAAATGAAAGAGAACACTGACTAACTTCTAGACTATTAGACTATATTTTTGTTTTTGCTAGTCATTTTCAAAAGATTGCCTCCTCCCACTTTTCTATCTACTCCTACACCACTGAGATTTTTAAAAGCTAGTTCAACAATTCTAAATAGATAAAATCTTAAAGATGGGAATATTGATATTGTAGTAAAAATAAACATATTTATTTTTAATTTAATTTGTCATATTGAATCTGTGTTAAATGTTGTGACAAACAGAATGACATAATTACAAAAAGGAAACCCTGATTGACAACTGACTGAAATCATGCAATAATTTGCCTACATTCATGTACTGAAAACAAATGATATTGTCATGATGAGAATCAGTTTCGCTGTCTGTATCATTATCTCTTATCATCATCAAGCACTTTTTGTCTTTTCATAAACCTAACTTTCCTGAGAATATAAAGGTTTTGTCCATAAATTGGTCCATAGTAGTGATGATGTAACATATATTACTCTTCCTTATGAATCACATGTTTTTTTTATTGTTTATACAATTAGTAGTCATGAGTACCCATCAGTCAACTCCTTCCAGATCATCATCATCACTGTCTATAACTTCAGGTTCTCTATATCTGTTTCTATGTTAAGGGTATATTCTAAAGACCTTGTATTGTATTGCCAATTTCATTATGCATCACATTGGTTTTTTTAAAAGATGCCAATGATCATGAACCAATCAGGCCATTTAGATAATATAATGGGTTGATAAGCTCAAGTTGTTTTTTTACATATTGATAAATAACAGTGAATACAACTCAGATTACCATTCATTCACTGGTTAAATTTAATGAATCAAAACATTTTCTTTGTAACTCTTCCCACAGATTCTCTACACAAAACCAGTATTATTAAAAATGTATGATACTGATTACCGTGTGTACAATGTGTGTATCTGGAATTACCTTCATAAAAAACACTTCAGACTAAAAGGTTTGGAAGCCGATTACATGAAACCATAGTGACCTTCAAAATGAAATGGTCCTCAAAAAGACTGTCCAAGGTCATCTTTGCCTGCTTCAAACATATAAAAAATGAAATCTATATGTCATGTATATAATTTGAGCCTTTAAAATGAATTAAACACCATTCAATGGGGAGGAAGTATTCTCCAAATATTATTTCCGAAAATATTTATTCTCTTCAAAACTATATTTTAATTTTGTGGCACTCTTGAATTTTATATTATTGATATGATATCATTATTTTGTGATTCTGTGTATAAAAGACTGTCAGTCATTAAATTTTTCATTAACAGAAGAACCTTATAATCTCAATGGCGCTACACCTGATACTGTAGATTTATTATTATTCGTGGAATACCTATTTCCATGGATTTCATGGGTACAAGTGAATCACAAATTTAAATGTTCAACGAAGCAAAAAAAATCATAGTCTTGTACGCAGACTTTGTCCAGACCATCAATTCAAATATTCATTTTTTCTTGATCCACAAAAATAGGTAGCCAAGAAAACAAGCATTCTGTGAGTATTGCATGGCAATACATAGTCCCCTACCGGTTAAAATTTCTTTGTTTTGGAACAAAATTCTAACTTATCTGTAACTTGTCATGGTGTAAACTACTGTAAATTTAGAAATTATTGCGTGCATTTATTAATGCGACTTTGTCAATTTTGACTAAAATGCGATTTTAATTTTTGTGATATTGAGAAAAATCCTGTTTAATTCATATAAAAAATTTCAAAATACGAGTCTAAATTATTGCGATTATAACCCGGTCACATTTTTCACAATAATAAAAACATCGCAATAATTTCTGAATTTACAAATATCAAGTCAATATCTTCAAGCATGACGAAAAAAAGTGTGGAAAACTGATTATTTGAGTAAATTTTCTAAGTCTAAGGACCATAACTCTGCACAAAATCATCAAACCGGAACAAAATTCTAACTTGTTCTGTAACTTGTTATGATTAAACTACATACCAATTTTCAAATCAATATCTTTAAGCATGACGAAAAAAAGTGCGGAAAACTGATTATTTGAGTGAATTTTTTAAGTCCAAGGACCATAACTCTGCACAAAATCATCAGACTGGAACAAAATTCGAACTTGATCTGTAACTTGCCATGATAAAACAATACACCAAATATCAAATCAATATCTTCAAGAATGAAGAAAAAAAGTATGGAAAACTGATTTGCCGGACTGACGGTTCGACAGACAGACAGACAGAGGGAGTGCAAACCTTAAGTCCCCTTCCACTTCATCAGTAGGGGACTAATAAATGAATCAACCTAAAAGAGACATAACTCCTGTAAAAATAATAATTTGCGCTGATTTTTCGAACTCACCTAAAATAATTATGCAATAAAATGCCTGCTGAGCGCAACAAGATACAACCACAGAGGTCCAACCCTGAACAGATGGGGCAAAAATGGACACAATATTCGACCTTGATACAGTCTGAATTTGGATTGTAAATAAATATTTGACACATAATAGGTTTCTGACACCGAATAACTGTAGTCAAAGAACTTAGAATTGGTTATATGATTTGAATTTATATTCAGTTTTTTGCTTCGGTGCAATACACTATGCTGTTGCGAAATTGAATCCACACACCCCAAAAAAATTTAAAAAATCCCCCCCCCCTTTTTTTTGCAAAAAGAAATTCTGAAATCTGAAATGAAAAAAAAAATTGCCCCCACAATTTCTTTTTTATCCCCCTCCCCCCCCTAAATTTTTTTTCACCTCACCCCACCCCCACCCCCCACCTTTTCCCCCAAAAAAATTCTTTCCCTCAAGATATGGTCATAATCTCAATTCAAATTTCCAATGGAGTTTGCAACCATAATTACCAATTTAAATACATCATAAAAGTCTTCAAAAAAGAAAAAAAATCCCTCCCAAATTTTTTAAAACCCCCTTATGATTCATTACCCCCAAACTCAATCCCAGCCTTCCTTTTGAGGTATGGTACCTTGCAGTACAATTTCAGAGAGCTCCGTACCCTTGAACACAAGTTTTTGTCTTGAAACTAGAAAAATGCTTATTTTTGGCCCCTTATTCCTAAACGTTTAGGGCAATTACCCCCAAACTCAAACCCAGCTTTCCCTTTGTGATATGGAACCTTGTAGTACAATTTTAGGAAGATCCATACACTTACACACAAGTTATTGTCATGAAACTAGAAAAATGCTTGTTTTTTGCCCCTTTTTTTGCCCCTAATTCTTAAAATTTTGAGGCAATTACCCCAAAATCAATCCCAGCATTCCCTTTGTGATATGGAACCTTATGGTACAATGTTAGAGAGATCCATACACTAACACACAAGTTATTGTCTGGAAGTTACAAAAATGCTTATTTTTGGCCCCTAATTCCTTAACTGTTGGTACCATAACCCCCAAAATCAATCCCAACCTTCCTTTTGTGGTACTGAACCTTATGGTAAAATTTCATAGAGATCCATTCACTTAAACAAAAGTTAGTGTGCGAAAACCAATGTGTCTTCGGATGACGACGAAGATGACGACGACGCCAACGTCATACCAATATAAGACCAATTTTTTGCAGTCGTATAAAAACAGGACCACAAAATTAACACTGCCACCAAATTTGTAGTCTTGATGGTCCTGATGAACACCAGGCTAAAAAAGATTCCCAGAACTCTGCTATGATCACATATGAAAAAAGTAGCATCAACTGTAGGATGCAAGAACTACAAATCTACCTAGAATACCTACTTAAATTCAAAATGTCATTTGTATAATAAATAATTTGTATAGTACATAAAAAGAGTGAAGAGTGAATAGCTAAAAGTACCCCATAGTACAACAGACCACATCAACCACCTACACCTGATTCCTCCGGAAAAAACTTACTATGAAAAACAAAGACTAACAACAACAACAAACACATCAGCATTTATAATTGTGAAACTACAAACAAAAACGATTGATAATGAAAGGTTCCTGTACGTTTTGCTTGAATGATTGGTGTTTAACACTACTTTCAGCACTATTGTGCTATTTCGTGGAGGATACTTTTTATTGGTGGAGGAAGCCGGAGTGCCCAGAGAGAACCACAAACTCTGGTAGGAAAACTGACAATCCTAGTCAATTGAAATTGGAGTTGAGTCCACCTGCGGGATTCGAAACTTACAGCCTCACTTTTGACAGGCCAGTAATACAGTATTTCTACTACTTAGACCCCTCGGCCACAGAGGCCCCCTGTACATTTTGAAGTAGGCGATCAAAATAAATAAAATGCTCCGCTGGGGCGCAGCTTGATACGACCGCAGAGGTCGAACCCTGAACAGTTGGGGCAAGTATGGACACAACATTCAAGCTTGATACAGCACTGAATTTGGATTGTAATTAAATATTTGACACAGCATAGGTTTCTGACACAGAATGAATGTGGTCTAAGAACTTAAAAATTTTTAATTTACCTATTCAAACCATATCATTATTATTTGCTCTTATATATAAATCAGAAATAACCAATTTAAAATGGAAAATTTTAAAGAAAAAAAAGGAAAAATAAAATCCCCCCCCAAATTTTTTGAACCCCCTTATGATTCATCACCCCCAAACAAAATCCCAGCCTTCCCTTTGTGGTATGGTACCTTGCAGTACAATTTCAGAGAGATCCATACACTTGAACACAAGTTATTGTCTGGAAACTAGAAAAATGCTTGTTTCTTGGCCCCTTTTTGGCCCTAAATTCCTAAACGTTTTGGGCAATTACCCCCAAACTCAAACCCAGCTTTCCCTTTGTGATATGGATCCTTGTAGTACAATTTCATAAAGATCCATACACTTACACACAAGTTATTGTCCTGAAACTAGAAAAATGCTTGTTTTTTGGCCCCTTTATGGCCCCTAATTCCTTAAATTTTGAGGAAATTGCCCCCAAAATCAATCCCAGCCTTCCCTTTGTGGTATGGTACCTTGCAGAACGATTTCAGAGAGATCCATACACTTGAACACAAGTTATTGTCTGGAAACTAGAAAAATGCTTATTTTTTGCCCCTTTTTGGCCCCTTATTCCTAAACGTTTTGGGCAATTAACCCCAAACTCAATTCCAACTTTCCCTTTGTGATTTGGAACCTTGTAGTACAATGTCAGAGAGATCCATACACTAACACACAAGTTATGTCTGGAAGTTACAATAAAATGCTACGCAGGGTGCAGCTTGATACGACCGCAGAGGTCGAACCCTGAACAGTTGGGCCAAGTATGGACACAACATTCAAGCTTGATACAGCTTTGCATTTGGATTGTGATTAAATATTTGACACAGCATAGGTTTCTGACACAGAATGAATGAACTTAAAAATTTTAAATTGGACATTCACCTATTATGGTCCAATATCCAAAATCTAAATACATGGTTAGATTCAGCATATCAAAGAACCCCAAGAATTCAATTTTTGATGAAATCAAACAAAGTTTAATTTTGGACCCTTTTGACCTCAATGTGGACAAAGTTGATAACGGGGCCCAAAAATCAAAAATCTAAATACATGGTTAGATTCAGCATATCAAAGAACCCCATATATTCAATTTTTGTTGAAATCAAACAAAGTTTAATTTTGGACCCCGATTTGGACCAACTTGAAAACTGGACCCATAATCAAAAATCTAAATACATGTTTAGATTCAGCATATCAAAGAACCCTAAGAATTCAATTTTTGTTAAAATCAAACTTAGTTTAATTTTGGACTCTTTGGACCTTAATGTAGACCAATTTGAAAACGGAACCAAAAATTAAGAATCAAAATACACGGTTAGATACGGCATATGAAAGAACCCCAATAATTCAATTTTTGATGAAATCAAACAAAGTTTAATTTTGGACCCTTTGGACCTCAATGTGGAACAAATTAAAAAACGGGACCCAAAATCCAAAAACTAAATACACGGTTAGATTCAGCATATTAAAGAACCCCAAGAATTCAAGAATAAAACCCCATTGAAATCGGTCAAGAAATAAGCAATTTATACGAAGTATCTTCTTTTGCACAATACTGTGCAATTAAATATTTCTTGCTATTGCGCAATACTGTACAATTGACAATTTCTTGCTATTGCGCAATATTGTGCTATTGGATATTTCTTGCTATTGCGCAATACTGTGCAATTGAAGATTTCTTGCTATTGCGCAATACTGTGCAATTGAACATTTCTTGCTATTGTGCAATACTGTGCAATTGAAAATTTCTTGCTATTGCACAATACTTATTATATAATAATTTACACATCCTGTTTGGTGTGTATCTCCTACCATATCATTATCATTTGCTTTTAAATATAAATCAGAAATAACCAACTTAAAATGGAAAATTTTAAAAGAAAAAGAAAAGGAAAAAAAAAAAAATCCCCCGGCCCCCCAAATTTTTTGAACCCCCTTATGATTCATCACCCCCAAACTCAATCCCAGCCTTCCCTTTGTGTTATGGTACCTTGCAGTACAATTTCAGAGAGATCCATACACTTCAACACAAGTTATTGTCTGGAAACTAGAAAAATGTGTTTTTTGGCCCCTTTTTGGCCCCAAATTCCTAAACGTTTAGGGCAATTACCCCCAAACTCAAACCCAGCTTTTCCTTTGTGATATGGAACCTTGTAGTACAATTTCAGAAAGATCCATACACTTACACACAAGTTATTGTCCTGAAACTAGAAAAATGCTTGTTTTTTTGCCCCTTTTTGGCCCCTAATTATAAAATATTGAGGCAATTACCCCCATCATCAATCCCAGCCTTCCCTTTGTGGTATGGTACCTTGCAGTACAATTTCAGAGAGATCCATACACTTGAACACAAGTTATTGTCTGGAAACTAGAAAAATGCTTATTTTTGGCCCCTTTTTGGCCCCCAATTCCTTAACGTTTCGGCAATTACCCCCAAACTCAATTCCAACTTTCCCTTTGTGATATGGAACCTTGAAGTACAATTTCAGAAAGATCCATACACTTACACACAAGTTATTGTCATGAAACTAGAAAAATGCTTGTTTTTTGCCCCTAATTTCTAAAATTTTGAGGCAATTACCCCCAAAATCAATCCCAGCATTCCTTTTGTGATATGGAACCTTGTGGTACAATGTCAGAGAGATCCATACACTAACACACAAGTTATGTCTGGAAGTTACAAAAATGCTTATTTTTGGCCCCTTTTTGTCCCCTAATTCCTTTACTGTTGGTACCATAACCCCCAAAATCAATCCCCACCTTCCTTTTGTGGTATTGAACCTTGTGGTAAAATTTCATAGAGATCCATTCACTTAAACTAAAGTTAGAGTGCGAAAACCAATGTGTCTTCGGACGACGCCGGACGACGACGACGTCGCCAACGTCATACCAATATACGACCACAAAAAATTTTTTGTGGTCGTATAAAAATGCTAATTTCGGCCCCTAATTCCTTAAGTGTTGGTACCATAACTCCCAAAATCAATCCCCACCTTCCTTTTGTGGTATTGAACCTTATGGTAAAATTTCATAGAGATCCATTCACTTAAACTAAAGTTAAAGTGCGAAAACCAATGTGTCTTCGGACGACGACACCGGACGACGACGCCATTGTCATACTAATATACGACCGCAAAATTTTTTTGCGGTCGTATAAAAATTAGATGAGATTAACTTATTGCAATGCAAATGTATTCATCCTGTCATAATTTTCACTTTAAAACATTGTTTCATTTATTATAAAAAAAATATATTTCTGATAACAGTACATTATAATTCAATTTTCTAAAAGGATACACTATATCTCTTCCTTCTGGATTAAAGGTCTCCAATTTAATGTTGAGCTTTTCGGCTAATTTTTCAGCTGCATATATTGCCTGTGACTCCTGTAAGAAGTATTGGTACACATACTATGTTGTTTTACTGGCTTTCTTAGGTTATGCTTATCAAATTTCCGTAACAATCAGGTTTATCTTAACTTTATATTGTTACAAATCTTTTTCCTGAAATTTGTAATTTCAAAAATAAAAAAAAAAATTTTGTTTTATTGACATTTGATCTTTGAAGGATAAATAGCTTGGAAGTGATTTTTTTCTTCTAAATTCCAGATATCATATTAATAGCTTTCCATTTGCTCTATTGGATAAAACTTCTTTGGGAACATTGAGAACAAAATTTTACTTCTTTTCAGTGAGTGATTTTAAAGATCAATCTTCATAATTTCTTTAGCAATGTTGATCCAGAAAAGTTTTTAAGAGCCACATAGCTTTCATATGTATCTAGTTGCTTTTCACTTTTATTTGTAAATCACTTATGATCCTCTTTGCTATATTTTTTGTAACAGAGGTCTTATTTTCATTTTGTTTAATATTTGATAAAGGGAGATAACCTAGAAAAAACTTAGTTTGACAATATGACAGTATGAATATATAAGTAATTAAAATTTGATTTTATTTTAATAATAGCGTCATCTCACATAATAATTTTATTAATATTACCTCTTTGATTGTCGTTTAAGAGTTTACTTAAGGCACAAGCTATCAAATTCTAATAAAATGCTTCGCTGGGGCGCAGCTTGATACGACCGCAGAGGTCGAACCCTGAACAGTTGGGGCAAGTATGGACACAACATTCAAGCTTGATACAGCTCTGAATTTGGATTGTTATTAAATATTTGACACAGCATAGGTTTCTGACACAGAAAGAATGTGGTCTAAGAACTTGAATTTTTTTAATTTACCTATTATGGTCCAATGTCCAAAATCAAAATACATGGTTAGATTCAGCATATTAAAGAACCCATATATTCACTTTTTGTTAAAATCAAACAAAGTTTAATTTTGGACCCCAACTTGGACAAACTTGAAAACTGGGCCCATAATCAAAAATCTAAACACATGTTTAGATTCAGCAAATCAAAAAACCCCAAGAATTCAATTTTTGCTAAAATCAAACTAAGTTTAATTTTGGACCCTTTGGACCTTAATGTAGACCAATTTAAAAAACGGGACTTAAAATTAAAAATCTAAATACACGGTTAGATTTGGAATATCAAAGAACCCCAATAATTCACAATTTTTGATGAAATCAAACAAAGTTTAATTTTGGACCCCAATTTGGACCAACTTTAAAACTGGGCCCATAATCATAAATCTAAATACATGTTTAGATTCAGCATATCAAAGAACCCCATATATTCAATTTTTGTTGAAATCAAACAAAGTTTAAATACTGGACCCTATCTTGGACCAACTTGAAAACTGGGCCCATAATCAATAAAATGCTCCGCAGGGCGCAGCTTGATACGACCGCAGAGGTCGAACCCTGAACAGTTGGGGCAAGTATGGACACAACATTCAAGCTTGATACAGCTCTGAATTTGGATTGTGATTAAATATTTGACACAGCATAGGTTTCTGACACAGAATGAATGTGGTCTAAGAACTTAAAAATTTTAAATTGGACATTCACCTATTATGGTCCAATATCCAAAATCTAAATACATGGTTAGATTCAGCATATCAAAGAACCCCAAAAATTCAATTTTTGATGAAATCAAACAAAGTTTAATTTTGGACCCTTTTGACCTCAATGTGGACAAAGTTGATAACGGGGCCCAAAAATCAAAAATCTAAATACATGGTTAGATTCAGCATATCAAAGAACCACATATATTCAATTTTTGTTGAAATCAAACAAAGTTTAATTTTGGACCCCGATTTGGACCAACTTGAAAACTGGGCCCATAATCAAAAATCTAAATACATGTTTAGATTCAGCATATCAAAGAACCCTAAAAATTCAATTTTTGTTAAAATCAAACTAAGTTTAATTTTGGACCCTTTGGACCTTAATGTAGACCAATTTGAAAACGGAACCAGAAATTAAGAATCTAAATACACGGTTAGATTCGGCATATCAAAGAACCCCAATAATTCAATTTTTGATGAAATCAAACAAAGTTAAATTTTGGACCCTTTGGACCTCAATGTGGACCAATTTAAAAACGGGGCCCAAAATCCAAAAACTTAATACACAGTTAGATTCAGCATTTTAAAGAACCCCAAGAATTCAAGAATAAAACCCCATTGAAATTGATCAAGAAATAAGCAATTTATACGAAGTATCTTCTTTTGCACAATACTGTGCAATTGAATATTTCTTGCTATTGAGCAATACTGTACAATTGACAATTTCTTGCTATTGCGCAATATTGTGCTATTGGATATTTCTTGCTATTGCGCAATACTGTGCAATTGAAGATTTCTTTTGCTATTGCGCAATACTGTGCAATTGAAGATTTCTTGCTATTGTGCAATACTGTGCAATTGAAAATTTCTTGCTATTGCACAATACTTATTATATAATAATTTACACATCCTGTTTGGTGTGTATCTCCTACCATATCATTATTATTTGCTTTTAAATATTAATCAGAAATAACCAACTTAAAATGGAAAATTTTAAAAGAAAAAAAAAAGGAAAAAAAGAAAAAAAAAGAAAAAAAAAAAATCCCCCCTCCAAATTTTTTGAACCCCCTTATGATTCATCACCCCCAAACTCAATCCCAGCCTTCCCTTTGTGGTATGGTACCTTGCAGTACAATTTCAGAGAGATCCATACACTTGAACACAAGTTATTGTCTGGAAACTAGAAAAATGCTTATTTTTGGCCCCCAATTCTTAAACGTTTCGGGCAATTACCCCCAAACTCAATTCCATCTTTCCCTTTGTGATATTGAACCTTGTAGTACAATTTCAGAAATATCCAAACACTTACACACAAGTTATTGTCATGAAACTAGAAAAATGCTTGTTTTTTGCCCCTTTTTTGGCCCCTAATTCCTAAAATTTTGAGGCAATTACCCCCAAAATCAATTACAGCCTTTCTTTTGTGATATGGAACCTTGTGGTACAATGTCAGAGAGATCCATACACTTACACACAAGTTATTGTCTGGAAGTTACAAAAATGCTTATTTTTGGCCCCTTTTGGCCCCTAATTCCTTAACTGTTGGTACCATAACCCCCAAAATCAATCCCAACCTTCCTTTCGTGGTATTGAACCTTATGGTAAAATTTCATGGAGATCCATTTATTTAAACTAAAGTTAGAGTGCGAAAACCAATGTGTCTTCGGACGACGATGACGACGACGACGACGACGACGACAACGACGCCAACGTCATACCAATATACGACCAAAAAATTTTTAATTTTTGTGGTCGTATAAAAATACAGTCAGATATTTGACTTATTTTCTCACCTCTCTATGTCTCGTTTGTTCTGCTTGTAATTTGATGGATTCTTGTATAGACATCTCCTGAGCAGCAGAGTATTTATATTTACTCACCTCTCTCTGTTTCGTTTGTTCTGCTTGTAGTTTGATGGATTCTTGTATAGACATCTCCTGAGCAGCAGAGTATTTATATTTACTCACCTCTCTCTGTTTCGTTTGTTCTGCTTGTAGTTTGATGGATTCTTGTATAGACCTCTCCTGAGCAGCAGAGTATTTATATTTACTCACCTCTCTATGTCTCTTTTGTTCTGCTTGTAATTTGATGGATTGTTGTATAGACATCTCCTGGGCAGCAGAGTATTTATATTTACTCTCCTCTCTATGTCTCTTTTGTTCTGCTTATAATTTCATGGATTATTGTATAGACATCTCCTGAGCAGCAGAGCATTTATATTTACTCACCTCTCTATGTCTCGTTTGTTCTGCTTGTAATTTGTTGGATTCTTGTATAGAAATCTCCTGAGCAGCAGAGTATTAATATTTACTCACCTCTCTGTGTCTTGTTTGTTCTGCTTGTAATTTGATGGTTTCTTGTATAGACATCTCCTGAGCAGCAGAGTATTTATATTAACTCACCTCTCTATGTCTCGTTTGTTCTGCTTGTAATTTGTTGGATTCTTGTATAGAAATCTCCTGAGCAGCAGAGTATTTATATTTACTCACCTCTCTGTGTCTTGTTTGTTCTGCTTGTAATTTGATGGTTTCTTGTATAGACATCTCCTGAGCAGCAGAGTGTTTATATTTACTCACCTCTCTCTGTTTCTTTTGTTCTGCTTGTAATTTGTTGGATTCTTGTATAGACATCTCCTGAGCAGCAGAGTATTTATATTTACTCACCTCTCTATGTCTAGTTTGTTCTGCTTGTAATTTGATGGATTCTTGTATAGACATCTCCTGAGCAGCAAAGTATTTATATTTACTCACCTCTCTGTGTCTCATTTGTTCTGCTTGTAATTTGATGGATTCTTGTATAGACATCTCCTGAGCAGCAGAGTATTTATATTTACTCACCTCTCTCTGTTTCGTTTGTTCTGCTTGTAGTTTGATGGATTCTTGTATAGACATCTCCTGAGCAGCAGAGTATTTATGTTTACTCACCTCCCTCTGTTTCGTTTGTTCTGCTTGTAGTTTGATGATTGTTGTATAGACATCTCCTGAGCAGCAAAGTATTCATAATTACTCACCTCTCTGTGTCTCATTTGTTCTGCTTGTAATTGCATAGATTGTTGTATAGAAATCTCCTGAGCAGCAGAGTATTTATATTTACTCACCTCTCTCTGTCTCGTTTGTTCTGCTTGTAATTTGATGGATTCTTGTATAGACATCTCCTGAGCAGCAGAGTATTTATATTTACTCACCTCTCTATGTCTCTTTTGTTCTGCTTGTAATTTGATGGATTGTTGTATAGACATCTCCTGGGCAGCAGAGTATTTATATTTACTCTCCTCTCTATGTCTCTTTTGTTCTGCTTGTAATTTCATGGATTATTGTATAGACATCTCCTGAGCAGCAGAGTATTTATATTTACTCACCTCTCTATGTCTCTTTTGTTCTGCTTGTAATTTGATGGATTGTTGTATAGACATCTCCTGGGCAGCAGAGTATTTATATTAACTCACCTCTCTATGTCTCTTTTGTTCTGCTTGTAATTTCATGGATTATTGTATAGACATCTCCTGAGCAGCAGAGTATTTATATTTACTCACCTCTCTATGTCTCGTTTGTTCTGCTTGTAATTTGTTGGATTCTTGTATAGAAATCTCCTGAGCAGCAGAGTATTTATATTTACTCACCTCTCTCTATGTCTTGTTTGTTCTGCTTGTAATTTAATGGATTCTTGTATAGAAATCTCCTGAGCAGCAGAGTATTTATATTTACTCACCTCTCTGTGTCTTGTTTGTTCTGCTTGTAATTTGATGGTTTCTTGTATAGACATCTCCTGAGCAGCAGAGTATTTATATTTACTCACCTCTCTGTGTCTCGTTTGTTCTGCTTGTAATTTGATGGATTCTTGTATAGACATCTCCTGAGCAGCAGAGTATTCATATTTACTCACCTCTCTGTCTCTCATTTGTTCTGCTTGTAATTTGATGGATTCTTGTATAGACATCTCCTCAGCAGCAGAGTATTTATATTTACTCACCTCTCTGTGTCTCGTTTGTTCTGCTTGTAATTTGATGGATTGTTGTATAGACATCTCCTGAGCAGCAGAGTATTTATATTTACTCACCTCTCTGTGTCTCGTTTGTTCTGCTTGTTATTTGATGGATTCTTGTATAGACATCTCCTGAGCAGCAGAGTATTTATATTTACTCACCTCTCTGTGTCTCGTTTGTTCTGCTTATAATTTCATTGATTGTTGTATAGACATCTCCTGATCAGCAGAGTATTTATATTTACTCACCTCTCTGTGTCTCGTTTGTTCTGCTTGTAGTTTGATGGATTCTTGTATAGACATCTCCTGAGCAGCAGAGTATTTATATTTACTCACCTCTCTATGCCTCGTTTGTTCTGCTTGTTATTTCATGGATAGTTGTATAGACATCTCCTGAGCAGCAGAGTATTTATATTAACTCACCTCTCTATGTCTCTTTTGTTCTGCTTGTTATTTGATGGATTGTTGTATAGACATCTCCTGAGCAGCAGAGTATTTATATTTACTCACCTCTCTCTGTTTCTTTTGTTCTGCTTGTAATTTGTTGGATTCTTGTAAAGAAATCTCCTGAGCAGCAGAGTATTTATATTTACTCACCTCTCTATGTCTAGTTTGTTCTGCTTGTAATTTGATGTATTCTTGTATAGACATCTCCTGAGCAGCAAAGTATTTATATTTACTCACCTCTCTGTGTCTCATTTGTTCTGCTTGTAATTTGATGGATTCTTGTATAGATATCTCCTGAGCAGCAGAGTATTTATATTTACTCACCTCTTTCTGTTTCTTTTGTTCTGCTTGTAATTTGTTGGATTCTTGTATAGACATCTCCTGAGCAGCAGAGTATTTATATTTACTCACCTCTCTATGTCTCTTTTGTTCTGCTTGTAATTTGATGGATTGTTGTATAGAAATCTCCTGAGCAGCAGAGTATTTATATTTACTCACCTCTCTATGTCTAGTTTGTTCTGCTAGTAATTTGATGGATTCTTGTATAGACATCTCCTGAGCAGCAGAGTATTTATATTTACTCACCTCTCTGTGTCTAGTTTGTTCTGCTTGTAATTTGATGGATTCTTGTATAGACATCTCCTGAGCATCAGAGTATTTATATTTACTCACCTCTCTGTCTCTCATTTGTTCTGCTTGTAATTTGATGGATTCTTGTATAGACATCTCCTCAGCAGCAGAGTATTTATATTTACTCCCCTCTCTGTGTCTCGTTTGTTCTGCTTGTAATTTCAAGGATTGTTGTATAGACATCTCCTGAGCAGCAGAGTATTTATATTTACTCACCTCTCTGTGTCTCGTTTGTTCTGCTTGTTATTTGTTGGATTGTTGTATAGACATCTCCTGAGCAGCAGAGTATTTATATTTACTCACCTCTCTGTGTCTCGTTTGTTCTGCTTGTTATTTGATGGATTCTTGTATAGATATCTCCTGAGCAGCAGAGTATTTATATTTACTCACCTCTCTGTGTCTCGTTTGTTCTGCTTGTAATTTGACGGATTCTTGTATAGACATCTCCTGAGCAGCAGAGTATTTATATTTACTCACCTCTCTATGCCTCGTTTGTTCTGCTTGTAATTTCATGGATTCTTGTATAGACATCTCCTGAGCAGCAGAGTATTTATATTTAGGTGGACAAACTGCAGATTCTTCCCAATCAACTTTCTTTTTTGTCTGTTTCGTTTCTGTCTCAGCCAACATGTTACTAGGATTCCTCAGTTCAGGTGGTAAATCTTGGATATTTGAAATCTTTAAATATCTGACAAAATAAAGAAATCATATGAAACTTCAAATTTAAATGATAACTTCGTTATCTTTTAGGAGAAAAACGAACATAAAGATATCATATACAAGAAAAAAATATCTAATCTGGTTGGGTTTAATGGCAATTCTACATGAATCATGTGAATCTTGTTTTCTACTTCTGTTTGTTCTTTCTATCACACTAAGTAATACCATGATTGACTATGAGTATACCTATTTAGTTTTAGTGTATCTCGTTTTCTATTTCTATGTGTTCTTCCTATCACACTCAGTAATAATATGAATTACTATACCTAGTTAGTTTAAGTGTATCTTGTTTTCTATTTCTATGTTTTCTTTCTATCACACTCAGTAATACCAGTGACTATGAGTATACCTATTTAGTTTAAGTGTATCTTGTTTTCTATTTCTATGTGTTCTTCCTATCACACTCAGTAATACCATGAATGACTATGAGTATACCTATTTAGTTTAAGTGTATCTCGTTTTCTATTTCTATGTGTTCTTTCTATCACACTCAGTATGTGTTCCTCAGCTGGAGGTGTCTCATGTTTATCAGTGTCTGCTGAACTTATTTCCATTTTTTCTAAAGTTTCTCCTATATCCTCTATTGTAACTTGGTCTCTTTGCAGTACAGAGTTGGAAGTATTTCTTTCAAGTTCCATATGTAAATCACCTTCACCATTACATGAAAACAATTCTGATTCATTTTGAACCAATGCACTAAAATCTTTGTTCTTGTTTGTGTTTTGTTTTGGTACATCTCTAGACTGTTGAAGATTTTGTTTTTTGAATTTCGAAACTGGCTTTTTTATCAGTTGTCCTGGAACTTCAGTAATCACTTTGGGTTTAACATTTGCTTTTGTTGAAGGGGAGATAATTTGTCTATTTGTTGACTCCTGTAGATCAGTCTCTATCCTCTCACTGATCATTCTCTGCAGTTTTTCAACAAATGCTTGCACCTTTACCCCTCCATCTGGCAAGGTTTTTAGAAATTTTCTGAAATATTCAATCACATATTTAATTAACTAAAATTATCTAGACTAAAAATTATTTTGTTATAAACTTGTCAAATTTTAAAGTAAAATGTTTCACCAAACTTCACTTGTAAAGGTACAAATGTAGAGTAAATAAAATGCTCCGCAAGGCGCAGCTTGATACGACCGCGGAGGTCGAACCCTGAACAGTTGGGGCAAGTATGGACACAACATTCAAGCTTGATACAGCTCTGAATTTGGATTGTGATTAAATATTTGACACAGCATAGGTTTCTGACACAGAATGAATGTGGTCTAAGAACTTAAAAATTTTAAATTGGACATTCACCTATTATGGTCCAATATCCAAAATCTAAATACATGGTTAGATTCAGCATATCAAAGAACCCCAAGAATTCAATTTTTGATGAAATCAAACAAAGTTTAATTTTGGACCCTTTTGACCTCAATGTGGACAAAGTTGATAACGGGGCCCAAAAATCAAAAATCTAAATACATGGTTAGATTCAGCATATCAAAGAACCCCATATATTCAATTTTTGTTGAAATCAAACAAAGTTTAATTTTGGACCCCGATTTGGACCAACTTGAAAACTGGGCCCATAATCAAAAATCTAAATACATGTTTAGATTCAGCATATCAAAGAACACTAAAAATTCAATTTTTGTTAAAATCAAACTAAGTTTAATTTTGGACCCTTTGGACCTTAATGTAGACCAATTTGGAATCGGAACCAAAAATTAAGAATCTAAATACACGGTTAGATTCGGCATATCAAAGAACCCCAATAATTCAATTTTTGATGAAATCAAACAAAGTTAAATTTTGGACCCTTTGGACCTCAATGTGGACCAATTTAAAAACGGGGCCCAAAATCCAAAAACTTAATACACGGTTATATTCAGCACATTAAAGAACCCCAAGAATTCAAGAATAAAACCCCATTGAAATTGATCAAGAAATAAGCAATTTATAAGAAGTATCTTCTTTTGCACAATACTGTGCAATTGAATATTTCTTGCTATTGCGCAATACTGTACAATTGACAATTTCTTGCTATTGCGCAATATAGTGCTATTGGATATTTCTTGCTATTGCGCAATACTGTGCAATTGAAGATTTCTTGCTATTGCGCAATACTGTGCAATTGAAGATTTCTCGCTATTGTGCAATACTGTGCAATTGAAAATTTCTTGCTATTGCACAATACTTATTATATAAAAATTTACACATCCTGTTTGGTGTGTATCTCCTACCATATCATTATTATTTGCTTTTAAATATAAATCAGAAATAACCAACTTAAAATGGAAAATTTTAAAAGAAAAAAAAAAAGGAAAAAAAGAAAAAAAAAAAGGAAAAAAAGAAAAAAAAAGATCCCCCCCCCAAATTTTTTGAACCCCCTTATGATTCATCACCCCCAAACTCAATCCCAGCCTTCCCTTTGTGGTATGGTACCTTGCAGTACAATTTCAAAGAGATCCATACACTTGAACACAAGTTATTGTCTTGAAACTAGAAAAATGCTTATTTTCGGCCCCTTTTTGGCCCCCAATTCCTAAACGTTTCAGGCAATTACCCCCGAACTCAATTCCAGCTTTCCCTTTGTGATATGAAACCTTGTAGTACAATTTCAGAAATATCCAAACACTTACACACAAGTTATTGTCATGAAACTAGAAAAATGCTCGTTTTTTGCCCCTTTTTTGGCCCCTAATTCCTAATATTTTGAGGCAATTACCCCCAAAATCATTTACAGCCTTCCCTTTGTGATATGGAACCTTGTGGTACAATGTCAGAGAGATCCATACACTTACACACAAGTTATTGTCTGAAAGTTACAAAAATGCTTATTTTTGGCCCCTTTTTGGCCCCTAATTCCTTAACTGTTGGTACCATAACCCCCAAAATCAATCCCAACCTTCCTTTCGTGGTATTGAACCTTATGGTAAAATTTCATGGAGATCCATTCACTTAAACTAAAGTTAGAGTGCGAAAACCAATGTGTCTTCGGACGACGCCGGACGACGCCAGACGACGACGATGCCAACGTCATACCAATATACGACCAAAAAATTTTTAATTTTGCGGTCGTATAACAACTGTCATTGTCAATCATACCACTTCTCCCTGATTTCATCTACATTTATTTATAAAACTGCCACTGTTTTGGAATTCATATATTTATAAAAGAAAACACAGAGTTATCAATATGAATTTATTCTGATGAGTCCAGGCCTTACAGTCATAAAATTTTGGAGTTTGATTATCATACTCAGACTCAGAATTAACCAATATAAATGCTAGATATGATGTTTTGAGAATAAATTTTGTACTCTGAGTACTGAGTAAAGTTTTATGACTGAAAGGCCAACAACTTACACCTTCTTCAGCAGCTTTTCTTGCCTTTCCAACAATTCTTTCAACTCTGTGGCAGATTTTGTAGACAAATCACCTCCCAGGTAATCCTGTGGTATGTGTTCCATAATAAATCTACAAATGTACAACAATTTAATTAGCTTTTGCCTTGTCAGCTGTCATTTTTCAACTTTTTTTCTCATAAAAAATGAAAAAATGAAAAAATCTAAAGAATTTATAAAGAGCTATGTTGGGTGCTACACACATACAGTAGCATGTTAACAAGAGACAGTTTAAAAAGTGTATGTTTTATACAAGTTTTGACACTTAAATACAGTAAAATGTAATAAAATTCAAAAATTTATATTGTGGAAACAGCTTCTTTTATTTTAGAAACAACATAACAGTTACAGAACCTGCAATAAATATGTTTAAATATTGCAAAGCAGGGTCTTTTCTTGTGAAATCAATCATTTGTCAATGGAAAATATTGCATCAAAAACTGACTCTCACATGTAAATTAAAATATAATTGACATTGAAGAAAACAACACTCATAAGTTACCACAAACAAAGTGATTAATTTATTGGGTGACAAGTATACATATGAGGTATAGGGCAGGGTTGAGATCTCACTAAACATGTTTAACCCTGCCACATTTTTGCACCTGTCCCAAGTCAGGAGCCTCTGGCCTTTGTTAGTCTTGTATGTTTTTTAATTTTAGTTCATTCATATGTTTAGTTTAGTATGACATCCATTTTCATTGAACTAGTACACATTTTTGTTTAGGGGCCAGCTGAAGTCCGCCTCTGGGTGCGGGATTTTCTCGCTGTGTTGGACCCATTCATGGCCTTCGGATGTGATTTTTACTCTTTGGTCGGGTTGTTGTCTCTTTGACACATTCCCCATTTCCATTCTCTATTTTATATGAAAATAGAAGGTGAAGTACAAATATTGCAGGTAACATTGTTAGCCCGTCTGAAGTCATGTTAAAATAATTGTTGTTAAAGCAACTTGATCAGTTTAAATTGAAAGTGAAAGGAGAATAATTAAGTAGAAAAGAAAGAAAAAGATAATATGGGGACTTTGTCCCCAATAACAGTAGAAAAATCAATAATAAAAAAAAAAATCCATCTACTAAGGAACACAAAATCGTTAACTTTTTTATTTTCCAGTATTTCTTTCTTTCTTCGCGCCTCGTTTGTTAGAAGACTCGTAAAAATCGTATTGTTTTTTTTTTTTTGTCAATTTGTTATTTTTGATAATTCTTTGTTATGAAAAAACAAAACGTTACCTGATGATAGCGTTTCTTTGTTTACATTGAAAATGACAACTAAAATCCCTAACAACAGGACCAATATCAGAAACGTTTCCGTTTCTTTTTTAACAGATTCTGAAGTTAAAATATGCTTGAATCAAGGATTTGTATAGTTTACAAACTGCTTCATATTAAATAAAGCTATAATATTAGTGAGAGTCAGTATTGTTGTTTTATGTATACACAGATGTAGATAATGTTTAGGGTGTGTTTTCTATATATATCTCTGCTGTTTTGTCCATCCACAGAGGTTGTTTGTAAATTTATTGTGAAATTTTCTTTTTAAGTACATGTATGTTTTTTTTCTTCTATACTTTAGATTAACCTTGATTTTAATGAGTTCCACATTTCTTAAAATATTTTGGTTTTCAAATAAAATGTTCCAATCTACTGAATCTAGATCCTCTGAGCTATAACTTTGAAATCCCCTTGAAAGACATACATGTATCAGAAGCCCTCATTTCCGGTCTCACTAATTAGCAACATGAAGAATTTTAGCGACAAGAAGCGTCAAGAAGAAAAATATTAACGACAAGAAAGTTTATTTACTATTGAAACAATAGATTTATAGAAAATAAATCCTCTGATTATACTAAGGGTCCATAAAAAAAAAATAGAAAAAATGGCAGTTAAAAATTAAAAAAAAAAAAAAATTGACCCCCCCTTTTTTATCCAAACATTCGTGTATACCTTTTGATTTTTATTAATAATGTAAATATTTGAACCTTTTATCCTGTTAAGACAGAAAAAATTGTGTCATGTATTTATATTTACATGTATATATATTGACCTTTTGAGTCTGAAATAAATCGATTATATTATCTTATAATTTGGTTTTAAATCTTTGATATATTAACCATGCTGACTCTATATACATATTGCTTTATTCATCTATATACTTTGCTGTAAACTGAAGGTATATTATCTTAAACATATTTTTGATAATAAAAAAAAAAACGTTTGTTCTCGTATAATAAAAAAAAAGACAATTTAATGTATGTTTCAATGTTTATTTATTTAGAATAATTAATATTTAGATTTTTTACGCTAAATTTGTTTTCTTGTCACTAAATTATACTTCTTGTCACTAAATTATTCTTCTTGTCGCTAATTTGTTTCCTCCTGTCACTTCTTGACGTTTCTTGTCGCTAATTAGTGAGACCCCTCTCAGCCGGTAGGTCTTTTCACCACCGAACACGACCGCACACCGCCAAACACCACCAAACACCCCAAAAATTTATCTTTTTTATCTCTTATTGTTATAAATGTGACCTAAATATAATATTTAAGTTATTAGTTCAACAAATAATAAGTTTAAGAGAACAAATATATCTACATCGAACAGAAAGGGAGAGTCTATAACACTACAACTCTGCAAACCATCACTGGACACCTCAAATAATTTTGTATTATTCATTTTTTTTCTTCTTTCATAAAATAGTTATACCAATAATAAGAAAAGAGACATGAACAAATGTTAAATATTTCGGATAACTAATATCCTTCATCAGTAATTGATGTCAAATGATTCTTATACACACACAATGTAATCTAGAAAAATAGTGATGAATCTGGAGACGTTTTTCTTTATATTGATTATATTGATAATCGACTTTAACAGAAAAATGATGCACATAAACATCTAAAAATTTGTTAAATTAGACGTAATTTAATTGATTTTACCGTTTTATTGTATAAAATCACTGATTTTCTTAGTGGTTGATGGTTTTTTTTCGGTGTTCGGTGGTGTGCGTTGGTGTTCGGCGGTGTTCGGTGGTGTGCGGTGGTGTTCGGTGGTGAAAAGACCCACCCCCTCTCAGCTATCATTTTTTTCTATTACAAAAATGTAAAATGAATAACAGTATGGTCACTTTTACCTTATGGTGAATCTATTATCAGAGAATCCATGTCAATCACGTTTTCTTCATTAGTAAATATAAAATCAAGGCAACTGGGTTGTTAATGACTATTCCGAAGTGATTTGGTAATTTTTTTGGGGGTACATGTATTTTGTTAATGGCTATTCCTATAAGTAATTCGGTTATTTTTGGGGCAGATCTATGGACAGATTTTTGTCACTTCAAGATTTTTAATACCTTTATTACTGACTGAATTGTACACAGTTGCCGGATCAAAGTGGTAAACAGGTAATGAAATGTTTCGCAACTATTGGAAAAATGATCAACGTCAATTTCCTGCTTGCAATTTATTTAATTTTTCCTATGATACGGTATTTAAAAACGTATAAGTGATTATGATTAAGAGATGGGTTACACTAATGTCCTGACAATGTCCTGACAATGTCCTGACAAAGTCCTGACGGATATGAAAATGCTAATTACGTTTTCATTATTTAAAGGATTTACTTTAAATTTGGAACCAAGCAAGATGACAACATTAATTTATTAAATAAAAGAAAAAAAATAAAAAAAAATATTTTTAAGAGTTAGAAAACTTGACCTGACCAACTTCGACTTTGAAATCACTAATGTCCTGACCGATATGAAACGGCTTAATACTTTTTTATTATTCACAGGATAGACTTCAAATTCGATATCAAGGAAGATTAAAACATTTAATCCAAAAATATAAGAAAAAAATGCAAAAAAAATAATTTTTAGAGTAAGAAAACTTGACCTGACCAACTACGACTTTGCCGCGATTAATGTCCGGACCGATATAAAACTGCTAATTTCCTTTTTTTCTTTGGATGGATTGACTTCAAATTTGACACCAGACAAGAAAGTAATATTGATTTAATACTTATTTGAAAAGAATTGGGAAAAAAATACTTTAAGGGTAAAAAAACTTGACCTGACCAACATCGACTTTGTCGTGACTAATGTCCTGACCGATATAAAAGTGCTAATACTTGTAACATTGTTGGTATGATTGAGTTCTTATTTGAAACCAAGTCAAATTATAACGTTTTCTTTTTAATACTTTTTATAAAGTAATTGGAAAACAATATTTCATACGAAATAAAAACTTGACCTAACCACCTTCAATTTATTAAACTTAATACACAAACAAAAACGTTTTTAGTTCTTACCTTATATTGTCATTGAATTTATATTTATCTTATCCATAAAACACAACATCCAAAGCAAATAAATTTTGTTAAATGAAAAGATAGGGGAAATATGAGTACAAGTTGCTGACTGTGAGTATTGTTTACCCCTCATCACAACTCTACTTCATTTGATTTGATTAATAAGTGTGACTAATGAAACTAATTATTGAATTATTAAACCCAATTAAATAATTATAAAAGTGAAATGTAATTAGTTACCTACATTAATGATTTTAATAACTAAAGAGGAGTGGTGGTGGTAACTGGTGAGTTAACTGAAGGAGTGTTAGCAATAGGAGTGGTGGTAACTAGTGAGTTAACTGAAGGAGTGTTAGCAATACTATACCGTAACTGCATCAAAAGCTTACCCTGAATGTTGGTACCACTGCCATTCCAACCAATACCCCAGAAAGTGTCTGCTACATTGTGTATCAGTTCAGATAATTTTGTACTAAGTAAATATTTTTTGAATTTTGCACACTGATCTAATTTAACTGCCAAAACTTCAAGCATGATGTCCTGCCTGAATAATAACCAATTCTGGTTAGTTTTTACATGTTTTGAAAGGACTTTGCAGTCCTTGGCTGTCGAAGCTGAACGAATAAGATGCGCCAAATGGAAATCGGAATGCTCGACAGCCTTGCGATACTGATACAAATGTTCAGAACTACTGAAGGTTAACCCCTGGAAAGTAAGAATACATGGATAAAAATTAGACAAAACATGACCGGCACCTTTAAAATAGATGGGAGTGTTAGTAACAGACGACGGTGAGTGATTAGAAGTGGAGGTAGGCAAGCGGTTAGAAGTGGAGGTAGGTAAACGGTTAGAAGTGGAGTTAGGCAAGCGGTTAGAAGTGGAGGTAGGCAAGCGGTTAGAAGTGGGTGAGCGGTTAGAAGTGGAGGTAGGCAAGCGGTTAGAAGTGGAGGTAGGTAAACGGTTAGAAGTGGAGGTAGGCAAGCGGTTAGAAGTGGGTGAGCGGTTGGAAGTGGAGGTAGGCAAGCGGTTAGAAGTGGAGGTAGGCAAGCGGTTAGAAGTGGGTGAGCGGTTAGAAGTGGAGGTAGGCAAGCGGTTAGAAGTGGAGGTAGGTAAACGGTTAGAAGTGGAGGTAGGCAAGCGGTTAGAAGTGGAGGTAGACAAGCGGTTAGAAGTGGAGGTAGGCAAGCGGTTAGAAGTGGAAGTAGGCAAGCGGTTAGAAGTGGAGGTAGGCAAGCGGTTAGAAGTGGAGGTAGACAAGCGGTAAGAAGTGGAAGTGGGTGAGCGGCTAGAAGTGGAGGTAGGTGCGACACAAACAGGATTTGGTGAGATGGTACATGCTGGAACAGATGAGGACGTGGTGGTAGGAACATGCACAGTGTTAGAGGTAGATGAAGTGTTAATAAGAGAAGATACCAGATAACATACCCGTGGAAGAGCAGGCCACTCTTCAATCACCTGAATACCTGTTGAAGTTAGTACTGGTTTTGGTGTTGGTGTTGGTGTTGGTGTTCGTATCGGTAAAGTGAGTAGTGCAGTTCGGTACAGTGATTGGTCTACAGCTGGTTCAGTTGGGTCAGGCATTGGTGTAGGTGCTTTTGGTGTTGGCGTTGGTGTTGACGTTGGTGTTGACGTTGGTAGTTCCCAGATGCTGTCATGAGTATCCTTGGTTTTGCGTAGATGACGAATGGCGCTCTCGATGTCTTTCACCACAGTTGATGTACCACGGTAGCTTAGATGAAGACCATCTCGACTGAGTAGGTGTCTCTGGATAGTACCTTTCTGGGCGAATGACGGGTGACCAACGTAGTGGAGTCTTGGAACTCGGGTAGCTAGTAACTGTAGTTTGGTATTGAGTAGCCGAGCTCTCTGGTTGAGTTCCGTTAGGAAGTTGGTGCGCAGAAGTGCCCCTGGGAATTGGTTGTCGGCTCTAGGTAGGACTCCAGATATGATGATGTCTGCTGTTGGGTTGCTGTGCCAAATGTCTGATGTCAGTTGTTGGTATTTCCTGAGTAGAGTCTTTACTGATGAACCACGGGAGAGGTCGTTGGCGCCAACGTGAAGTACCACGGTGTTGTAGTTGTCGATGGTTGGTTGCAGTTCGTTGAACATCTGGTCAATACGAAAACCTGAATAAGAAAGCACATTAGTTTCAGATAAAGATAAATATTGATTAAAATACTTGGCCTGGGAATGGCCAGCAATCAGCACTGGAAATGAAGACATGATTAGAATCAAGTAATATGTAACAAAAGCACAAAAAATATATTTACAATTTTCTACAATTAATTACACTAAACAAAAGCAAGGAGATTTATATACAAAGAAAAATAGCACTAAAGCAATATATCAATTCGAATAAAAAGCACTGAGGTTGTATGTATTAGAGCTTTCTTTTCATTTCTTTTTATTTCTTTGTTAAATGTCGAAATCTTCCTTGCTACTAAATTTGAAGTTAATCCTTCCAAAGATAAAAAAGAAATTAGCAGTTTTATATCGGTCCGGACATTAGTCGCGGCAAAATCGTATTGGTCAGGTCAAGTTTTCTAACTCTAAAAATTATTTTTTTTTCATTTTTTTCTTATATTTTTGGATTAAATGTTTTAATCTTCCTTGATATCGAATTTGAAGTCTATCCTGTGAATAATAAAAAAGTATTTAGCCGTTTCATATCGGTCAGGACATTAGTGATTTCAAAGTCGAAGTTGGTCAGGTCAAGTTTTCTAACTCTTAAAAATATTTTTTTTTATTTTTTTTCTTTTATTTATTAGATTAATGTTGTCATCTTGCTTGGTTCCAAATTTAAAGTAAATCCTTTAAATAATGAAAACGTAATTAGCATTTTCATATCCGTCAGGACTTTGTCAGGACATTGTCAGGACATTGTCAGGACATTAGTGTAACCCTTAAGAGATTGCGATATTTTTACCTCAACAGTGAAGAGTTCAGTTGTAAACAAGTGATCAGGACTGAAAATAAACAGGTAAACTCAACCAATAAACAAACAACTCAAGACCATTTGTGGGTTGTTCAGGTCGTTTAACACCCCCTTAGGGTGAGTAGGAGAAATTATACTGTCTGTGCACCGCTGCACATGCACACAGTTGTTCACTGTAATAGTTGCTAAACCGTAAAAATTATTTAAGCTACAAAAGTAAGAGCGTAGCCGTAGGAATGCCCTTTACCGTCAGGCGTCATATGGTAATTGTCAGCTAATATTAGCGTCAAATTGGTTAAAATTTTATCGCAATTCGTCGAAATATCCTTATCGTGATTCGTCAGAGGTCTGAGGACGTTAAGCAACCAACAATCAATCAATCAATCAGAGGTCTGAAATAATTATCCATAACCCTTATTTTTGGAAAAAATTTAACGTGATTCATCAAAATCTTTCGAATTTTTATTTTGTCGTCTTAAAGAAAGTGTACATTTTAACTTGTGCACCAAAAATTATCGTTAACATCTTTTGGCAAGATTTTTTACCGTTATACATCATGAAGGAAACGAGAGGGTACCAAAATTGCACCTATTTTGACAGTTTTTTCACCTATGCAACCTCCAAACAATCCATGATGCTGTAATGAGGAGTACCCAAATTGCATCCATGCTTAAATTCACATCCTTAAAAATCAAGTTACAGATGTTTTGTTTTATTTCTTCAAATATTTAGAACAATTTGACATTAGTCCATGCTTACTATTCATTTTTTAAGAAATGGATGCTTGTAACATATTTTATTTGCTCATTTTTAAAAGATGACTTATTGTGGACGTCGCATGGCGACGTTCTGTAGATTTGACTTTTTCTATTGAATACATCATCTGTTCAGTGTTTTCCCTAGGCTATTCAAGCATTGCGGTACCGCTACGCATAAATTTCGACCGCCATGCTTTCATCATTGCCGCAATGCATCCCGCTATGTGTGAAAATTATAACTGTAAAATATTTATTATCGATATTTTGAAAGTGAAGTGACAAGTAACAACACCCCACGGGTGTTTTAAACTCATCCGACTGATAATTGGATGCATCACGTCGCGCGTGCGGGGATTTTACAACCTTCTTGATTAGTTGGTTATACATTTGTAAATCGAGACTTCGGTTACATAACGGAAGTTGCCAGTTAGCTGATAAATATATAGTAAGATTAATCTCCAATGCATATCCTTCTGTGCTAAATAAAAAGTTTAACCTTTTCCAGTATAAATTTCACCAAAAAATGGGCCAGTGTTTGACATCGTTGTTTTACTGTGATCTTTAAAAAAGTAAATTAAAAAAAATTGGTATAGTCTCTGGGCATACTGTAAAACATGGTATGGTACGATGGTATGGTATGTGTTATGGTATGGTGGTATGGTACGAATACCACAATACCATGGTATGCGTGAATGGTACCATGGTATGGTATGATGGTATGGTACAAATTACTATACCATGGTATAATTTGATGGTATGAAGTATGGTATGGTTTTTTGAAGTAGGAAATTTTGAAAAGTTAATTAAGGTAATTTGAAACATGATTTTTTTAATTTGCTGACATTATGTATCTGGTTTATTTCTGAAACGAAAATATTACTAAAAAAAGAAAGTGGATGTAGACAAAACAGATCACTTACATATAGTTGTGAACAGAAAACAAGAGAAAACTCAATTTAAAGATCTCAGATAACCATAAAGTTAAGATGAGATAAATAATATGTCCCGGCCTGACACATTGAAAATTTCTGTCAATTATTCTTTGAAATTATGGGAAGTGCTGCATATCTTATAATTATAATCTAGATAATGTAGTTAAAGTTTTATTGCTTAACCTTCTGTCAATGACCAGCTTTTATATTATAGTTATATTTATAGTTCCATAAGCAAACAATAATTTCTACAGTCCTACATCTTTTCCAAGAAACCACATTTAGAGTGGAAATTGCATATCTTCTCTCAATTATGAAGAGCTTACCATACTGATAAGATGACAGATATTATTACTTATCAAACAGATTACTAAAACAAACAAAAAACTGTTAACCTTTAAGAGTTGTAGAAAATTCAGACACATGTATAATGGACACCCTTTTATGTATGTGTTTGATTTTTTTTGGACAATATTCTTTGTTGTTGTTTATCCTGAGTTTCAAGATATAATTGGATATCTAGTTATTATTACACATAGTATACAAAATATTCAAGTTTTGCAATTAATTTAAAAAATTGAAAATTAATAAAGTTGTTTAAAACAACATCACACATAATAAAAGAAGACACATTCCTTGATTGATATTGTGTATCAACTATTCCTTCATGCAACAATTTTCACATATTAAAACATGTGGTATCTATCAACTAACAAAGTATTAAATTAGTGACAGTTTAATTTGAAAGTATGGTGTTTTCTAATTGATGCATGAGATGCATTCACTTTTAATTTACATTTTTTAAATGTGATTTCTTGGGCATACATGTAGACAGAATATGCAACTGTTGAAAGTGTCATATTTCAAAACAATATAAAAGTTGGTCATTGAAAGAAGATTAAGCAATAAAACTTTAATTACATTATCTAGATTATGATTATAAGATATGCAGTTCTTCCCAAAATTTCAAAGAATAATTGACAGAAATTTTCAATTTGTGTCAGGCAGGAACATACTATCTATCTTATCTTAAACGGATAGTAGCTACGATTTTCATTAAAATTATTTTTCTAATCTATATGCCGGATTTTGTACAAAACGTTTATTTAGAATGAATAAAACCATCACTGTTTACTTTCCAATTAGCATTTAGAAGCTTTTTAACGTTTTACACTTGAATTTAATTTTTGTCTATAGACAAAAATTCGATGTTAAGCCAACCCTTATTCATATGATCTATGTTGAATTAACTCCGAAGTTCCCAATGCGCAATCGCAAGTTGTCCCTCGAAGGGAAAATGTCGAACAGAGGAATATTATCGCGGAAGTGGAGACAAGTTATTGTAAATTGAAAATAAATAACGGCGATGAGATCGGTCATTAGAATCATTTACAAACACCTGACACGCAGATAAAGTCATTATATAAACAGTCGACATTACGACGGTTTGCGAAATGTAAAAAACATTTCTGAACTTTTCGAATCCAGATCACATGAAAATAAATCACGACGTGTTCAAATCATTATTGTCCAAAATATCTTTATAAATTTAAGAGCAGTGATCTCACAACTTAGAAGACATTAAAAATCAACTTCTTTCAATTTAATATTATTCTTCCTGTGTACCCTGCATGAAGGCCCCAATTCAATTCACAAACACGTGTATACGTTATCGGCATTGTTTTGTCATACAAATATAAAACAAGTGTATAATATCGCCATTGTTTGAGAACCTTCGGTTCGAATAATATGCAGGCATTTGGTATATTTTATTGTTTACATAATTTGATAAATGGTTTCAAATATGTACGTTTAATCTAAAGAAATTGTCAAATACGTAAGAAAACAAAAGCACATGTTCATATTTATTTATATCTTGGTCATCTCACTCGCTGTGTCGGCAAAGTTCGGGAAGTAAACCCGATGCATAATTAGATGAAAAGGCACGCTACACGATATTAATTATCAATTATTAACACTTCTGTACTTTATATAAACATTCCACCGATCTTATTGTTAATTTAAAGTACATATCTTTGATTTTAGCAGCTTTAAAACTTGGTCATAATTTTGTCAAAATCGTAGCTACTATCCCTTTAACTTTATGGTTATATGAGATGTTTAAATTGATTTTTCTCTTGTTTTCTGTTCACATCTTTATGTAAGTAAAAGTCTATCTGTTTTATCTACATCCACTTTCTTTTTTTAGCAACATTTTCTTTTCAAAAATAAACCAGATACATAATGTCAGCAAATTAAAAAAATCATGTTTCAAATAACCTTAATTAACTTTTCAAAATTTCCTACTTCAAAAAACCATACCATGGTATAGTAATTTGTACCATACCATCATACCATACCATGATACCATTCATGCATACCATGGTATTGTGGTATTCGTACCATACCAACATACCATAACACATACCATACCATCGTACCATACCATGTTTTACAGTATGCCTAGTCTCTGGTATTATAAAATAAAACTAACGTAATTTCACCGAGAATGGACAAAACTTTTTTTTTTAAATAAAGTTTCGCAGTTTTTTCCATCAGCTATATCAATGTATATTTACATCGATGCATTATTTTTTGATTGGTCACAACAATCAGTTATTTTTAGATTAGTCGCGGTTGATTGATTATATCAAAGAATACACATCACCGCAACCGGGCCGAGAAAAAGACGTGTCTTATGAAATATTTAAAACATTTGATGGAAAAACTTTCAAAACATACGTAGTTATTTACGGAAATATTGTTTTTAATAAACTAGTGTTGTTCTATCTTTAATTCAATGGGTCACATAGCGGATTCATTTGCCGTTTTTTACACAAGTGGTCTTTCACTTCGGCAAGATACAATTATGAAGCGTCATAAATAAATTGGACAGGAATGTATTTAAAAAAAAAAAGTTAATTGTCATGAAATAAAATGTCAGCTTAGCTTCCAAACAGGTAATTTTCAAAGTTTTATTTAACAACTTGCTGTTGCTGCTGAAACCATTCTATCAGCAAATTGAGGACACTGTTAGTGAAAGAATGTAAAGACATGACATTTAGGCATTGGAACAAATATTCTATACCATTTATTCCGTTAGGAACATTTACTGTAATATTTATTCCGGTGGAAATAATATTCCAGAATATTGTTTCCATTTGGAACTTATATTATGAAGGAACTTCTATTCCGTGACAGTATCCTTGTCTGTCCAAGTATGCAGCAATTGGTCTTGTTTTGCCAGTTTCAACAGCTGATTGTGAAAGGTGTTTTTCATGTTTAAACAGAGTTAAAACACCTTTGAGAAACAGACTATGCCAAAAAGTGCTGAATTGCTTAATGCATATATCAATTGAAGGACCAAAGGAAAAAGATTTTGATTTTGAAAAATGTGTGGGGACCTTTGGAAAGTTGAAACAGAGGAAGATATCAACAAAATAATGTGTACATGACATAAATTTGTAAATAACTAGTGCAGACTGGATTATTTTTAGTATTGTTTATAAGGTCTCTCATTAATTCCTCTCATCTGTAATAAATACTTTCAAGTTCCATGACTTACCTATAATAAAACAATTAGATTGGTATATGGCTATAAACATATAAATTATGTAGTGTAACTAATTCTGAAAAAGAAACATCGTGCGCCGCGTTGCAAATCCACCATGGACCCACCATGCATGAAAATTATTCTAGGGAAGACACTGCTGTTGATTTATTCTACCTATGTTGAAAGACATGTATAATGTCAAATCATAATTATACCAATTGTTTAGTCTCAAAGAAAACTTGTAAGATTTCTGCTGCTATTTTTGCTGAATAGGTGCAATTTGGGTACTCTGACGTTACCCCCATTACGACTGGCAAGTAGTGGTACTCCAGAAGGTGGCGGGAAGAATAAAGAAGAAGTAGTAAACTCAGAACGAATAAAAAGATATTTACATTGAAATGGAAGATTATTGATATTGCCCTTGCTGTACAGTTTTCCCATGACATCAAGATTTACCTCAGATCTATATTTAGGGACTTCTTGATGTCTTTGATACATATCTGTCATTTGCCCTAGTTTATAGTTTCCCATGACACCCAGATGTTGTGATAAGTTATTGGAATGAAAATAAAAAATTGAATTCTCAGGTCAATCAATTTGAAAAAAATAATTTATTCCCAAATCAGGTCGAGAGGAAGCAAGCCAACTTGTATCATTGCAAACTTGTACCACATCAACTCGTACCAATGTTAACTTGTACCACTGCAAACTTGTACCATTAAAAATATATGCATTGTTTTTGTCGAGCTATTTAGTGAAATTTAAATATTTATTCATCATTTAACACCATTTGAATGCATTTGAATAAGTTGGTACAAATTTACCATGGTACGAGTTTGCTTTTAGTGGTAGGAGTTGACATTGGTACCAGTTTGCAATGGTAAGAGATAACTATAATTCCTTTCAATACGTTTCATCCATGAACCAGTTCGGCCATATGTCGTTTCAGCCATACACCAGTTCAGCCTTGGTCGTTTCGGTCCATAATACATTTTATCTTAATTTCCGTACCTATCAATGTTTTGAATAAAAAAATAAGAGATAAGTAAAAGATGAATATGATGCTGTGTACAGAAACTGTCACAGTTAGAAGAACCAGGTAAAATAATATTCCAGAATATTGTTTCCATTTGGAACTTTTATTATGAAGGAACTTCTATTCCGTGACAGAAGTCTCGATTAAAGGTTGATCAAAATATATTTGCAAATAATTGGCAGCTTTAGTGTACCACTATGCAATTTAGTTAAAAAGTGTGAATTATAACAGTAACCTAAATAATCTTAGAAGCTAAATTCTACCTTAATATTCTTATAAATATTAAGTTTTCGCTTTTTTCTACAGATACTAACCAGCTTTGTATATATACTGAACTTTAATTCTATTCTTAATAACATCAATAGATACATTAATATGTATTTCTGATTGTTGATATCATATATGATTTAGACCACACATTAGAAGCCCAGGTTATTTTGCCATTATTGGCATCTTAAGTAACAATTTTTAAACAAATTTTTTTTTATAGTTCTCGTCTTGTCACCGGTTTCCGAAATCATAGAACGCCTATCGTACATATGACCTCTAAAAATGTCAAATTGAAACCTTATTCACGAATTTCATTCAGTATGCCTGCAGAAACCTGTCTGTATTCGTTTTAGCAATCCACAAAAATCTCCTGTCACATGGCATTTTTTGCTTGTCAAATTATTCAAAACTTTCAACTGTAAAGTATATTGTTTGTAAACTCACAGAACAGGTCAAATTGATTTTAGCAATTTTATAACAGTGAATATATGCATAAGCTTGTGCTCAGCTTGGGACATGATGTACATGTAGCACTCATTAAGACCGTTATTCTTTTTTAAATGTGAACAATTACAACTTCAAAGTTAAACATTGTATACTTATTATCACAGAAATTATGAAAAATGATTGTATAAGTATAATATCTGCAATCAACTCCTAATTAACTTTCAAATACTATTTACAGTCATTTACATTAAACATGTTAATTATAATTATCTATTTTTAACTCTAAATATTTTTATGTACGAAAAAATCCTAATGGTAAACTTTGGTTTCTTGATTACAGTTTGACCAATTTTGACAGAATGGAAATTTGATAATTTTCTTCAAGGATTATCTACAACTCTTATTGAGAAAACTGTTCAAATCAGTTTATGTATGTCTAATAGATGCTAGACCAATACTTTCTCAATTTATTCATTAAAGATAATAAGAGTTTAAAACAGGTTACCTTATAAAATAAGACCTTATAAATTAAGATATTATGCCTTCTTATATATTTTCTATATAATTTTATATCACTATAGGTTGATATATATATATATATGTTGTGTACAAGATGTAAGTTTGTACAAATTATAATTTGTACAGGGTTTTTGTACAAGTTATAAGTTTTTTGGCACATACCTTTTTGCATCAGATGATAAAAGTTTATCTTCTTAAATTAATCAGATTAATGTCTTAAATTCAAACTTATATACTTCAACCTAACGTTTAGTGCAATCTCCCTGTCTTTAAACTGGAAATAAGGACACCTGAATCGTTTAAATTCTATTTTTATTTTTCTCCTTATACTAAAATCATATCCATAAAAAGTCTATTTGTGTTCTTATAATGTTTTTTTTTTTGTATCAATGCTCATTATTAGACTGTATCATGTAGTCATAGAAATATGACAGAAATAAGCGAAACAAAAGACTGTGTGCTTGTAACATCCATTTGTGTTAAGCGGTTCATAAAACACTGAAAACTTGAAAAAAAATTCTGTACAAATTATAATTTGTACAACATTACAATTTGAACACAACATTTATACATGTACCTGTTAATGAGAATCTTCCACAACTTGTGTAATTGCTGATTATACATGTACCTGTTTATGAGAATCTTCCACAACTTGTGTAATTACTGATTATACATGTACCTGTTAATGAGAATCTTCCACAACTTGTGTAATCGCTGATTATACATGTACCTGTTAATGAGAATCTTCCACAACTTGTGTAATTGCTGATTATACATGTGCCTGTTAATGAGAATCTTCCACAACTTGTGTAATTACTGATTATACATGTACCTGTTAATGAGAATCTTCCACAACTTGTATAATCGCTGTACCTGTTAATTAGAATCTTCCACAACTTGTGTAATTGCTGATTATACATGTACCTGTTAATGAGAATCTTCCACAACTTGTGTAATTACTGATTATACATGTACCTGTTAATGAGAATCTTCCACAACTTGTATAATCACTGTACCTGTTAATGAGAATCTTCCACAACTTGTGTAATTACTGATTATACATGTACCTGTTAATGAGAATCTTCCACAACTTGTATAATCACTGTACCTGTTAATGAGAATCTTCCACAACTTGTATAATCACTGTACCTGTTAAAGAGAATCTTCCACAACTTGTGTAATTGCTGTTTATACATGTACCTGTTAATGAGAATCTTCCACAACTTGCGTAATTACTGATTATACATGTACCTGTTAATGAGAATCTTCCACAACTTGTATAATCACTGTACCTGTTAATGAGAATCTTCCACAACTTGTGTAATTGCTGTTTATACATGTACCTGTTAATGAGAATCTTCCACAACTTGTGTAATTACTGATTATACATGTACCTGTTAATGAGAATCTTCCACAACTTGTGTAGTTGCTGATTATACATGTACCTGTTAATGAGAATCTTCCACAACTTGTGTAACTGCTGATTATACATGTACCTATTAATGAGAATCTTCCACAACTTGTGTAATTGCTGATTATACATGTACCTGTTAATGAGAATCTTCCACAACTTGTGTAATAACTGATTATACATGTTAATGAGAATCTTCCACAACTTGTGTAATTACTGATTATACATGTGCCTGTTATGAGAATCTTTCACAACTTGTGTAATTACTGATTATACATGTACCTTTTATGAGAATCTTCCACAACTTGTGTAATTACTGATTATACATGTACCTGTTAATGAGAATCTTCCACAACTTGTGTAATTACTGATTATACATGTACCTGTTATGAGAATCTTCCACAACTTGTGTAATAACTGATTATACATATACCTGTAAATGAGAATCTTCCACAACTTGTGTAATTGCTGATTATACATGTACCTGTTATGAGAATCTTCCACAACTTGTGTAATAACTGATTATACATGTACTTGTTAATGAGAATCTTCCACAACTTGTGTAATTACTGATTATACATGTACCTGTTATGAGAATCTTCCACAACTTGTGTTATAACTGATTATACATGTACCTGTTAATGAGAATCTTCCACAACTTGTGTAATTACTGATTATACATGTTGTGTAATTACTGATTATACATGTACCTGTTAAATAAATATGAGAATCTTCCACAACTTGTGTAATTGCTGATTATAAATGTACCTGTTAATGAGAATCTTCCACAACTTATGTAATTGCAGCTTATTTATTACATTGCAGCTTATAGGAAAGAGATGCATTAAGTAAAAATATTTTGTTTTTCACTTTTTTAGATGCTTAAAATGTTGTAGCAAATAGCAACTAAAATGGCTGATAGTAGCTATAGTGATATTAGCTTTGAAAAGAAAGGTGAGTTGTTTGTCATGTTTGTTCTTGGATTAGCTTTTCTTTTTTCATTATTTTACAAACTGATTTCCCAAAATGATTATGAAAATTTAAAAAGTTTCATAATTTTAATAATACTCAGTTATTCTAGTTGTCATCAATTATTGGGAAAAAAGACCAAAAATACTTACCAGTTACTGAAATTCAGTTATGAAGTCTTGGCTAATTGCATTACTCATGATATGACTCTAACTGATTTGTAGTGGAAATTTTCAAAAATAAAAAGGTAGTCCTATTTGACCACTCTTTATTTCATTATGTCTGTCAACAATTTGTACCAGAACTCAAATTTGCTGTAACCAATTCGCATGTAATTTTAACAGATGGAAGAATGCTTTCATTCTATTTTGTGTTGTTGTTTCAGAGATATGGGACTTAAACTGTTTAAATAAAGGCACTTTTTGACATATCGTGCACTTACTCCAGTATGCCTGGATCGATTTCCTTACATATTGGCATAATTGTTGGGATTGATCATTGATAAAATAAATCACTTTAACTTCCAGAGTTACGTGTATGGGACTTTGACTGGCAGATAAATAAAAGGCATTTTTTAAACTTCATGCACAAGCTCTAGTATGCTTAGATCAAATTACTACAAACTTATTGCTATTGTTGGGATCGGTGAATGTAGGCTTGCTTTTGATTTTGAAAGTTTTCTAGTTTGTAATTCCAGAGTTGGATGGAGAGTTGTCTCATTGGCACTCATACCACATCTTCTTATTTCTATTATCTGACTTTTAACAGTCATATTTGACTCAATATTTATACGCCTAAGGGTGTTCTCATGCTGTGTTTTCTACAGAGCCATTTTATTTGCTTCTGATTAAATGCCTTCTAATACCTATTTTGTTTTTGCAACAACTTCAATATGCACAATAGACCAATCACAAGTTGTTTTTATGAAGAATTAGTTACACCGGTTCACCCGAGGTCATTGTCGTAAGTTACATAATTTAACAATAGATTCTAAGTAGGTATACTGTGACGCAATAACATAAGCATTGTGACGTAGGAAATGTACAGGAAAGTGCTCAAATTGGTCTATAAGGGTGTATTATGCACTTTTAGTGCAGCTTCTTATTTCACATGACTTAATAGGCCTGAAGATATTAGTATTTTATTTTTTTTAACAGTTAGAATTTATGAGAAATTTTTGGAAAGTGTGTAAAAATCCTATGCCAGTAAGTTCTAAGTAAAGAAAACTGTCAGTTACTGGTACCACATTCTGTCATAGCTCTTGATACTTTAAAATCTATTATTAGCATGATTCACACCATGACAGTCTTTTATTGTCATAAAACATATATCTATCAATGAAAATGTGAAATAAAAGACGTGGGGGATAAATATCAATTTGACAGCATTCAAACAATATTAATTTTCAGGAAATTATCAATGTTATGCTTTTTCTTCTTCTGCAGATGAAAATCAGATGAAAATAGAGACTGTTAGTCCTACTCACAATAACAGATTTTCTTTCTCACGGACAAGTAGCACAGGCTCTATACCACAAGGATGTATGTCATCAGCATCATCTGCACATAATACAGGTAAGGGAAATAACTCTGTAGTGATGACATCTCTCTACCACAAGGATGTATGTCATCAGCATCGTCTGCCATAATACAGGTAAGGAAAAAAACTTGGTAGTGATGACATCTCTATACCACAATGATGTATGCCATCAGCATCATCTGCACATAACACAGGTAAGGGAAATAACTCTAGTGATGGCATCTCTTTACTACAAGGATGTATGTCATCAGCATCATCTGCACATAATCAGGTAAGGGAAATAACTCTATAGTGATGGCATCTCTTTACCACTAGCATGTATGTCATCAACATCATCTGCCTATAATAGGTAAGGGAAATAACTCTGTAGTGATGACATCTTTTTACCACAAGCATGTATGTCATCAACATCATCTGACTATAATAGGTAAGGGAAATAACTCTGTAGTGATGACATCTCTTTACCACAAGCAAGTATGTTATCAACATCATCTGCCTATAATACAGGTTAGGGAAATCTATATCACCATTATGATGCATGTATTATCTACACATCAGATGGGAAAGGGAAACAACTCTGTAGTGATACCATCTCTACACCATTAGAATGATTGATATCTTTTAGGGATAATACCACTTTTATTTTTCCCTATTAGTCTTCGTTAAATAGGCATTTTTCCAAAAAATGTGCAGAATTTATCTTTGTTTCAAATAAAGAAATAGTTGGCATGAATAAAGTTTTATCCTGTCCAGTACTACAGTAAAACTTTCACACAACATTTCTTTGCTAATAAGAAAATAATCATCACTGAAAGTAAACCAAGTAATTTTTCCATATTTTCCCCCTGCTGATATACCATCAGGATACCCTGTTCTCTGTGTTATCTACACCACCACATAGGTAATGTCCATCTGACATGGTTCATCTTAACTTGACCACTTTTATGACTCTTTTTGCTGTTATGGTTTATTAATTCATGTAGATTTGATCTCAAGGAACATAAAATTCAATTATAGTAAAGCAGGTAAAATGTTTCAACCTGTACATGTGTTCTCTTGATTGTTTATATTACCTGTATTCATCCTTGTTTATTCAAGACTTTTTTTTTATATATATATATATAAAAGACTAAAAAAGAGACATCATGACACTCAAATCTGTCCCCTGTGATGTCATGACACTCAAATTTGTGACCCTTCGTTTATGCAAATTTGTTTCCTTTATGAAGTAGACACTCAGTAATGACTTGAATTGGGACAGAAGCATATAGAATGTGTAGGGGTTAGAGTGCCAACCTCACCCTAAAGGGACCATTGTGTAAAAATGCAACATAATATTAAACTGTGATAATCAGATAAAAAAAGCTGAACTCATCAGATTTACACAAAATACACAATCCAGATAAAAATAATTTTAAGAAAGATAGAGGACACAAATCGTTTTTTACTGTTTAGCCTTCAAGATGTTTTTTTAACAACAAAAATATTTCCTTGAAATCATTTTGAAAATTTTGACATTAACACACAGTATAGTGCATGACTTGTTGAATAGGACACATATATGAGAAAAGAAAGGACAAAGATTTGTGATGTCTATGTATATGTAAGAGAATGATAATCCCTTTCTTCATGATTGAGTACGAGCGTTAGCGAGTACTTATCATGAAGTAAGGGATTATCATTCTCTTACAAACTTAGAATATTGTAAAGTGCTCAAGGCTCAAATGATCTCTTAATTGGTTGTATTTAAGAATTAGACTCATTGTCAGTGCAATGTTTATAATTAATGCATGACTTCCTTGTTAGGCATTTCATTTATGGATTAGTTTTTGTGATGTAAGGACTTTCTTATCATTTGGGATTTTTTTTTTAAATGCGTTATAGATATTAGGTGACACAACAGATCAAAGATAAAGTTAGAGAACGGAAACTAAAAATTCAGCAATTTTTATACGACCGCAAAAAAATTTTTGTGGTCGTATATTGGTATGACGTTGGCGTCGTCGTAGTCGTCGTCCAGCGTCGTCCGAAGACACATTGGTTTTCGCACTCTAACTTTAGTTTAAGTGAATGGATCTCTATGAAATTTTACCACAAGGTTCAATACCACAAAAGGAAGGTTGGGATTGATTTTGGGGGTTATGGAACCAACAGTAAAGGAATTAGGGGCCAAAAATAAGCATTTTTGTAACTTCCAGACATAACTTCTGTGTTAGTGTATGGATCTCTCTGATATTGTACCACAAGGTTCCATATCACAAAAGGAATGCTGGGATTGATTTTGGGGGTAATTGCCTCAAAATTTTAGGAATTAGGGGCCAAAAAAGGGGCAAAAAACAAGCATTTTTCTAGTTTCATGACAATAACTTGTGTGTAAGTGTATGGATCTTTCTGAAATTGTACTACAAGGTTCCATATCACAAAGAGAAAGCTGGAATTGAGTTTGGGGGTAATTGCCGAAACATTTAGGAATTGGGGGCCAAAAAGGGGCCAAAAATAAGCATTTTTCTAGTTTCCAGACAATAACTTGTGTTCAAGTGTATGGATCTCTCTGAAATTGTACTGCAAGGTACCATACCACAAAGGGAAGGCTGGGATTGGGGTAATTGCCTCAAAATTTTAGGAATTAGGGGCCAAAAAGGGGCAAAAAACAAGCATTTTTCTAGTTTCAGGACAATAACTTGTGTGTAAGTGTATGGATCTTTCTGAAATTGTACTACAAGGACACATTTCACAAAGGGAAAGCTGGGTTTGAGTTTGGGGGTAATTGCCCTAAATGTTTAGGAATTTGGGGCCAAAAAGGGGCCAAAAAACACATTTTTCTAGTTTCCAGACAATAACTTGTGTTCAAGTGTATGGATCTCTCTGAAATTGTACTGCAAGGTACCATACCACAAAGGGAAGGCTGGGATTGAGTTTGGGGGTGATGAATCATAAGGGGGACCAAAAAATTTGGGGGGGGGATTTTTTTTTTTTCCTTTTTTTCTTTTTTTCCTTTTTTTTTTCTTTTAAAATTTTCCATTTTAAGTTGGTTATTTCTGATTTATATTTAAAAGCAAATAATAATGATATGGTAGGAGATACACACCAAACAGGATGTGTAAATTATTATATAATAAGTATTGTGCAATAGCAAGAAATTTTCAATTGCACAGTATTGCACAATAGCAAGAAATCTTCAATTGCACAGTATTGCGCAATAGCAAGAAATCTTCAATTGCACAGTATTGCGCAATAGCAAGAAATATCCAATAGCACAATATTGCACAATAGCAAGAAATTGTCAATTGTACAGTATTGTGCAATAGCAAGAAATATTTAATTGCACAGTATTGTGCAAAAGAAGATACTTCGTATAAATTGCTTATTTCTTGACCAATTTCAATGGGGTTTTATTCTTGAATTCTTGGGGTTCTTTAATATGCTGAATCTAACCGTGTATTTAGTTTTTGGATTTTGGGCCCCGTTTTTAAATTGGTCCACATTGAGGTCCAAAGGGTCCAAAATTAAACTTTGTTTGATTTCATCTAAAATTGAATTATTGGGGTTCTTTGATATGCCAAATCTAACCGTGTATTTAGATTCTTAATTTTTGGTTCCGTTTTCAAATTGGTCTACATTAAGGTCCAAAGGGTCCAATATTAAGCTTAGTTTGATTTTAACAAAAATTGAATTCTTAGGGTTCTTTGATATGCTGAATCTAAACATGTATTTAGATTTTTGATTATGGGCCCAGTTTTCAAGTTGGTCCAAATCGGGGTCCAAAATGAAACTTTGTTTGATTTCAACAAAAATTGAATATATGGGGTTCTTTGATATGCTGAATCTAACCATGTATTTAGATTTTTGTTTTTGTGGCCCCGTTATCAACTTTGTCCACATTGAGGTCAAAAGGGTCCAAAATTAAACTTTGTTTGATTTCATCAAAAATTGAATTCTTGGGGTTCTTTGATATGCTGAATCTAACCATGTATTTAGATTTTGGATATTGGACCATAATAGGTGAATGTCCAATTTAAAATTTATAAGTTCTTAGACCACATTCATTCTGTGTCAGAAACCTATGCTGTGTCAAATATTTAATCACAATCCAAATGCAAAGCTGTATCAAGCTTGAATGTTGTGTCCATACTTGCCCCAACTGTTCAGGGTTCGACCTCTGTGGTCGTATCAAGCTGCGCCCTGCGGAGCATTTTATTCCATTTGTAAAGGGGCATAACTCTAGAACGGTAAAAGTGACGCCACCAAAATTCAAACTTGATCTGTGTTTTGTGGTAATAAGCATTGTGTATAAGTTTCATAACATTTGGTTGAGGCAAACTAAAGTTAGAGAACGGAAACGATAAATTCAGCAATTTTTCCATTTGTAAAGGAGCATTACTCTAGAACGGTAAAAGCGACGCCACCAAAATTCAAACTTGATCTGTGTTTTGTGGTAATAAGCATTTTGTATAAGTTTCATAACATTTGGTTGAGGCAAACTAAAGTTAGAGAACGGAAACCAATTTTGGGACGTACGTACGTACGTACAGACGGACAAGGGTAAAACTTAATGCCCCCTCCTCTACAGCGGGGGCATAAAAATGTAGGAATTGTATATGATTCCTGATTGTCAGTATGGGTGTGAATCCTGTAATATTTTAGCGAGGAATTATCTTTTTTTATAGTTTAATTCAATTAATATATTTGAGTTACAATAACATTTTATTTCACAGCCAATATTTTGGTCCGGCTTTTTACATCAAATACTATGTCATTATGTCAGGGAAGTGTTCAAAGTTTTTAATATGTTCGATCAAGACTTAAATTCAATTTCTGTTGTTGTTTTTTTTTTTTAATTTTATCAGAATATAGGAAAGAACTATTCTTCCCAACAGCTGATCCAGTGATCAAAGTTTTGGAAAGCTAAAGATTTAGGTTATTTTTTTATTTTAAAGCTTTTTTTTTTTCTTTTTTTGCCAATGCTTTGATATTGTTTAACTATTTATTAATTTGAGGTTATTAATATTTTCATAATAATATTCATGGTACCAATTTTACTGCACTAGTAAACTTCAACTTATTTTTAGTTTTTTTTTTTTTTTGTTTTTTTTTGTTTCACAATTCAACTTTTAGTCAGTTTCAATCACTGTGTCATAAATCCTTTCAATCTGATAAATGTGCTTCAGGGCAGTTGTAACTCATTTATAGAAACTCTTTTGTTTTGAACTGTAAATAGACCCAAATAATGGGATAATCCCTTACTCAGAACATGATTTACATCCATTCTTCACAATTAAGAGGCATCAAATCCTACAATTTCATTGGTCGAGAGCACTTTGCTATATTCTAAGAAGAAATATAGAATAGGACACAGATTTGAGGCTTACATATATATAAATAATAACAGTTTTTTCTTCATTATGGAAAATTCAAAGTGCAGATGTTACATCTTGCATGGGTGAGCTTAAATGGTAATTAAATGTTTGTGTTTAGAAATAAAATAACAATGTCAACTTTTGACAAATGTTCAATATAATAATCACAGAGAGTGCTCCAAATTATCTTAGAATATGGCAAAGTGCTCTCTACCACTGGAATTGCAGAATTTGATGTTCATTAATTGTGAAGAATGAGTATATATCATGTTCTTATTATGGGATTATCCTATTGTTTAGGCCTACTTACAGTTCAAAACCAAAGAATTTCTATAAATGAGTTACAACTGCCCGAAGCAAATCTATCAGCTTGAAAGGATTTAAGATTGAAACTAAAGAAAAGTTAAATTTTGAAACCGAAAAAAAAAAATCAAAATAAGTTAAAATTATTACCATTAATGTTATTATGTGAATATTTTATAACTTCAAAATCAATAAAAAAAATAAACAGTATCAAAGCAATACAAATAAGAAAAAAATCCTTTGATATCACCTAAATCTTTAGCTGATAAGCTTACCAAAACTCAGATTACTGTACAGCAGTTTGTAGGAATAGTAATTTCCAATATTACGATACAATTAAAATAGGAAATCTCACAAAACATGTTTAACCCCGCCACATTTTTGCACCTGTCCCAAGTCAGGAGCCTCTGGCCTTTGTTAGTCTTGTATGATTTTTAATTTTAGTTCATTTATATGTTTTGGAGTTTAGTATGGCCTCCATTATCATTGAACTAGTACACATTTTTGTTTAGGGGCCAGCTGAAGCACGCTTTTGAGTGTGGGATTTTCTCGCTGTGTTGAAGACCCATTGGTGGCCTTCTGATGTTTTTTGCTCTTTGGTGGTGTTGTTGTCTCTTTGACACATTCCCCATTTCCATTCTCTATTTTATTACATTAACTCTAATTATTTTCCTAAAAACACATTTTATTTAACATTTAAATCTTAGTTAATTATGTAGTATTTGAACATTGGATATAGAATAAGATTTATTGGTAAACTCAGATTTTGAATTTATTGATTTAAACAGTAATAAGCAAAAACATAATTCCTCACTAACATATTTCATAATTTACATTCATACTCACAATTACAAAACTTAAACAAATTTCTACAATTTCATCATACTGTTGGGTCATCTAATGATACTCTCTTTCTTACATATATATATACATGATTCAATAAAAAGAAAATATAGGATTAAAGAGTGTTAACATTTTAATAACTGTTAATCAACTTAGATAAATGTTTGATCTCTATTTTCTTTTGTTCAATAACAAATTTTGATGTTACTTACAAGATAAAATCTCTACCATTTCATTGTTTATGACTTTAAATTATTTGATTAAACAAAGATTTATCTAAACAATCAAACTTTTATATTATTTTTATCTATTAAAAGTCTTAATGAAGATTAAATACATGGTTTATAAGTTCTGTATCAAGGCTTTTTACATTGAACTAGACTTTTTTTCACAATTTTTGGGGAAAAGGGGGTAAAGTACATAATGTAAACTATATAATGTTCATGGCTAATTATGGTAGTAAGTGTTATGAATTAAATATTTTTGTAAATGTTAGAACTAAAGTAGTTATAGAATATTTACAGACGACGAAGACAGTGATACAACAAAGCAAACAATGACGTATAAAGATCGTCGACGTGAAGCACACACTCATGCTGAACAGAAAAGGAGAGATGCCATTAAGGTATAAAAGCTTTAGAAATGTACATTTTATACAAAGAAGTGAACTTGCATGCCTCTGCAGTAAATTTTCTTCTTTAGGGATTAGTAAGTTATGATATCCAATTTTTATCAACAGCATCTGGGGGAATGGATATTGATAATTCAGAAATTATTGCGTGCATTTATTATTGCAATTTTTGAACAATGGACAATAATGCGAAATTAATTATTGCTATTTCAGGCAGATCTGTATACAAATATATTTATTGAATTCAAAATACAAGTTTTATTATTACAATCTTCACTAAGTCCCATTATTCTCATTAATAAAAACCTCACAATAATTTCTGAATATACTATATTGGATGAATGTACACTGGAATTCCAACAATGATCCCATAATCTTATTCAAATTATGGGGATTTTATTGCTGTTCTTATTACAGCCCAGGGTACGTTTTTAATAAAAAATAATAAAATATTTGAAAAAGCGTGACAGAATAACACTGACTATTAACTCATGCACATTCATGAATTAATGTGTTGTTTGGTCACTCCTCTAATATTTTTCTAAATTAAAATTTGATTAGTTATTCTTATAATCATGTGTACAAAATTGCCTTGTTGGTCCTGCAGTAGCTACTCACCATGATTGCAGGAGGTCATACCTTTGATTCCTTCCAGGACAAATCAAAGAGTTAAAAATCGGTCTGACTTGAACAAAGCAGATTTAGCAGGGTTCATATTCACTAACATGTTCTTGTCCATATATGCATGAACATGTATTATTGGCTACTGTGAACAACTGTTATAGAATTGAGTGTCACATATTAAGTTTATTAGTCCCGTACCGATGAAGTCGAAGGTGACTTTAGGTTTGCACTCCATCCTTCTGTCTGTCTGTCCGTCGGTCCATCTGTCAGTCCGGCAAATCAGCTTTCTACACTTTTTTTCTGCGTTCTTGAAGATATTGATTTGATATTTGGTGTATAGTTTTATCATGTCAAGTTATAGATCAAGTTCGAATTTTGTTCCTGTCTGATGATTTAGTCCAGAGTTAGGACCATAACTCTGGACCATATTTAATGTTAGAGTACTATGTTAAACCATATTTCTGTACAAAGGGAGATAACTCATTTTTTAAAAGACATTCTTTGTTAAATTGTTTGAAGAATATTTTGACAGGTTTGTTTGTTATTTAGTATAAACTAATTTTCTGAATGCCATATGTATATAAAAAAAAATTATGAAGAGAAATCCTTTAATTAGATAATAATCTATTTTTATTAATGTATATATTTCAATACATTACATTGTGTAGATAAAAGTTGTTGACATTTTACAGATAAGTTACAAATCTGTATTAGATTGTGACAAATGAAAGAAAAAATATTTGGAACTATTAATTATATTTTATTATAATTTGAAAATAGATAGATAGATAGATCTTTAGATATACACTGCATTACATCATATCTAATTTTAGAGAACTATTAATCATATCTGATGTTATTTTCATCATGCTTATAAGATATTGATTGATAATTGGTATATATATAGTTTTATCATGACAAGTTACAGATCAAGTTCAAATTTTTGTTTCGGTCTAATAATTTTGTGCAGAGTTACGGTCCTTGGACTTGAAAAATTCATGCATATAATCAGTTTTCCACACTGTTTTTAGTCATGCTTGAAGATATTGACATGATATTTACTTTTGTTTACACCATGACAAGTTATAAAACAAGTTAGCATTTTGTTCCAGTATAATGAATTTTTATCCGGTAGGGGACTATGTATTGCCATGCAATACTCTCAGAATGCTTGTTATTTCAGAAAGGGTATGAAGAACTACAGAATATTGTTCCTACATGTCAGAATACTTGTTATTTCAGAAAGGGTATGAAGAACTACAGAACATTGTTCCTACTTGTCAGAATACAGACAGTGTCGGTTCACAGAAACTCAGTAAAGCAACAGTTCTTCAAAGATGTAAGGAAATAATCAAATTAAAACCTGAGATTGTTGTGGCAATTGTAAGGGGCAGGGTGTCCAATACAGTCATACTTTTTTGGACTTTAAAAAAATGAAAGTCCTGATAGAATTGACCAAAAAGACAATGCATATTATGGTGTATGATTAAGAAAACTATGGTTTAGATAATTTTTTTGTTAGACTATTTTTCCTTAACACAGAAACACTTTTCTGTCATAAAAGGGACATGAGGAGTATTTAATGTAAACAAGCTGTAAGTAAATACCTCACAATGAAAGCAGTTATTAACAATAGCTAATTGTTTTACAAACAACTGAGGTTGTCAGGAAACCATCATTACCATGGTTAGTGGGCCTGTTTTCAATGAACCCCTTGCATAGTTGACACTGTATGAGTGTATATATGTATTTTTAGCAGCATCCAATGTCAAAAGTATCTTTTCAAAGACTTATGAGAAGTGGGTTATGATTCATAGTGAAATACATTTATTAATATGTGCATTTTTTGTAATATAGACATTTTGTAATGCCCTCAGAATAAGGTGAATAACATGATCATCCACCGAAAGCACAATACACTAGTTTTTAGTCTGTCCTCAATTGAAGGTTTTCGAGTAATATCATAGCATCACAGCAGAAAACCTTCGACCTCACGGTTTAAAAGTGATTGCTGTGTGAAAATCAATAGGTTACTTTACATGAGAAGTAATGATTTTTAAGAAATCACATTCACAAAGAAGAGGTAATTGAGCTGTAGATGGACACTAAAGGTCACCAAAAAAGCAGGGTCTTTATCATAAGCTCATTCATAAACATTGCATATTTATTGAACCGCCTAAGTGGTCTCGTGGTAGCATGTTCGCATCCAGTGCGGGAGGTCGTGGGTTCGAACCATGGTCGGGTCAAACCAAAGACTCGGAGTCAGAATAATGTGTCTGGGTAAGGTGACATGTCTTCCTGCGGACTGTTACCTTGTGATTTAGCACGTTAAAAATCCTGGTCAACGTGTCTGTCTAGAACAAAGCAGGGTTAATATTCATATTACATTAACATGTTCTTGTCCTGAATATGCATATTAATTTGTTGCTGGATGTTAAGCAGCCATCCATCATCATCATATTTATTGAAAACTTTTTGAAAAAAGAAATTGTAGAAATGTACAATGTACAATAATTATACTATTTTGTAGCCATTGATTACATACAGTATTTGGTATCACAGAAGAAAAAGCAAGAAGATGACTTGGACAATCTAAGGAAAGAGGTCATGGCTCTGAAAATTATGAAAGCGTGAGTATATATTACTGTACATGTATCATATGAGCAAAAAAATAACCTTTATTTGAGTCACAAAAACATGTATTTATCATAGGTTTTTTTTTCTATTAGACAATGGTTTTTGTTCCTTCTAAACCAGTTGAAATAACAGTGAAAGTTATAATTAAATTTAAATATGAATTTTGAATCAATGCCTGCATTAATTAATAAACAATATTGCATTTTTACTGCTTATAATCCTCATTATTTACCAAATATTTGCCACTGGACATTAGACAGACAACAATTAATCATTTATTGTTATTGGAAACTGTGTGTTCACCAGTAATCTCACAATACAAGTATACATATCATATTTAGTCAGTTTCCATCAAAATCAAAATGCAGTTCTAGTTGACTGCATGTATAATTTTTATAAAAAAGTTATATAGATAAATGCATGCGTGTTATAATAAAGGTACAGTTTTGACAATTTTTACAGTGTTAATTAAGGTTCATTTTAATATCAAAAATAAAATTTTGGGTAATCTTAAGCTACACTTATTCTAGATGATGCCATCAATGATTCCTACAAAGGACATCACATTTTTGATATTTCAGGAATTATGAGCATATAGTTAAAACTCACCAGAACCAGCCAACTCATGGACAAAATCAAGTTTCTGATGAAGCAAAGTTTCAAGTTGTAAGTATGGTATTATAATGTCATATATGAAGTCTTTGTGTCTTTTAACTCATATTTAAATTATGTGAAGTAATATGTAATTTGAATATAACAGATGGCTCTTCAACTGTTTTTGATAAAATATAGAATACCCTAAATTGTTGTGACATCTGTAATATAAAGAAAAAAGAAAGATCATTTATCAATGTTTCCACTCTGAAAGAAGACTCTTCCTTTTAACCTCGCTTACCCTAAACTTCTTTTATTTTCCATTACCACTACAGTCTCGTATAGACAGTTATGAAAACCCTGTAAGATCAAAGTCATATATTGTTATTCTATAGGTGTCAAGTGTCCTGATCTTGATAGGATCCTCCAAGTTCATTTTTCTGAAATTTCTTGAATCTTCCACACAGTAGTGAGAATCTCCTGCTATTCAGATATTGTCACCCGCTCAATCAGAACACATCATTGTTTACCCGATTGTAAGTTAGCCGTGAGTTTTGGTTCACCATCACTACACATTAAGGTGAATACATCTTGTATTCAAGAAAAAACATTGCAGCAAATGTAAAAATGAATAGTGGAATAGACTTTTCCTCTTATTTGTTGCTTTGAGTACTGTACAGTCCTCACCCCTGCCAGGCAGTTTGAATTTTGAGACAAATAACTGAATGAGTTAAATTGCCAACTAAATTAGAGGAATTATTCTGTCTGCTTCCATGACAATTACATTATGCTAATAAGTTTTATAACTGTTATAGTTCCAGCAGATCATGGATACTTTGTTCCAGTCGTTTCATGCCAATGTGTCAGTATCAAACTTTGCAGAGTTGTCAGCATGTGTGTTCCAATGGTTGGAGGAGTATTGTAAACCACAGGTATGTTTCTTCGATGGTTAGAGGGGTATTGTAAACTACAAGGATCCTGATCTCAGTCATGCACATCAAAATGTGATGGGTTCCAATAGGGTTTTTTTTTTATTTATCTAAACCCTCCCCCTTTTAACCTTGATCAGTGGACAATAACACAAAAGTACAGGAATAACAATTAACTCGAGAGTTACAGTTATGGGCAAGATAACCTGTGATTGCTATCTCCCCTTTCCTTTTCTATTGGTCAATTTAAATATATGAAGGAAATTTACCTCCAACTTCTATAGAAAAAGAGAGAGAAGATACCATGGGGCATTCAAAGATCTAAACATCCTATAAAAACAGACAACATTATGGCCAAAAATAAATACGACAAAAAGTCCTATAAAAACAGACAACATTATGGCCAAAAATAAATACGACAAAAAGTCCTATAAAAACAGACAAAATTATGGCCAAAAATAAATACGACAAAAAGTCCTATAAAAACAGACAATATTATGGCCAAAAATAAATACGACAAAAAGTCCTATAAAAACAGACAACATTATGGCCAAAAATAAATACGACAAAAAGTCCTATAAAAACAGACAAAATTATGGCAAAAAATAAATACGACAAAAAGTCCTATAAAAACAGAAAATATTATGGCCAAAAATAAATACGACAAAAAGTCCTTTAACAGACAATATTATGGCCAAAAATAAATACGACAAAAAGTCCTATAAAAACAGACAAAATTATGGCAAAAAATAAATACGACAAAAAGTCCTATAAAAACAGAAAATATTATGGCCAAAAATAAATACGACAAAAAGTCCTATAAAAACAGACAATATTATGGCCAAAAATAAATACGACAAAAAGTCCTATAAAAACAGACAATATTATGGCCAAAAATAAATACGACAAAGAGTCCTATAAAAACAGACAATATTATGGCCAAAAAATAAATACGACAAAAAGTCCTATAAAAACAGACAATATTATGGCCAAAAATAAATACGACAAAAAGTCCTATAAAAACAGACAATATTATGGCCAAAAATAAATATGACAAAAAGTCCTATAAAAACAGACAATATTATGGCCAAAAATAAATATGACAAAAAGATAAACAGCAATAACAAAACAATACATAGAAAACTAAAAACTGAGCAACAGGAACACCACCAAAACCAGGGTTAAGTCAGGTGCTATAGAAGGGCAAGCAGTTCTTTCTACACATGTGGCACATTTTGATGACATTTCATTTAAAATCTACTGAAATATTTTATTAACTGAATATCTAGTGTCCCATGTCCGTATAATGAATAATTTCAAACCATTGTTCATTTCAGTCTTTGCGTGATGTGACAGTCGCCATTCTTAGACAACTGAATCAGTAGACAGGATGTTGTTGTGACAGGACGTGATTGTGACAATACTGATAATACTGTAAATAAACACATTTACTTTCATGAAACATTTATTGTTGATTTTATTTTGCACAATACACATATTTTACAAAGAAAATAAATATACAATGTTTTTAAAAAAAATGAACAGATTTACTGTTTATGCTATTTGCATTGCATTACTTGTTATACCTCTTATTATAGATTTAAATCATATATATATTTGAGAAAGACATCTTATCTCTAAGCCATTCAAGATTTGTAATATAACCTTGAAATGAAGTATTCACTAAATGAACTTTCAGTATGGTAATTAAATAAAGATAAATGTGATTTTTTGGTTGTAGGGTTTGATCCTTAAAACTACAAACTTGACTTTATTACCACTCTGTAGTGCATTAATTTTTCATTTTCTCAGTTGACCTTCTTCAATTTATGCTTAAATGATTTTGTTAAGTTTTGCATTAAAGTCTAGATCTCACGAACGAATTATTATCATAACAGTTTTCTTCCTTCTACTGTCCGTCTATGGAACGAGATTCCAATTAATATCAGAAATTCTTCTTTATATATATTTAAGAAATATTTGAAGAAAACTTGGGTTGTCCCAGAATATTTTTATAGTGGTAGTAGACTAGGACAAATTTTGCACACTAGAATTAGAACTGAGAGCAGTGGTCTGAATGAACATTTGTATTGAAAAAAATAGTAACTGATCCTTTTTGCAAATGTAGACAGATTGAAACATCTGAACACTTTTTATTGCGTTGTACGCAATACCAATTACTTAGAGAGTTTATGCTGAGTAACTTGTCATGTCAGCCTAATATACATAACTTACTGTATGGTAATCCTTTGATGTCCGACATTGAGAATTCTGATAACTTTCTCATTATTCAAGATTTTATTCTTAAAACAAAGAGATTCGTGTGAATTTCATATACATGTATTGAGATATATAATTTTATCCCCGGCTTAGTATAATTCTAGGAGTTTGATTGGTTAACCCACGTCGTTACAAAACCCATAGCCCCTGGGTGTTGCTAACCCATATCCCCGAACGTTGCTACCCATTACATTGGGGAATTTCACGCGCGTTTTCCTTAGTTCCATGGTTGTTCCTTAATATGAAATATCGAATTCTGTAGATTTTCCATGATGTCTGTATAATTAAATACGTAATCCACTAACGATTTTATCTTATTACATCGATTTTTTGCACTCATTTTAGTAAATGCATCACTATGCAGCCACATTGTCAATGAATGGTACTACTGACCTAGCTATGCAAATGACCCACGTTGACGTCACACCATTTATGATGTAACTCTCACAACATTGCGCGCCAAATTCGACCCATTTCAGTTTCTCTGTCTCTAGTTTAAAAACGTCTTATATTGTCTACCTGTAGGGTTCTACCAAAGGTAGTACCCTACACCCCGTTAAAAATATGTCAAATTCCCAGATTTCAATAAAAGATATTTAAAAAATGAAAAAACCGTTGCTTTCACGTTAAACTTTGTGGTCGAATTTCTCTAAAAATTGACCGGGGATAAATTCGTTATCTACGGATATGAACGTAGATAACTTATAATGTATAAATTAAATTGTCGTTAATTTATATTTATATTTACACCTGTTTAGTTTGATAGCACTGTAGTTCAGTTGTGAATTTGGTCAACAAATGCTTCTTATTCAGTTAAAAAAATATTTTTGACGCCATCCATCTATTATTATATTATATGGGAGAGGAATTTGTAAAAGTGAAAATTCACTTGTTTTCCAGTCCTGTCATTTTGTAATGTTTACGTTATTATTTTCTAAAATGAAATATTGTTTACACTAAAGTCTAGATCTAAGAATCCACAAATCATAGAGGAATGATTTTTATGGTTAATGCATCACTTTTAGTGACCAATTTCCATACTTGAATAATTTATAATTATGCCAGGTGATTAGCTGTTGTTTACATTTTCTGTTTCTTGATATTATTTTTTTTCAAATTCAGATTATTTATTTAAGGAATGACTGTAATATTTTTTCTGTCTATAAAGAAATAACATAAAAAATGTGGTGCACACTGAATAACCCGCTTAGTGGGTTATTTAAAAGTGTGCACCACATTTTTTAGGTTATTTCGAATAGACAGAAAAATATTACAGTCATTCCTTATAATTCAATTCTAAAAAGGAGTAATTCATGATAAAAACGTTGATGACGTCACAGTCACATGACAAAATTATGTCTATGAACTGATAGACAAAACACTTTCAGCCAATCAGAAGATGTGTTACATCCAAAATTAAATTATTCAATATTAATAATATATTGATTTGATGTTATCCTGTCATATGATTTAGTCCATGTTTGTTTTTTAAATTCGGAAAAAGTGGATTTTTATTCTAACTTTACTAGTTAATTGACTTATGATAGTATATAGATATTATAATGATTGATTTCAGATATTTTGATATACTTAATAATTTTCCATATTAGAGACATTTTGTTAGTAAAGTTACTTTGTACTGTGTAATTGCATATATACCTATATAGAATATGCTGAAGCTGTTTATACATTAGGCTGTGGTTATTTTTGATTGGTCAGAGTTTAAACATAGTAAACTTTTACATTTGTTTAGGATTTTTTAAGTGAAAATTTAGTAAGATTCAATGGATATTCAAGAGAGATCTAGCAACATTTTGTCTTGAAATGTAAAAACTGTTGCATTTATTTTTGTTTTGAATGATTATTTTCTCTACATTTTTTTGGTGTAAAATATAGGAGTAAGTTGTCTGCCTCTCTGTTATAGAAGCTATTTATTAAAAAGAAGAGCCCCTTATTTGATGTCAGATATTGTGAAATGTTAAAAATGTATAGCAGATTTATTGGCAGCTCAAAAATCCTTAAAACAATCACTGTAGTAGAGAGTAAATAGTTCATACTAAAGATTTGTACATAATAAATATACAAGTTACTTATTGGAGTATCTTGTGTTATTCTTTGCAATTGAGAATATTTGTATTGAGGAAAATGGTAAAATTGAAGTAGAAAATGATACAATTAATTTGTTGTAAAAAGGTGCTTTCATTGTCTACTTTAACTCATTTAGAGTTTTTCAGAAGACTTCCACCAATCTCATAACAACTCATATAATTGTATAAAGTTTGTATTGTATACTATGTGACACAAGATATCTTACTTATGATGCTATAAGCTTTCTTTGCACACACTAAACATGAATATTTTTGTGGTTTGTTATCACAACTTTAATGCATGAACTTTTCATGCCCTAATTCGTACACTGAAAGATACATGCACCCTTCACATCTATATTGTTGATTTGTACAAACTTTTTACACACCAGATATTTTTGCCCATTTCCATGTTTACGTTATGCTATAATTAAGAATTGAATGCTTCTTTTTGTAATTTTATTGGGGTGTAAAAGTGTTGACCAGAACACATTTTGTTTGAAGCAAATGTTTTGTTAGTTTTCCTATGCGTTTTTGTGAAGTTGTCATGAGAAGCACGTGCTGTCATGAATGTTGAATTTTATTGAGAAATATGATTTGATATTGGAATGCCTAGCAATTGCTTTCAGCCAATGATAATTATGGTATCTTGTGAAACATACATGTAATGTTATTGTTGTTTAGTAAAGTCTTTGTTACAGATGATCTTTAAGGTTAAATGTTTTAACAGCATTATCATTCAAAAAGGTATCAGAAATCATAGAGAAATCTAGTTATTTTTTCTCTGATTTATTGTTAATTATGACATGCAATGTTTTCAGTACAACTTGTAAAAAACTGTTAAATTCAAATATTTTGGTACCTATATTAATACTGGCTTGTTTGAAAAGTTTTTCTGCAAAACTTTAAATTTAAATGATTTGTTTTTATTTGTCTCTAGTATATATAAATAATTGTATATAATTGAAATCTGGCTTTAATAAAGAGAATATTTAATCAGACTTGAGTATTGTCTTCATTTTATAATCATTATTGTAGGGATATACCAGTGTTTCTTTCTGTCTTATCTGGGGGCAAGCAGATGATAAATCGTGAAAAAAATAATTCCTTTAAACAGAACAAGTTCAAAAGGTTGAATCTGGTTATTTGTGTTATTTTGTTTATAGTAACAGATAATGTTGGTAAAGTAGGGGACATCTGTAGCCCTGTATGTGATAGTGCCATGCTTATTATATTGTTTTGTATTTTATAGAATGGATAGATACAAAACTTTAATCATTCAATCTTCTTGACAGAATTATTATTATTATTATAAAAGAGATGTGGAGTTAACTTAAAAAAACCAGCACCACTAACCCACTCTAACCACACCTGTTCATACAAATCAGTCATTTATAAAAGAGGTCACTATACACTATTATAATGACAGCTTGTCAATGAGAATCAGTCATTTAAAAGAGGTCACTATACACTATCATAATGACAGCTTGTCAATGAGCACTGAATTATTAATATTACCTGTCATTTAATAGTCAATTAAGTTGCTAGAGCTTCAGGTCACTTGTCAGAATGAGGTACAGAAATGAAAGTTAAAGTCTCACCTTCCATGCATGTTGCAAAGAGCAATGCATTTTTAAAGGAGAACAGAAGTCACCAAAACTAATGTACAGTACAACACGGTCAACAGACTATATAAAACACGGTCAACAGACTATATACAACACGGTCAACAGACTATATAAAACACGGTCAACAGACTATATAAAACACGGTCAACAGACTATATAAAACACGGTCAACAGACTATATACAACACGGTCAACAGACTATATAAAACACGGTCAACAGACTATATAAAACACGGTCAACAGACTATATACAACACGGTCAACAGACTATATAAAACACGGTCAACAGACTATATACAACACGGTCAACAGACTATATAAAACACGGTCAACAGACTATATACAACACGGTCAACAGACTATATACAACACGGTCAACAGACTATATAAAACACGGTCAACAGACTATATACAACACGGTCAACAGACTATATAAAACACGGTCAACAGACTATATACAACACGGTCAACAGACTATATAAAACACCAACACTTAATGTCTACGAAAAAAATATATATACAAACAGACAAAATGAATAACACATGGTCCATATAGCCTGACTTGGTACAGGTACAATATGAAGTGGGGTTTAACCAGTTTTATGTGAGGCATGAGCAAAACATATATGATCATATATGTATAACTTTTCTGGCAGAGACGTTATCAATACCTTATTTCTTATTAAAAATTCTGGATACATAGTACATCTTTAAAAATGACAAGCTACTTAAAATTCTGACTTCAAATTACTTCTACTTGCACTTAATGAAGTGAAAGCTAGTTCAATGTCAAATTGGTTAACAAAAAACATTATTCCGAATTTGTCCTTTTCAGATTAATCATGATTAAATGGAGATATGGGGTCTCTGTAATTGTCATTGAAACAAAAACCCAACGTCACAAACAACCGAAAGAAATATAAAGGTCAAGCAAAGTCTTCAACAATAGACAGGTGGTCACAGGTGTCTATACAATATGTCTTCAACAATAAACAGGTGGTCACAGGTGTCTATGCAATATGTCTTCAACAATAGACAGGTGGTCACAGGTGTCTATACAATATGTCTTCAACAATAGACAGGTGGTCACAGGTGTCTATACAATATGTCTTCAACAATAGACAGGTGGTCACAGGTGTCTATACAATATGTCTTCAACAATAGACAGGTGGTCACAGGTGTCTATACAATATGTCTTCAACAATAGACAGGTGGTCACAGGTGTCTATCATGTACAATATGTCAATCTCTAATCGGCCGGAGTCTGCCATCAACAACACATTTTCCAAATAACAAACAAAAGAAAAATTTGACCTAAAAAACACACCGGACCAGGTTCCTGACTTGGGACAGGCACAGAATCTCAATCATTAGAACAACAAACGGTTCATAAAATAACATACAATACAAATCAGAAAAGGAAAAGAACTTTACTCTATAGTACAAAGAATATTTGCAGTTATTGAAGCAAGACATAAAACCTATGACATTATACGTTCCTATACTGTATAATTGGTGGGTGTACTTTATGGCAGATTTCAGTAAGACAAAGTGGTAGTTAGAAAACAGAACTTATGTTTAGTGAGTCCTTATTGTAGACCCATTGATGCGTTTATTCGGCTTCGTCAGTATGCATCTCAACTGATTGCAGACGTGTGTCTCATCCCCCTCAGTCATGCTCCAGTGACTTCATCCATTCTGCCCTATGATGTTTCTTTATGCCTGTGAAGTCAGTGTATAATATTTAGTACAATATTTGTACTGACTACTTTCTGCAAAAATACCTTATCCAAATTCATTCAGCTATTTTAGGTGCATTGCCAGTATCTGGGTGTAAACTTATTCATTTCCGTTGGTGTACACTACCAGTATTGCATATGATACGTGAAAAAATAAGAAGATTATTAGAGGCAATCAAACGTCATAAGTTAAAGATATACAGAAACCAAATTGGCTAATGACAAAAAGACAAAACAACAGTCCACAACTCACTTCTTAAAAATCTAAATATTTAACGTGTTCTTTTAAAGCTTGCTATGCGTGTATGGGTTTTGTTCATGGTTGAAGGTCATATATAACATATAGCTTCTAACGTTTACGTCATTTGGTCCCTGGTGGATAGTTGTTTCATATTTAATGTGCAACAATTTGACTAAATTTGGTCAGTACTGATATATAATGAATAGCCATCTTTAAAAACTTATGTAATGAATAAAAATACAATAAGCATAACAATTAAAAAAAAAATAAACTTGAGCATGAATCGAATTATCTACTAGTAGAGCAAGTATCTTAATAGAAATAGAAGGCTTCTATACAAATCATTGAGAGCAGCAGCAATCACAACCGCTCTCGGTCTGACCATGACTTTTAAAATATGTTAAACTAGTTCAAGTCCAAAATGGTTAGGTAAACTATTTCAAAGTGAAGTGGCGGTAATACGAAATGATTTCTTATACTCTATGTGGTAGTCAGAACTTGGGGGATTTCCAGGATGTTCGTTACTAAAAGAAAATGTTGAATGTTAAAAATGAAGCTAATTTTGTAAAAATAGAGGAGCCAAATTATTCAAAATTGTGCAGATCTCAAGTGTCGTTGTCCTAATGCGTCTCAGTTAAGGTAAGGTTGAATTTGCGTTCTCACAGAGAGGGAGTTTCAAAGGAGGATATGTAGTCGCCATGAACTAATCTTAAAACTCTTTCTTGTCTTTTTTTTTCTCTATACGAAAATGCCAAGCCAAATGGAAAATTTTAGAATCACCTCAAATAAGGGAATGGTAAACACTGTAGTTTAAAAACCATGCCCTCTTCTGAACAAACACGACACGCCTTGTCGGATTTTAAACGTGCCAGCATAAATAAAAAATTCGCAGGAAGATACTTGATTTCGGCATACAGCCAGTTGCTGTTCCAGGAAACGTCAATAATCATAGATTTGACAATCGAAAAATAAGTTGTTTACACTATGTGGATGTGTTCTGTTAAGTAAATTGAAAGTCTTCGTAATTGGCTGCATCAAAGTGCCGCCATTCTTAATTGTGACGTTGAAAGCGTAACACAAAACTCACAAGATGCAAGATACACTCACTCCGCTTCAAAAAGCGGGAAATGTAGAATAGCAAGATAAAGGTATGTGTAATCCTGCACTAGATTATACGTAGTGCACGTAGATCCGATATTGTCCTTTATGCAAAACAAATGCCATGTTAGGGGACGACCATTTGATCATCGGTTGGGTGGATGAGGAATTTTTACGGATTGCCTATATTCATTTTCATCTGTTGCTATGCATGCTTTTTTTTGCCGCACGAATATTTATGCACTTTTGTACACAATTGCGAAATGCATCTTGTGTTGCAGTATACTCAATTCGAGGTTGTTTATTTTCAGCTCTTACCAGGCCGGAATATTCATTTTCAAAATCCTCCCGCCCCCCCTTTTCCAGAAAATGACGTCCATTTAGTCATTCAACCCTCTTGCTGCCGGAGGGACAGATGTGACTACAAACAAATGAAAATAAGTCACTGAGGCCAGGGCTGGACTAATCACTGAACTAACCTGTGGATTTTTAAAAGCCTGGTCTACACATCTGCATATTTGGAGAAAAGATTTAGATAGATTTGGTAATTTGTGAATGAACAAAAAAAGAGTTGGGAATACGCCAATGAGACAGCAACCGAACGACACAAAATGCATGATCATACATAGATTTCAAAGTACGATCTTCAACAAAAACAAGCGTCTATTACGATTTATCTTCCTTGATTTTATTACTTACCCTTGATTCTATACAAGACAAAACAAGATATTGGATTTTCGTTTTGTTCGATGAAGAAAAGTTAAAACTTAGTTAGTCATTTCTGTCAACCGATTATATTTAATTTAATTTTCCGGTACTTTTTTGCAGCATAAATGCCACTTAAGGCGAAGTCAATGTTCTTCGGAGCCAATGGGTGCTGTGGGCTTAATGTCACCAACAGTGACGAGAGTCCAGGGCCTAATCTAGGATTTTGAAGAGGGAGAAGTGACTTCTCCTTCCATGAGAGAGAAGGGAGAAGTGGTCAACTTCTTGGAGAAGTGAGATTCCATTACCGTTTCGGTTGCATCGTGTTTTCAAGCTTATCACTAAGGAAATTGTTTTATATTCAATAAAAGATGTACTTGCAGTTTTTTCATATGTTATTTTACACAATGTATCTATAGAAAGTTCTTAATAAAAAGGTTTAAACAATATATAGTTGTTATTTATTTATTGATACCATAATGTGTTCTAAATAAAATTTGTTGATTGGGACATGAGGGAGTAGCCTAGTAATATTATCAAGATTATGATGCATTAAATTCATGTGCATCTGCCTCAATTTATTTTTAAACTCCAGAAAAATATGATGAATTTCACATGACTGGGAACGATTTAATTTATATCACTACTTGTCATTGTTTTGTAAAACATTATTGAATGTACAGGACATTTAAGTTAGTTGTAGTAAATTGAGATTATCGTTAAAGATTGTAAGTCTATAAATGAAAATATCTTTCAATCTCAAGTTAATTATCCGATAAAGAGCTAATTTCTATCATTTTTTAAAAATGTCATCCATATCAACGATGTGGTCATGAGAAAAAATCCACTGCTGATCACAATCTGGTCGAGTGTCGTACGTTTGCAATCACATTATCCATCAGTTGTCTTTCTACTTTTATATTTCAATTTTTATTCAATGAATATAATAAATCTACCGTTAATTCCCACCCTTTACCAACCGAATAGTAAAATTGATCGACTCGTGTAGGTAATAAAAATAAAACAAATCAGCTGAGTGATTACGCAACATCCTCAGATGAAAATCATCGTAAAACGATAACTTAAACAGACGGTCAGTTTTCCGTTTGAACAGTTTTGAAAGTTATATCCGAGGATGTTCAAAGTCGCCGTTGTATTTATTTAATTTGATCGTTTACAGTATTAGTCCTGGGTCGTTTCGAAAATCTCGATTTTCCTTGTCAGCCGCCATTTTTTTTACCTGTGAGACTTGTCAATCACAAGTTGTCTCCCTTTTACCGATTTTGATAGCGATTGGACTTCGCTATGAAGTCAGTCGGCCGGCGAGATTTAGCGATTTTCAAAATTCTTTGGCGACTTAAATCGTCATTTCGCCGGCAAGATTATGGCCTGGAGTCTCACGTACCAATATTTCGATAATTTAGACTTGGATATTACATCAGTGAGTATAATGATAAGAAAATAGAACATTGATCACAAAACCATTAAAAATGCAAAATAGAAAAAAATATTCAACTCATGACCGAACAAATCTGATAATTGACTCATGCGCTACGCGAATACATGAATTAATGTGTTGTTCGGTCACTCGTTGAATATTTTCTATATATGACATGAACGAAGTCTTGGATTATTTATTCTATAAATATCTTCTCGGTTTTGTATAATAAATTTGGGTTGCTTTCCAATTTGCGTATACATCCCATATAGCCTTTATTCACAGTGAATTCAATGGGTAAAGATAATTGATTTTCTCTGATTATAATAATTGTATGAATTGTCTCTTTTCCAGACAGACAGGACAAGTACACAGAATGATATTTTTGAAATAGCTTCAGATGTAGTTGGAACAGACGAAGACAGTGACATGTTGTCATGGAAAGGTATCATTTAATAATAAAAATAGTATAAACAAATGCGTTAGGAAAAAAAACAGTGGCATATTGTTTTTTATATTCCGTTGTCATAATATTTATCTACCAGATCTTGCATATTATTTCAACATTTTAGTGTTACTTCTATTTCTTCTATCTTTAAAACTTCATATCAAAAGAAACGTACAGACATCATACTCTTACTTGACTTCAAAAGAAACGTGCAGACATCAGACTCTTACTTGACTTCAAAAGAAGCGTGCAGATATCAAACTCTTACTTGATATCAAAAGAAGCGTGCAGACATGATACTCTTACTTATATCAAAAGAAGCATGCAGACATCATCCTCTTACTTGATATCAAAAGAATCGTGCAGACATCTTACTCTTCCTTGATATTAAAAGAAGCGTGCAGACATCATACTCTTACTTGATATCAAAAGAAGCGCGTAGACATCATTCTCTTACTTATATCAAAAGAAGCATGCAGACATCATACTCTTACTTGATATCAAAAGAAGCGTGCAGACATCATACTCTTCCTTGATATCAAAAGAAGCATGCAGACATCATACTCTTACTTGATATCAAAAGAAGCGTGCAGACATCATACTCTTAAATTTGAGCATGTTCAAGGTATTGTTCTTTTCAAAAAAAAAAAGAGACGGAAGATACCAAGAGGAATTCAAAACTCCAGAGAAGTCCAGAAAAACTGACAACGCCATAAAAAAAATGAAAGACAACGAAATCACAAAACAATACATAGAAAACTAAAGACTGAGCAACACAGCCGAACAAAAACGGGGGAAGGAGGGGTGGTGACCTTAGATGTCAAGTTCCGATAGGGTAAACATATCCTACTCCATTAGTGGCACCCGTCGTGTTGATCATGGTTTGTACACATTCGGTGATGAGAATTAATTGGTGATGTTACAAATGAGGAAGAGAGAACAAGATTGTAGTTACGACAATTTGAATATATCCGTGGTCATATGTGTCACAAATGTTCCATCAACTCGTGATAGCGTCCGTGAAACTTTCGAAGGGGTGACTTCTACTGTAATACTTGGAACCCTTGTATGGCAAGCCGTTCTCGTCAAAACTATGTTCAAACCATTTTTACGAAAAAATTACACACTGAGAATTAAAAAAATCACACCGAGATATAAGAACCTAAAATACCACACTGAGAAATCGAAATTACACACTGAGATTTTAAAATTACACACTGAGATTTAAAAAAATGAAAAACACGCACTGAGAATTTAAAATTACACACTGAGATTTTAAAAAGACACATTGAGATGAAATAAATTGAAAAACACACACTGAGAATTGTTAAAAATTACACAATGAGATTTCAAAAATACACACTGAGATTAATATGCAAATTACTAATGAATATTCATGAAAAGAATAATTCAACAGATTAATATCTTGGTCTTCCGAACTCTTGTCATTATATTGAAATGTGGTTCCTACAACCGACATTCGATATAAATTTCAAGACTTAACAACTTTTTTTGCTAACTCATATTCATAAGTTTGTTGCCTATAATTCAGATTATTACTAACAGTATATATCGGGATTTTCTGCTTAAATCTGTTTAAGCATGGTCCCTTTTCAAAATTCTTTCAACTGTTACCCTGATTTCGCAAGATAATCTTTTATATTTTTGTTACGTTTATATGCTATAATAGGCACTTGGGAAAAAATCACTGCATTGTTTGTTTTTTTGCAGATTGTTCCAATGTGTTCTTATAATTTTAATAAAGATTTTCACCATTTGGTTATATTTTGTAATGAGAGTAAGTGGGTAGTTTTCTTGTTCTATTGGTCTTTAAAAATGTAGTTTTTCTATACATTGTATTTTTAATGTTTTATATAAAACATTTAGCGCCAAATTGAAGGACTAACGAGTTCTGTCCCCTAGTTGTTTTAAGCTTGTAATAGATTCAGATTAAGTATGCTAATTAGATACGTGCGCATAAAAAGTGCGCACAAATTTCAGTGTGTAATTTTAAATCCTTAGTGTGTAGTTTTAGTTTCAAATTTTCAGTGTGTGTTTTTCAATTTATTTCATCTCAGTGTGTCTTTTTGAAATCTCATTGTGCAATTTTCAGTTCTCAGTGTGTGTTTTTTATTTTTTTGTAATCTCAGTGCGTTTTTATGAAATCTTAGTGTGTAATTTTTAATTCTCAGTGTGTGTTTTTAGGTATTTTAATCACAGTATGATTTTTTTTTAATTCTCAGTGTGTAAATTTTTCGAAAAATGGTTTAAACATAGTTTTGACGAGACCGGCTTGCCATACCCTTGGTTCCACTCTATACAAAAATGTGCGTTTTCTTGATGATATGTGTTATAGGCTTTACATTTAAACAAACACACCTGAATGTATGTTGAACACATAGTATAATTGTATTAAGTTTTAAAGTATCAATTGATTCCATTTTTTCCAGAGAGTAACCTGTGTGATAGTCACCTCAGTTCTATACAACAAAGACGACAATCTCACAGCATGTCAAATGTTCTAGATCTTAATAGTGACAACATATCTATGACGGACTGGAGAAGTACGTATCCACCTTCCCGATCTAAACTGAATAACTCTCCCTGGTTCATATTGGTAAGCAGACACATAATATTTGTTAAAAGGATGATAAACATATTCATTTTCTACATGTGAGTGTACGAAAAGTTCTGAACGGGAAATAGATTTTTCAGTTTTTTTTAGTGTATGCGGACCGATAAAATTGTTGATAGGTGTTTTCTATGCGAACTGATAAATCCGTTGATGTTGTTTTATGCGGACCAATAACATGGTTGATGTGTGTTCCAATGAACGTTAAAGACTGTTTATGGGTTTGCAAACAATAATTATTTAACATAAGGGCCATTTTCTGAAAGTCCTTCAATCGACGTAAATTCACAGTCTCACAGCTTCCTGTGGGTAGTTTATGGTCTTCACAATATTTTGACGTATATAAAGGGCTGGTGAACAAGTTAAAAAACGCATCTTTTGTTTGCACCTGTCCTAAGTCAGGAACCTGATGTTCAGTGGTTGTCGTTTGTTTATGTGGTTCATAAGTGTTTCTCGTTTCTCGTTTTTTATATAGATTATACCGTTGGTTTTCGTGTTTCAATGGTTTTACACTAGTCATTTTTGGGGCCCTTTATAGCTTGCTGTTCGGTGTGAGCCAAGGCTCCGTGTTGAAGGCCGTACTTTGACCTATAATTGTTTACTTTTTACACATTGTGACTTGGATGGAGAGTTGTCTCATTGGCTCTCATACCACAACTCTTCTTACATTGATCTATATATGGTATTTTGGAACACTCATGTACACAAATGCAGTAATGATAATTTAAATGACACAGGACCGTCTAGAATTTATTCTTTCGAAATTCCATATATCAGGTTAGCTTAAAAAAAATAAACAGTGAAAAAATGACAGAAGGTAATAAGAACAAATCACGGAAAATGTCAATGAGAATGAAGAATTATACGACACTTTGTGTCACTTTTGAATGGAAAATGTAAATAAAATATAGTCTTGCATCATCAAGTACAAGTTTATTGAAGTTGCATCGACTGAAATAAATCTTTTTATATTTTATTTTATATAGATTCCTAGTTCAAAGAAGTACAAAGAAAACAGGAAAAGTAAGATTTGTTGTAAAACTCCGATTAGAAGTAAATGCACGCCATTTTAAATACTTTTGATATTGGTCGATGACCATTTCATGTAAACTAGTTGTTAAGGTCAAGTTACAGTAAAGGGACTATGTCACAGATTTTGGTAAAATTTTGCGTAAACTTTGACTCGTTGAACTATAACTGAAAAGCGAAAAAATAATGCATTTCATCTCTTTTATTTTCTGAAATATTACCTATTGAATTCTCTCAAAATAGGTAAACATTTGTATAGAAAGCGTTTAAATCGGCGAAAATAGGTCTTTAATTTGTCTTAAAATCATCAAATCTAAAATTTCTAATACAAAATTTTTTCTTTAAAAATCATATACTGTTGATACATAAATTTCCGTTTTATTGATGTGTAATAATGATAGGGTCGCCGACTTCGTTTTTACGCTATATACATTCAAAGTGGTGATCTAGGTTAAAAAATTACCACAAAATGTCGAAAAAGCGTTATGGTCATCGCGTTATAAGCCGTAAAACGTCGGGTTTTTTTTTGGCGTTTTTCACTACCAACTATAGGTTACAGATTGGTCAGTACTCAGAAAACAAAGTCGGTGACCCTATCATTATTTTATATCATTAAAATGGAAATTTATATATCAACAACATTTAATTTTTTAAAGAAAAATCTATGTTCTAAAAATTGTAGATATGATGATTTTGAGACGAATTAAAGAACGATTTTAAACGCTTTCTATTCAAATGTTCACCTATTTTGAGATAACTCAATCAGCAATATTTCAGAAAAAAAAGAGATAAATGCATTATTTTTTCGATTTTTAGTTACAGTTCAAGCCAAAGTTGTATGAAAATTTTATCAAAATCTGTGACAAATCCCATTTACTGTTCCTCGACCTTAAATGGTTTAAAAACATATGAATACATCATTTTCGACCATAAGCTTAAATGATTCAGTTTTTTTATTGGTGATATTTAAAAATATTTTCAAAAGTAAGTCAGATGAATAAGGTCTTGTAAATTTTCTTTTTCAGAAAGAAGAAACCAGATAACAGATTCAATTGGAGACCAAATATCGTCAACAGATTCACTCGGAACTTCTTCAAATCAAGAACTCATCACGAAACCTTCCGAAGGCGATGCAACAGATAACGTGGACAAATTCATCGAAACAAATAAAAAATGTCCGTTGTGTGCTATAAAATAAACCAACAAACCTCCATAACTAACATTGTTTAATGGCCATTCTTCTTTGTTGAACAAGCAGGCTTGGAACAATTTTTTCTACTGTATAGAAATGATTGACAACTCTATTGTTAACTATATATATATATATGGTTTTGATTTTTAAAGTATGTCTCCAAGTGACTGATTGCAAATGAGACAACTATCAACTAAAGATAAGATGTAAACATTTACAGGTCATCATTGTAATGCCTTCAATGATGAACAAAATTCATACAGAAAAGTAAAACACGAAAGGCTCTTGAAAAACATATAGTGAAACTGATAATCCAAACGGAATAACTAAATGCCATATTTAAGTTAATAACATTAAAACAAGACACTAATGACAGACAGTAAGGCAACGACAACCACTGGACTACATGCTCCTGTCTTGGAACAGGCACTTTAAAATTGTGGTGGATTAAAATATTTGTTTGCGCTTCACCAACAACACCACTCTCCCCCTTTAAGCTTGGACAATCGGATCGACAATGGTGTAACAGAACACACATTAGAACAAACTGTAAAAATCGGTTGACTAATCCGATATGCACTAATCACATATAAACAATAAACAAAAAACGCAAATAACCGATCAAAGAGTATTCGCGTGTACTGAAAGCTTGTTCAAAGCCCAATTTCAGCTAAGAAATAAACCATGTTTTCCCAGACTAAAGAGTCAATTATCACAACCCCAACGGACCTGTCGTGAAAACTTCAGAAGCAGTTTGAGGAGGAAAAATTACCTTGTGTTATGCCAAAATATAAGCATCAGCACATAAGTGTATAGCGAGTTGGATAAGGATATATGTGTAGTTATGTATTAAACAATAACAATAACAATTAGTACAGATGGAGACAATACTAATTGCTTAATAGATAGCATTTTCCATTTGGAACATTGTTTTGGGCAATGTTTATAGAACATATAAAAAATTGATTTACAAATAATAACTAGAATATAGTGTATTACAGGTATTATAAAAGAAATAATAAAATAATTCATAATAGTGCTTTTATTAAAGTGATTTCCGCCTTTGTATAAAATCAGATATTAATCTTCTAATGTTGTGGCACTAAATTGATATCTGTTCGCCTCAGTTCTTGTGAAAAAAACATTCAGTAGCACCAATCTACTGTAACCTTGTCTGTAAACATCGGACATTGATAAGAAAATACGCCGGAATACATTAGAAAGGTTCTTTGTTTGTCCTGTAGGTCTATGGTTTCTTTAAATACCCTAACACCTATTAAACAACAAGATAATAATATCCTATGCAGTGTATCTAGTTTTGGGATTTTCTCAGCTTAATCCAGGATTATTCCACTTTATTTCTTCTAAAATGAGATGCCTTTTCATCTAAAATTTCATAATTCTATATAACCTCAACTTAATGTAAGCTAGTGAGATATTCCGAGATTATAATGAAAAAATCCTCGTTTAATTTATATAAACTTGGATTATCAATGAATGTGGCAAGGGCGGGCCATATAGAAACATACATTTTCATTGTCTTTAGAGTAAACCATAGAACCTGGTGTCATATGAATACATTAGACATGTTACATTAGATAAACATGTTGATAATCAGCGTTCTTGTACAAAAAAAAATGCATTATGATTTTGACATTTAAAAAAAATTTCAACGTGTATTTGAACATTTAGCAATTATTCCAATATATGAATTAATAAAAAAAATTACATGACAGCCATTTGATTAGTTTACGTTAAACGCCACCGAAGTAGGGATTATGTGAATTATCTTACCAATGATGTAATTAGATCTTTGAATATAGTTTACATTGGCACTAATATCGATTTTGTCATCAGCAAATTAAAACATAACTAAATTTGTATTCTTTTCAAACGGGATGTATAAAGACACGCCCACGTTCATTTTGATCTATAAAGAGGTTAAACTCCTAACTATCATACTGCCTGTCGATACATTTATTTTTGGCATTGCACAAGTCATGTCTTCTTTGACTGTCCATGACGTTAAAATACTAAATCCCTGGGATGTGTTTTAGTTGATTTTAGTCTCTGATGCATGATTTTTTTATTATTAATTGTTTTTGGCTTTTAACTAGCTGTCAGTAACTGTGAGTACTCTCAAATCGTACTTTTTTGTTTATTTGACCTGTTGATACTAATTGAAATGCTTCTTTGTTATTTAATGTTATTTAGGGTTATATCTGGTCTATATACCAGCTTTGATAAGTGTTTGGTATTACTATAAATTTTCACTTCGTACTATGAACATCAAAATTATTTATTTTGTAAAAATATTTCCTTTCTCTATTTGAACTGTACATGTATACCTAACAACAAAATTATTTTCATTTACCTGTGTTTAAAGTAATTGCAAATGGCTGATATCTTTGTTCGAGCATATTGTTTTTCTTAAATTGTTTAACATTTCATAGCTGTATAACATGTTACTTTTATTATTCTTCCCTTAGTTTATTTATTTTGTATTTACATTGTATTATAGGTCAAATTTATTTGTTCAGTGTGTGTTCACTGGTGTTAATATGTCCTTTGATTGAGTTAAGCTATAATTTCAGTTGATATTTTATAGTGTGTCTTTCTATGTTGTGATGTTACACTATTGTTTCAGAAAAAGGGTGAAGGTTTGGTACCATTAAAACGTTTAAACCCGCTGCAATTGTTTGCACCTGTCCTAAGTCAGGAATCTGATGTTCAGTAGTTGTCGTTTGTTGTTGTGGTTCATAAGTGTTTCTCGTTTCTCGTTTTTTAAATTATTAGACCGTTGGTTTTCCCGTTTGAATGGTATTACACTAGTAATTTTTGGGGCCCTTTATAGCTTGCTGTTCGGTGTGAGCCAAGGCTCCGTGTTGAAGACCGTACTTTGACCTATAATGGTTTACTTTTATAAATTTTGACTTAGATGGAGAGTTGTCTCATTGGCACTCATACCACATCTTCTTATATCTATATAATAGCTGAATCCAGAAAGCTCAAACAGTAACAAAAACATAACCAACACCGATCATTCTATCTAATATTAATCCCACCTAGAATTTAAAGTAGAAATCCTTTCTTCATTCCACCAAAGCCATTGCTGTGGTTTGGTTTGTTAGTAGATTTGCTATCGGTCATTGGCGATTTCTCTGTGTTGCTGGACTCTATTGCATCTTCGCATCTGCTACTGTGAGGAATTTCTGGAATGGGAATACTTTTAGATTTTGCTTGCATCTCTTCTTTATTGTTGTTCACATCAGCGACAGGTTCTACAAAGTAATGTTCTAAAATAGTAGAAAGGTCTGTTTTTAAGTGTAGATAAGGTATGGACTTTTCCTTGTATCGCGAGTGTACATTTTAAGCAATAACCCGCTGAATCTTACCTTTATAGAACCAGTTATACATCTCAATAGCCCCGGCAAAGATCTGCATGGCAAATACAATCATCTGAAATTATAAACAACAATGAATGTTCTTCGTTATACCATATCTGTTATATAAAGGGAAGGCACCGGCAAGTTATACCATATCTGTTATATAAAGGGAAGGCACCGGCAAGTTATACCATATCTGTTATATAAAGGGAAGGCACCGGCAATTAAAGTGAATGGTGTTTGAAAAAAATATCGCAAACACGTAGTCTTATTGTAAAATAAGAATAGACATAGATAAAAATAACAAGTTAATTCACCATAGATAGTGTTGTACTCACTTTGAAAGATTTCTTGTTTTTCAGAGCACTTTTTAAACTGGTAGGTGATAGATAACCAAACAACTGCAAACCAACGAAATTCAGCTGCAGAAAGACTGGAGTAACCTATTCAATATGATACAAACGTTACGCATGGTAACAGCTACGCGATAATACTATACATAAGTACATTAATACGGTCATGAACCAAAAACGTTCTTCGGGGTATGTGGGCAAACATGTAATGATTTGGTTTTTTTTTGTCATTACATGTACTACTATATTAAAAGTACTAATACATAATACATGCAATGTTTGATACTAATAATCTATCACAATTTCTAAGCATATCTCAAAACTGTTTATGTTGATACTGTATTCCTTTGGGTATACTTTTTGGACGATTACTGTTTGGTTCATGCCTGTGATGGTATACCTTTTGGACGATTACTGTTTGGTTCATGCCTGTGAGGGTTGCTTTAGAAGGGAAACGTTTTGTTAATTGCTTTAATGTTTTATAATGATTTTATAAACTGTCCAATTTCAATCGATTTTACGAAAGCCTATTAGGGTCACAAAAAAAATTTATTTATCGCGTAATTACGAGATATTTATCGCGTAATTACGAGATAAAAAATGTTCATATCGTAATTACGCGATAAATATTTTTTTTTTATACGATTTAATCTTTTTTACAATCTTTTTTTATTATTAATATTCAGATAAAAAGAGGAAATGTGTTTACTTCTGTGTGAAAGAATATTTTAATGAGTTACTGTACTTCAATCTTATTGAAATATAGTTCCACGATTTCGTTATACTCATATGAGATCCTATATATACGAGCACGCGAGTTAATATAGATCAGAATTTTAATCAGATTGATGAGTACTTCATAATCGAGTGTTTCCTTAACGTTGACTTCTATTTTGAAAAGGTTCAATAAAACTAAAATTTCAAATTAGGATTTATTGGTCATTTTCACAATGAACCATAGCTGAAACAATGACAAGATAGGAAAAAGGTCCCTTTTGTTAATCAAATATTTACGTATTAGCGTTATTTTCATAATGTCAGAAATAGCACAGTTTTAATTTTCAACGAAAGTCAATAAAACAGGTCATTTTCCATTATTTTCTAGGAGATGTTGTATGATTGCCAACGAGGCAACTATATCCACAATAGACAAAAATAAAAACGAAGTTAAAGGGACATTAGCTACGATATATAAAAAAAATCAAAATATGATTTGTTTTTTGTTCAATCATGGATGAAAGTGAAATAGTGAAATAATTATTCGCGTTTAGCAGCCACTTCAATTTTGTCAAAATAAGCTAAGCAACATCGCTGATGAATTATTCACTTGCAAGTGAATAATTCGACCTCATTGAATCCGTATTCATGTGACCCCTTAGCTTGACGTGGTATACGCATGTATTCAACTATCAAAACGAATATTGTGGCGCCACATAGTTACGTCCCTCTGCCATTGTTGCTGATAGTATTTGACGGTAATGGCAGTTTCTTAGCTGTTAACTTCCTACTGTGATGTATGGGCAGAGTGATCAAATGACTCTTTTCAAAGGACGTCACAATTCATTCTTTATTGTTACCAAAGGCGACGTTTCTCAGTTCTGAGATTCATCTGGACAGTTTGCTTGATATCGGCGTGACTGAGATCAGTGATTTGTTGAATCTTTGTTCCTGGGATTGATCCTAGATTTCTTAAAACCAGAATTACGTAAACGTAAGTAAAGTCTGTGTCTGTACTTAAACCAAACTTTTAAAGACATGGATATTATGCAGTTGACAAAACAAGAACGAAATAACTGAAGACAAAACAAATAACACAAAAAAATGATAAGTTTGAAAGAAGAAATGCAGATGCAATTTTGGGAAATGCATGGTTTAGTCCTTGATGGAACTTGACCTGTTCAATGGTGGAAAATATAATTTAAGTTACAATTATTCCAATAATGGTGAAATATGTTATTTCAATATTGGCAGAAAATAGTTTATGAAAAGAGGAGACATAAAGATTTTGTAAATATACATTTTATATCATTTTCCTTTAATTTCTATGGTTGAAATGCTTTAAGTTTTGCATTTGTTTTCAGATGATTGTTCTTGCTATGCAGATTTTTGCAGGAGCTATTGAGATGTACAAATGGCTCAATACAGAAGGTATCAAAATTCGTTATTCTTTTAATAATTATTAAAAATATCGATTTCTTCACGTAAGAAAAGCATGAGATCATTGTAATTCTGAATAATTTTCAATTTCTATCCATTTTCCACATTAAAAAAATGGTGAATGACAATACGGACGAGATTGTCGTACTGTCAAGGTTTTAAATAAGGTAACTGCTTTAGGTCCGTTTTCCCAAAAAAGAAATTGAAATCTAATTTATCTTGTCAAATTTGTTAATCGATATATATGATACAGAGTTTCGGAAATACTTCCACATACTCCGACAAATTCCAAACATCTACATCTATATCTATACTATTGATCTGCAGTGGAAACCCATAACGCAGATACTGCTGTGCAAACATCAACCTACGTGCTCAGTTTACAAGTGCAATTAAAATTTGAGACAGCTGCAGTCTCCGAAGTTGCTCATTGAAGCATTCCAGAGATGTAGCTTGGAAGGCTTCGAGAGGCAGGCTGTACCAGTCGGCGATGGTGCGTGGTATATAGCTGTATTTGTAGGCATCTGTGGAGGTACTGATCTGAGTTAATTTTTCTGGATGGTATTGTCTTGTTGAGGTAGATGGTCTTCTCACATATGATGGTATGTTGACTGCCGCCTTTCCATGTGTGGCTTTGTAGAACATGCTCAATCTACTTGATTTCCGTCTAGATTCTAGTGTCTGCCATTCTAGGGTTTTCATAATGTTTGTAACTGTCCCTGGTTCTCGACTGTATGTTGATGTCGCAAATCTAGCAATTCTTCTTTGTACCATTTCTAGGGAGTCAATGTGATGTTTTCGATATGGATCCCATACTGCAGAGGCGTACTCAAGATGTGGGCGCACTAGCGATGTATAGGCCTGCGCTTTGATGTCTTGTGGACACTTCTAGATGTTGCATGTTAGGAATCCTAGTACTCGGTTGGATTTTGTGATTGCTTTCTTGATGAGTGGAGATAATGACAAGATAATGATAATCCAGAGATTAAAAAACTTTTCAAAATCATTTGCCGATGTAAGTAACAACTTATAAAACATCGTTTTACTCATTTTTTAAGAACCAGTGGAAATTGCAACTGACACTATAGCTGAGAAACACGAAATAGCTAACATAACTGAAAAGCAGGACCTTCCTTCAACCAGTATGACTGACAATGCTGTCAATTCCAACACAGAGAATGAAAATGAAGCTGCAACTAAACCCAACCACAGTAATGGTTTCGGTGGAATGAAGAAAGGGTTTCTTCTCTAAGTTTGGATATGGATTGAAGTACCCCGGTATAACATTCTTTAATTGGTATATAAACTATTTGCGTATATTTTTTGTAAAATTCTTCTCAAATATTCAGATGATAATATTGAACTGAATAGAGTAAATCTGTGAAGATATATTAAAAAGGTTTATGGAATAATATTTGTATTACTAGTAACAATAATTTAATGGACAGAAGCTGGAGAGTTTTTCTAAACGTATTTCTGAATTTCAAACGTTCAACAATAATGTAAATATAGAGAAGATACCAAGGTTTCTATATGTGAAAGCCTTTATGGTGAACAGACTTTTATCGTGATTTTTTTGGTGTACAGGCACCCCTTGTACTAGCTCCAGTAGAATGAAGCTACTTTATGCTTGAGCGTTTGCCAAGTTAATACACGGAACCAGTTTATCTAGCTTGAATAAAAGTGGAAACCAAATATGAATGTAACTTATCTGTAATTATTACAGCTTATATAAAAATGCTGGATTGTTATGTAATATTAGTTGACAGCAGGTGTATTTTTCTTAAATTTTGACGTTTACTTCGTTCTGCACAAGTACGCATGTTTTTACACGAATTTATGTGCATATATGCCTCAATGTAACTTCTCTGTCGTGTTTGCCAAAATGAAAGCAACATGATCGATCAAAAACGATTGATGGAAGTGATCCGAATGCATGTCAAACGACTGCACAGCTGCAGGCAGTTGTGTGAAAATGGTTTGGGTTTAACCGAAGACAAGGAAGTAGATTTGTTTTATTTATTAAAGATCCATTCCCTTACAAGTTATTTCAATCTAAGTTAAAACAACTGCATGCATGTACATTACCAAATATATAAAATTTCCAATAAAATGGCTACATATACACACACAAGATAATACATAGTTTATAAAAATAAGGAGATGTGGTGTGATTGCCAATTAGACAACTACTCACCAGAGGATGTAAACATCTATACGGCCTTCAACAATGAGCAAAGCTTATGCCGCATAGTATAAGCAATATAGATAAAAAGACATCCGACAGGACAAAATGTGAACAAACTTGAATCAAAAGACAAAAACCAAAGGTAAAATTTGTGTTAAAAACAAATTGCAAAATCAAATAAAGCAGACAGCAACCAACGACAACCAATGACATACAGGCTCCTGACTTGGGACATGCATATAAATGTGGCGGGTTAAACACGTTTGCGAGCGTTCAATCCTACCCTAACCTGAAACAGGTAGCGAACATATGAACAAACTATAAAAAATCGTAAGGCCTGCGTCTCGCCTGATATTGCTGTTGTCAGAGTAAGTAACTGCCAAAAACTAAGTACATCTAGCAATAATTTAATTTGGGATGTAACGCGTCTTCTGATTGGCTGACGTTGTTTTGTTTATCATAGACATAATTTTGTCATGTGACCGTGACGTCATCAACGTTTTTTCATGGTTTACTCCGGTTTAAAATGAAATTTAGAATTAAATTATAAGAAATGACTGTAATATTTTTTCTGTCTATTCGAAATAACATAAAAAAAATGTGGTGCACACTTTAAAATAACCCGCTACGCGGGTTATTCAGTGTGCACCACATTTTTTATGTTATTTCTTCATAGACAGAAAAAATATTACAGTCATTCCTTCAGTAATATATGAAAAATAAAGCGTTTTATGGTATTTCTTGATCTTGAAGGAGCTCCTGTCCAGGGTTCATAACATTTCATGAAGGTTTGACAAAGCTTTTGATGTCTTAAAATTGTAAAAGAAATAGTCACAAAAAAACACTTCCCCCAAAGTTTCTGAATCTAAATTAAAAAAACACTAAGTCCTTTTATCAGTAAAATGCGGTAAAATGAAAAACACTGTTTTCTGAATTTAGCGCTGGATACTGTCTTCTGATCATAAAAATGATTCTGACTATTTTTTTAAAAACTCCATGAAGGTTTGACTTGATATTTAAAAATATTTACCACAGACTGACCCTAAATGTTGACACCACCGACGCCTTCGGCTCTTTGTGGTCTGCTAAAATTCTACTTCATATGGCACCATGAAAAATGGACCACGTATGTGAAAATGTCTCATCTTCTAAAAGAGCCAATGAGTTGAAGAGTTAATGGTTTTTCCCTTCATATCAATTGAAAGGTGTAAAAAATTGAAGATAAAGTGAAATTCCATTTATTAAAAAGCCTCTGAATTATTATATGTATGATTTTGTCCATCGGGACATTTTATTGGACATGGGGAAAACTGACGATAATTGTTAATATTACAACCTTCCTTGAATAAATAGTGCTTATTGACCCAGATAATCAACACATATCTAGACAGACAAAGATATCAACAAGATGTGGTCAGTACGACAACTTGTTTAGACTCCGGACGATATATAGCTTGTCCTATTGTATAAGTGAAAACTATATATAGACCTCTAGATGTCTTTTGGAAAGAGTCGTGGGTTGCTATCTCATTGGTGTATACCCCACATCTCCTTTAAATAAATAATATATATATATATGTTGGAAATGATAAAGAACCCATTTTACACTTCAGTGGACATACAATCAGTTCCATACATTATTCTTTATTGAGAGTATAATAGTCGTTAGTTTTTATGAGGTTCGTTTGATTTCATACAGAGACACTGTACCAGATGCACTGCCCACAACGTATGCCATTGTCTTATTGGCTCTGTGTTCACTAGATTTTATGATGCTAAAACAGAAAAAAACAACAATTCAAATTCATTAGTATTCTATATTTACTACAAATTTTGCCAGTAAAAAGTCACAATTTTTGTAAAAAATAAATAAATTGGAAAACTCATTTTCAATATATTTTTTTGGCAAATAAAATATTCAAATCTAGAAGTTTTTGTCAGTGACATGTTCGTATATTGAAAATGCTCTTTTTTTAACAAATATACTAGAAATCAAGTGTTTCAAGCCATTGTTTTTGCTGTTTTTAATCAGTGTTCTCCCATTTCGTACTTAAAGTTGCCCGCGACAGTTCCCAGTAACCGCAAGTCTGGTTTAATTATGGTTTTATATGTTTACATGTGCATGAGATATGTGGTTTGTTCATGGCGTTGATTATGGGGTACTATGATGGGTCCAACGAATTGTTGGGCGTTCTAAAGAAGTCATAGATGGGATAGGATTTTTTCGTCTGGAATTAGATTGCTTACTTAAGTCACTATTCTGAAATTTCAATAAAAAAATATGTATTTAGATGTTAGCATCCACCATTTTTGTATACTCTAGACAAAAAATAGAAATGTAACAATAGTCAGAGCTTAAATATCTGAATCATTGAATGCATGTATCTTTTCACATTACCCTTTATCAAACAGACTCAAATGTCATTACTTATACAATTAGTGCTCTAATTTGGTAAATGTATATATACTATAACTTCAACAATTTAGATTTTGTTACACTAAATTTCCCAATTGATGATATTTGTTACAATAAATTACCCGGTTGATGATATTTGTTACAATAAATTACCCGATTGATGATATTTGAGCATCTCCAGCTTCATTCATTTCGTAAAGTTCTGACCAAACATAGTCTGTTAGACCAGCTCTGTGAGCACTCTCAAACTTTGGTATAGGGTAACCAGAAGTAGTGTTGACTGAATAAAGGAAAAGGACACCACTTGTCTCACTGCCTGTCAATAAGAAGGTATCTTCATTGTCTGTTACCACATCTAAGGCATTTAACTTTGGACCCTGCAATTAAAAAATAGTATATTTTACCCATTGTTTCTTGTTTCTATGGACAGTGACTTAATTCCCTCCATTTAAAAAGAAGTACTGGATGATTTCTTTTTTAGATACACGAGTTCGGTGCTATTTTTCCCGCATTTTAAGGTTAATTGAAAAACAACAGAAATTTGTACACGACGAAACAACTGCTTTTACAGCAGAGTTTACTGTTCCTATATCAACCATACAGTTATCACTGTTGTCATACGGGTAACTTTTCCAGTTAAATGGTAAGTGGACCAGTATGATTACTTACCATATCGTCAGAGGTTGTGTCTTTCAGGTTAGCGGGAGACTGGTATGTAATTGTAGATGGTATACAATCACTATTAAACACATCAGGGAATAACAGATCTGTCTTTTTCTCAATTTCGTCTTTAGAGTCATAAATTAATGAAAGTGAATCTGCATTCCAAATTGAAAATCCACGGCCACCAAAATGGGAAGCTCTGGAAAGTTTCTGTGTAAAAGGATTATATCCCTCTGTCTGGCTAACTTGTAATCTACCTACACACAAAAAAGTTTATATATAACTGGCCACCTGGGTGTTAGAGGCATTTTAATCATATGCATTACCTGAAAGAAAAATTGTTTATAAAATTTCTCTAATTCTGTGTGCATTTTAACCGTTTCTGACCAGTTTGATACGCTACTTGTTGATTGATTTTGTCTCATGTAATTTCCCGCCATATCTATTCGGAGCACTGTACTTTGTATTTTACTTTAAATCATTGGAGAAACAAATTCTACAAATTTACCCTGTTGATTACAATATTTATCCATTCTCGATAGTTAAAATCAAAAGTTCAAAAATTAAAAACTATCTGTGTGGTCGAATCTTTATATAAGAATCTATAGAAAACAACTAACCAGAAAATTCAATAAATAACCGTCTTGTTCATATCTTTGTCTGTCTAATGACGATGCCACACACACAGAAAAATATAAAGTCTTACGATTTGTGCAGCGAGTAAAGCAAAGTGTAGCAAAGTTACCGAACTCCAAGGCAAATTCAAAAAGAAGTCCATAAAAACTGACAAAATCAAAATAAAACGATGGTTTAAAAACCAAATCAAATTTTAGTTTCAGGTCTAACAATTAATTGATTGGATATTCTTGATTTAAAATATCATAGGATATGTTAACATTACATTAATAGTATTACCTGCTTTACTGTCAGCTGTAAGTTGGGCGATGAAAGTCTGATTGTTTATTGCGTTTTCGTCGAATTTTTTACCTGTCAACAAAAGATTAAATATTAGATATCAAATATTTTTCATGGAACTTGTATTATATTCTACCTTTTATTTCTTCTACTTCCGTGTTATCCATGTACTACACCTGTGGTATTCTGTCTTATAATTCATATACTACAGTGTCGTGTACACTGGTTCTTCGTGGAACCTGTGGTATTCTGTCCTAGAATTCATATATTACAGTGTCGTGTAGACTGGTTCTTCGTGGAACCTGTGGTATTCTGTCCTAGAATTCATATATTACAGTGTCGTGTAGACTGGTTCTTCGTGGAACCTGTGGTATTCTGTCTTAGAATTCATGTACTACAGTGTTGTGTAGACTGGTTCCTCGTGGAACCTGTGGTATTCTGTCCTAGAATTGATGTACTACAGTGTTGTGTAGACTGGTTCCTCATGGAACCTGTGGTATTCTGTCCTAAAATTCATGTACTACAGTGTTGTGTAGACTGGTTCTTCGTGGAACCTGTGGTATTCTGTCCTAGAATCCATGTACTACAGTGTTGTGTAGACTGGTTCCTCATGGAACCTGTGGTATTCTGTCCTAGAATTGATGTACTACAGTGTTGTGTAGACTGGTTCCTCATGGAACCTGTGGTATTCTGTCCTAGAATTCATGTACTACAGTGTTGTGTAGACTGGTTCTTCGTGGAACCTGTGGTATTATGTCCTAGAATTGATGTACTACAGTGTTGTGTAGACTGGTTCCTCATGGAACCTGTGGTATTCTGTCCTAGAATTCATGTACTACAGTGTTGTGTAGACTGGTTCTTCGTGGAACCTGTGGTATTATGTCCTAGAATTGATGTACTACAGTGTTGTGTAGACTGGTTCCTCATGGAACCTGTGGTATTCTGTCCTAGAATTCATGTACTACAGTGTTGTGTAGACTGGTTCTTCGTGGAACCTGTGGTATTATGTCCTAGAATTGATGTACTACAGTGTCGTGTTAAACGATTCCTTGTGGAACCTGTGGAACATGTGGTATTCTGTCCTAGAATTCATGTACTACAGTGTCTTTAAGAAACTTTGTTTTTTGTTTCTGCACTTACAATATCAATAAAGATTATTATTGACAAAATATCTTTACTTATAAATATAAGCTTTATGAACTAACAAAATGTACAAGAATGCTGTTTTTCTGAAGAGGGAATATAGCCATTTTGAAATTAGAATTTTTTATAATAGATCATTTTATAAATCCACGCCCCCTTGCAAAACAGTTAATACGTCCTGTCAGATTAGTGTAAATTGAATTTTAGAAGCCACGCATGTGGTTAACGGAAGTCTTGATCGATATTAGTTTTATCTGTTATTGTCTTACTCAAAAAGTCAGGCATTGTATAGACTTAGCTTTCAACTGTCACGATTCAACTTGATCAAATAAAACGTATAATAACGCAGAATTACAAAAAGGAGAGTACAAATCTATAGTTGGCTCTGCGTCAGAAGGAAGCGCCCGAGTAGTGCAACATTTTTTCCTGCAGACTGTCACCTGTATGCTAACACATTGAAATTTCACTCACTCAGTACATCATATGTTCGTTAAAAAATTCGAATTCGACTGCGTGAAATAAATTGATCGACTTCCAGCTAGCATTATAACTATATGCCTGATTTATGTGAACAAAATTTAAGCAATACATGATGGCAGGCGGCAACTAACGACAACCACTGGACTGCTACTGACATTGGACAGGCACATTAATTTACAGAACTATAGTTCACATATGAATAAACCAGATGTTTTCCAAGACTAAAATTCAATCAGCACGCATACAACGGCTTTAGTTTTTAGAGTAAAGACGTCATTAACAACCCGAGAAAAGCATCACCTTGTGCATTGCCAAAATATAAGTATTGACAGGATTTAGGAAAAAAAAGTGTTTATAACTGTATAACCATACATATTCTAATAGTTGACTTGTGTTAATTTATCAAAAACAAAATCAATGTTAGTTGTTTGTTAGTTAAGTATGCATAGTTTCTATTGCATGATATATTCATTACTTGTGAACACAATTATATTAGTCATTTCAGAATGTGTTTGCATGACTACATGAATTTCAAACGAGTTTTTGGGTATGATTTTTAATCTTTACTCATTGGATTATCAACATTTTATTTAAACTTATACCTCTGGTTAACAAATCTGCTCTCTTGTGGTCACTCCAATCAAAACCATGCTTTGACCTAGTGTATGTAATATAATGGCCTTCATCAGCAGTTATTAAATAGTTTGTCTTTCCAACTGTTAGTATCTTTGTATTATCTGGTTGTTTAATACTAAATAATGGAAATTTGCTTAAATGTGCACCTGAAAAAAGTAGACAATTTTATTCTTTACTTGTATGTATTCATTTTTGATTGTTTTGGTAATCTTCAGAATAATTTGAATTAAGTGTATTTCGGTTGATAATTACCACCGATAACAATAGGTGTATATGTAGTTGTTGAAATATTAATTCTCTAGAACGTCTTTCATTGCAGTTCATTTAATTCTAACAGTAGATGTATGGTGGGAGATATTCATCATAAATGAGAAGATGTGGTTTGATTGAAAATGAGAAAACTGTCCATAAAAGACCAAAGGACAAGTCCTTTAGTAAACATGCAGCTAAAAGGTTGCCATATGGGTATCAAAGATGAGCAAAACACATACCGTATGGTAAGCTGTAAAAGGTCCATGCATGAAGAAGTAGAAGCAATATTTAAAAAAAACTGACGGCCTGATTTGGTAAATTATAACATAAAACGTAGAACAATTTGACAGATGGCAACCAACGACATCCACTGGACTACAGATTCTTTCCTTAAGACAGACACGTACATAAAGTTGCTGGGTTAAACATGTTTGTGAGCAACTTACCCTCCCCAAACCCTTAGATAGTGCTGTAACCATGTATAAAATCCAATAAATCATACCGTTACACATTTTGTCATCCGGGGCATTTTATAGCTTACTATATGATATGGGTTTTTGATCTTTGTTCAAAGCTGTACGGTGACCTGTTGTTGTTTACACCATTGTCTTTTTGATCTCTGACGGATAGTTGTCTCATTAACAATCATACCACATCTCCTTGTTTTTATATAAACAGTGCGACATTAGAACAAACCATGTATGTCTGATACCTTCTCTGAAGTGCCGTAAGAATGTTCTTCTAATGTTAAAAAAAAATACGTATTTTGCAACGTTAGTACTATCAGACTTTCATAGTACGCAACGGTATGACTTTTGCTTCGCATCAAAATTTCATTTTTACCTGCCTCCGTTGTAGGCAATATGATCTCCAGATTTAGACTAGGTAACTTTTTAATCCAGCGTCCAACCCAGTAATCAATCATCATATCTAGAACCAGTATAACTTTTAATCTTTTGCCTATTTTCTACTTGTTCTAAGTCATTATATGTTAATTACGAGTATTTAACATCTCAACAGACTTCTACCACCAAGAAAAAGCCCTACATATACATAATTACTGACTAAAACGAACATTTCTCCTAGACCCTCATAACTATTTATCTTACCACCATCTCTATCACTAGGATCCAATCCTTCGTTCCGCCATTCTTTTCTAGGTATAGCTGTTATAGATTTCATTTCAAATGTTTTAAGATCGAGTTTTGCTATGGCATTGTTTTTCTGTAAAGACACAAAGTTTCTTTTTACTTTTAAATATTTATCTAAGTCACCGTCACTCGACTCGTATTTTCAGTTGATTGCGTTATAGATGCTTTCAACAACTCGGCAACACCAATCCGGATAAGACACACACATGGGAGAAGATAAAAAGCGGGCAATAAAAAGTATCGTATTCTTCTTTGATAAAATACTGACTGTGACAATATTACTATCATTTTCCAACCTTCATTATGAAGCAGCAAACGTGACAATTGGATGCCTATTACCGACAGTTCAAGTGTCCTCCACTTTTAACAACAGTATGTATTTGTTCTTCTTTTCCAAAATAAATATCTGATGATTAAAAAAAAAATTCTGCAGATTTCATTCTGTATATATTATAATGGCGTCATTTGAAATGTATTAATTTTTTATGTGGTACATACAGATAAATAGGAACAAAAGAATGTAAGTACTAGATGTAATATAAGTATACTATGAGTACCTGAAGGATGATATAGGCTACTCTCCCATCAGGAGAAACAACGATATATTCAGGCTCTGCGTCCTGAGTAAAAGTTGGTGGAGTACTTGGCCAAATATTAGGTGGAATATAATATGAAGGTCTTCGCAGATTATATCTAAAATATACATATTTAACTTTTATTATACATCATTATATTTTTATATATTAATCATATAATCATATTTCCCGTACTTTTTCATACGTATTTTTTGACGTCATTGACTATTCGTGTTGCTTGAACTTTGCGCATGGGAACGTAAAACTACAGAAATAATCTGTGTGTGTCTGTCGTTATTTAAAATCGAAAATTTAAAAAGAAAAAGAAAATGTACGCGACTTTATATTGATAGAAGTTCGACAGAACAAATGTATGTTATGGGTCTGTCGTCGTCTTCATAATCTGTAATTGCTTTGGTGTACAGTAATACATTTTAGTTAGCGGTAAATATATGAATGGAAATTTTACACAAGGATTTATTGTTGTGATAACAGTAAATACAATATTTACAAATACCACACGGGCTAAATAAAAACCTTTATAGTTCATCAACTGCATGTTACGGAAGCGTATTAGGGCCATCCTTTTTTGTTATTTTTTTTCAAATTGTCGACTTTAATCTTGGAATTATCAACTTTGATCTTGGAATCTCCAACTTTAATCTGTGAATTATCAACATTAAAATCTAGGAATTATCAACATTAATCTTGGAATCATCAACTTTAATCTTGGAATTTCCAACTTTAATCTTGAAATTATCAAACATTAATCTTGGAATTATCAACTTTAATCTTGGAATTATCAACATTAATCATGGAATTATCAACTTTAATCTTGGAATTATCAACATTAAACTTGGAAATTCCAACTTTAATCTTCCGACCCTCATTAGTCCGACACTGATTCTTTCCGACTTTTATTAATCGAGTGATTATCTGAATTGAGAACATCGTGACTTTTGGCTCACTGGACTTTCGCCTCTGCCAAACAGTGCAATTCAGTTTGATGTGCTTTACTTTACTTTTTGTTGGTGATTGCTATTGTAAACACCGATGCACATCCGCCTATTCAGCAATATAATATGATAAATGCATGTACTGCATACATAATTACAAATGGATATTTAAATTTTGACATTAGCACCGGTGGGGAAAAGGGGGGGGGGATCTTCGAAATTTTTTGGTAGGGGTGGGCCATTTTTGCCTTAAAAAATGTACCCTTTTTTATATAACATTTACTAATATTTGGTACCTATATTTATATTTAAGTATTTATATATATATACAAAGAATGACCTTTACTTATATATAATATTTCAATTTTAAAATGCATAGATTCAGGGACTTTATAAAGTCCCTGACTGATTCAAATACCACTGAGTCAATTGGCCATTAATATAAGATTTTCAATAACATATTTATATAAGATATGTAGAACATATCCAAAAATAATATAAAGTTATAAAAGAACAATCATGCATACCAATATAGAATGTCAGTAAAAAGTAGTGTCGTATATATAAAATCTCGCAAAATTATGACCCGTATATTTGGTATATCCACGTATACCCATTAATATGAAGTAACACCCCCTTTCATGGATATAAGGCTACGTGAAGCTATACAAGACTTTAGGTACACGTCTATTTTGCTTTTACATTTACAAAAAATTTAGCCGCAAAAATAATTATAAGTAGATTAAGTATAGTATTACGGAGAAACACAATAAACTATGGGCTAGAACTAAAATATCAGTCTTTTCCAAGATCACAGTTGATAATTCCAAGATTAAAGTTGGAATTTCCAAGTTTAATGTTGATAACTCCATGATTAAAGTTGATAATTCTAAGATTAAAGTTGGAAATTCCAAGATCAAAGTTGATAATTCCAAGATTAAAGTCGACAATTTGAAAAAAATAAATAAAAAAGGATGGCCCTAATACGCTTCCGTAGCATGTATATATGTGACTAGTTTGTTTTTACCGCGAGGTGTATGTAGATTTTTTTAGAAAGTTTTTTTGTACGGTATAATAAACACTTAATGACTGGTTATGAGGGTAATAGCAAGTTTGTTGTCCTTCGATACTAACTATTGCCCTCGGCTTCGCATCGAGCAATAATTGGTATCTCAGGGACAACAAACTTTAAGGGTAAAATATCACGAGATTCTTGGGTCGTGAGAGAAAATTAACCATTATGATGATGTTTGATTTGTTTGTGCCCAGTATGAAGTTGCAATGTAAAAAGTACCCACTTTTCACCAATGTATGTAATTTTTAATATATTTTCTTACTGTCCTTCTCCTTTTGAAAAATCAACTGTTTGTTCTGAAGGGTTTCCATATCTCTCTCTCTGTATTATAGTTACTGTTCCTGGTGGATCTGAAAACTGATTGGCTATATTCAAACCAACTTGTCCTTCATTGGCCACGAGAATTTGTGTGCAAGTTGGATTGAAAGTTATCATATCTGGATGAGGACCCACTGAAAATACATATTTTCTCAACTGTCAAAGTGAAATATGAGATATAATGTTATACTTTGGTTTGTGTTTGTTTGTTTGATTTGTTTTGATTTTTTTACCTGGTAGTGTTAATGCAGTCAATTGTAAAAAGAATAGACCTTTTAAAAAAATCATCGATCCACAATCCAAACTGTACTTTAATCAATGGGAACCGATACATTTTTATATTGTATTGTCATTTTTGAGGTTTTGAGATATGTTGTGCATCGAGAAAAATTCTTTAAAAAATCGTAAAGTAAAACTTAAGTCATTGTTCTTGTTTTCGAGAAAAATCAAGTCCAGAATTGGGAATATTGTAACTTGCTTAAAATTTTTTTCACCTTTGATTATCTAAACAAGTATATTTAGTTATACATTGGCCATATTGTTTTTTAAAGTATGTTTGCGAAAAATGTACAAACTTGTCAACAGTATTGTTTCATTTCGAATGTTGAGTGAAGTTTCGTAGTACATGCCAAAATAACACTGAATTTACCGACCTTTATTGAACAGTTTTACAAATTTCTTGTATTGCCATTTTTGCAATATTTTTATATGATTCGGTTTTCGTTGTGATTTTAGAAAATACATAAAAAAAACATGAGTTTCCGTGCTCAATTTCGAAAAAAAACTTTCAAAATTGTTCCTCAAAGTGTGTTTCCCCAATTGTCACCTCATATTTTAAGGAAAAAATTACTTTTTAACGTTCGGAAAAGTTTAACCCCCGCTAAATTCTACATCCAGAGCGAACTAACATTCTCATTGACTAAAAACCAATATTTTGTCATTTGTTGGCCACCCTACCCTTAGTACCCCTTTACTGTTTCATACACAACGTCTGTAAGATTAAATGTTGGAAATGTTATCCTTATTTTGGGCCACTTTTTGTATCCTAACACCCTACTGTACATTTGTAGTGGATTCAGAATCCGTATCAGATGGAATAAAAGCATAAAAACCATTTTTGGGCCGCAAACTTTGTAACCCTTTTTTCAGAACTTTAAAGTATACTTACAAATAACGGACAATCACTAGATATAAAACATGGAAATTTATATACTTGTAACCAAAAGGGAAAGATGAGTCAATGTTACAAGGTAGTTTTTCAGATTCTGAAATTGTGTTCCATACGTGAGACACAACGTAAAACCTTAGGTGCATAAACATATAGTGTGCAATCATTCTATTAATGAAAAAAATCTTTTATAGCTGACTATGCGGTATGGGCTTTACTCATTGTTGAAGGCTGTACGGTGACTTATAATTGTTAATTTCTGTGTCATTTGGTCTCTTGTGGAGAGTTGTCTCATTGGCAATCATATCACGACATTTTATTTTTTATATATATCAAAACCTTATATCAAAGTGCTTATATAGATATACCTGGAAGTTTGCCGTCATATTGAAGTTGTGATTCTGCTCTGGTTAGTGTATGGAAGAAGTAAACATGTCCCTCATACACATCCTTTATAGGTGAAGACAAAACAACAGCAACTTCTGTTCCACATACAGCAACATCTCGGGGTTTACCGTCAGCACTCTTGGAGAAAGTGTGAGTTGCTGCTATACGAGGCGATTCGGGATTTGATACGTCAATTACGTGCATTAGACCGGAATCTTCACCTATTAAAATAGATATTAACGTAATTTAAAAAAAGTTTATTTGCATCTATTATTCATTTTATTAAATATACTAGTATATTTGTCAATTTTAATTCACTCGCTTACTCGTCGGAGAGGATAACGAAATGACAGATCTATATTTTAATTAGATTGGTATATGATAATATGTCCACAACTAGCTGTCGCTCTCTGGTATATAAAAATATGTCCACAACTAGCTGTCGCTTTCTATGTATATAATAATATGTCCACAACTAGCTGTCGCTTTCTATGTATATAATAATATGTCCACAACTAGCTGTCGCTTTCTATGTATATAATAATATGTCCACAACTAGCTGTCGCTTTCTATGTATATAATAATATGCCCACAACTAGCTATCGCTCTCTATGTATATAATAATATGTCCACAACTAGCTGTCGCTCTCTATGTATATAATAATATGTCCACAACTAGCTGTCGCTCTCTATGTATATAATAATATGTCCACAACTAGCTGTCGCTTTCTATGTATATCTATGTATATAATAATATGTACACAACTAGCTGTCGCTCTCTATGTATATAATAATATGTCCACAACTAGCTATCGATCTCTATGTATATAATAATATGTCCACAACTAGCTGTCGCTTTCTATGTCACATGTATGTATATAATAATATGTCCACAACTAGCTGTCGCTTTCTATGTATGTAATACTAGTAATATGTTCACAACTAGCTGTCGCTTTCTATGTATATAATAATATGTCCACAACTAGCTGTCGCTTTCTATGTATATCTATGTATAATAATATGTCCACAACTAGCTGTCGCTTTCTATGTATATGATAATATGTCCACAACTAGCTGTCGCTCTCTATGTATATCTTAAAGCTTTTTCTTGTTTTACACACAATTCAATGCAATGATCGATAATATTGAATATTTTTCTTTTTTTTTTTTTAATAGAAGAGGTTTTGGGTTTATGTCTCGTTGGCGTATTCCCCGCATCTCATTTTATTCATGTCTACAATAGTTTGCACCTGTCCTATAAGTCAGGAACCTGGTGTTCAGTAGTTGTCGTTTGTTGATGTGGTTCATAAGTGTTTCTCGTTTTTTATATAGATTAGACCGTTGGTTTTCCCGTTTGAATGGTTTTACACTAGTGATTTTGGGGGCCCTTTATAGCTTGTTGTTCGGTGTGACCCAAGGCTCCGTGTTGAAGACCGTACTTTGACCTATATTGGTTTACTTTTATAAATTTTGACTTAGATGGAGAGTTGTCTCATTGGCACTCATACCACATCTTCTTATATCTATATTGTAAAATATCATTTTATTGAATCAATGAAGTGGATGCCAATGCACATTTTCTTTTTAGTTCTTATCCATGTTTCAGTATACATCACAACTATACATGCATTTTTTTTTTAAATAGCCCAACTTACCAACAACATATAACATTTCATTTGTTGGATCATAGGCTGCTTCCTCAGCAGTACCCGCAAACATTTTAAAGGTTTCCGTTGGAGATATGGTTGCTGGAAGTTTTGTATATGATAAAGATTTCAGATAAAATCCCGCAAAAGATCCACTGCAGCAACAAAGAAGTAAAACAATACCGACGACGGATTTCGTTGTTGCCATCCCTGGATAAATGAGTAAATAAATACATACAATGTAAGAAGACATCTTTTCGTAATAAATTTTGTGAAAAGGTAGATTTTTTCGTTACAAGGTATTGTGATCTGTTGTTGTATTGGTTATACTCGTATATTGGAATGCTTTCGAGCTGTTTTTGCCATGTTTTGATACTTAAATTAATAACCGAAAACGGCATTAAGAGATACCGTGGTTATCAAATCTTTTGGTGAATTAATCAAAACTGTCCTAAAAAGGTTAAGTAATGACCTAGATATATTTATTGAATGCTGGATGATAGAATTCTATCAAGTCAAATAAGTTTTATTTAAAGTCGACAAGTTAAATAACAATACAACATAAGCTCTGAGCGAGCTTTTGAACCGACATACATAATAAATTAAAGACATTCATGTTATATACAGTCCATGCAAACGCAATATGACAACACAAGACATACAATAGTTTACATATACACAATTGTCACACAAAAAGCAGTATTCTAGCATAAAGAATTAAGTTAAGTAATCACAGAATGTGCAACTAAAACTAAAATTGTGGAAAATATTCGATGCACATTCAAAAATTAAGTTTATAAGGGATGTGGTTATTTTCATTAGTGCCGCTGATACATCAAGAGGAATGATGATTCCATTCTCAATTCCATTAACGAGAAAGAAATCATTCATAGGTTTTTCACTTTATTATGTTTTAAATAAAATGTGATGTCCTTGGAAAATTTATAATGCTTATGAACACTACGGGACTAATATTTTCAAAAAATATATTAGTTATTTATATTCCCATTATTTTTTTTTTTTTATTTTTTTTTTAAATTTTAAATTTTAAACATATTTTATTAATAATCACCTGTTACATCAACCCTAAGTTGCCCAGGGAAGCAACAATGGGGGCCCCGATTTTTACAGGTTCATTTGTCGGGGAAAAAGCAAATGAGAAAAAAAAAACTCACATTATTAATAATTAACATCTATCTTTATAAATATCATCTATCTTTGTACAAATAACATGAAGTATAATCTATCTATATATTTTTAATATCACACCAAATATAATCGTTTGAATAAAGTATTCATTCTATAAAGATTTTTTTCTCTCAAAAGAGCTAACTGTATTTATTAGGCAGTTTCAATTTTATAGCACTTCACTCCGTTCTATATTCCCATTATTTGACTTTTGCATACATTCAGTTGTCTTCTTGAGTTTAACTGGACGTTAAGCAATTTTAAAATTTTAAGTAAAGTTATATTTTAATAAAATATCGGAAATATTTTTTTCTCCTCTGGCTGTGTGGTTTGAACACGTGATCTATCTGATATTGACCAGTTGATTCGTCTCACCGCTGAGCCAAAGGGAGACTTAGGGATATTATTGAAGTCAGCTGCTCATGCAGGAAGTAAGAAAATATATAACTGAGAAGAACATCTCGTACGAAATAAGTGTTGAGCTGATACATTAAATTCCTTGACAAATAGAGAAGGAGATAATACTTTAGTTACAAGTATAAACGTAAACTACATTGTATACAGTTATCTTTAAGCTTGGCCAGAACGGGAAAGTGTTAAACTTGAATTGCACTTTTCTAGACATGGACACGATTTTGAGCTTGTAATATTGTATATATACCACATCACCTTTTATTCATTAATATGTATATGTATAGTAAGTCTTATCCTAAAATGGCATGCCAATACACGTGATTTAACGACAACCTTAAATTCCTATCAAGATATCATATCAAATTGATGCATGCTAACAAATAATGACTAAATTATCTCAATATCTAAAGAACAGCTGATTTTGTCACTATCTATTCAGTACATTTGCACTTAACTAATGACTTTCAGAGGTCAACTTTACGTAATTTCAGTCAAAATCATAGTAATCAATATTTTATTTTACGGAGGTCACTCGTTTATCTCGTATTCTGTTTTAACGAACGTCAGTGGCTTAGTCCGTTTATAGACTTAGTGTCCAAATAATTGCATCCGTACATTATAGTCTCTTCATTATATTAAACTTCTACCACTCAAAATGTTCCGAATTTGTAGGAAGTGGCATGAAACCCAATCGGAACGACACGAATGGACCCGCTGGCAAATAAAAGCTTGCAGCCATCTTTAGGCGTGGAAATTTGAGAATGAAATTCTGTATAACTGTTATTTTCACGAACATTTCAAAGTCCAAATCCCGTAATTTCGACAAAAATCAACAGAGCGGAACCAAACGTAAACTCAATCTGTTACTCATCATAGTAAACTCACATTACTCAAATTCAGTTCAATATGTGAAGGGGTTTAGAAAATAAGTCCGTATAACTGTTGTTTCCACGACATTTTCAAAGTCCAAAGCCCATAATTTCGGCAAAAATCAACACAGCGGAACAAAACGCAAACTCAATCTGTTATTCATCATAGTAAACTCACATTACTCAAACTCAGTTTAATATGTGAAGGGGGTTAGAAAATAAGTCCGTATAACTGTTGTTTCCACGACATTTTCAAAGTCCAAGGCCGCGTAATTTCGTAAAAAAAAACAGCAGAGCGGATCCAAACGTAAAGTCGATCTGTAAGTCATCATAGTAGACACTCAAACGAAAATTCAGCTCAATATGTGAAGGCGTCTCGAAAAAAAATAACTGTTCGTTGCGGAATGACGGAATGACCGGTAAAACTATAAAAATGCCTTTACCAAACAATTGGTTGTATTGTGTCATATTTTTATGTATTTTTTTTTATCGAGAATTTTGTGTTGATGGTAGACCTTTGATAGTTTCTGTTACATTTATTCACAACTGTATTGTTTATTCGGGTCGATTTAGAGCTTTACATGTTATAAACACCTACATCTTTTGTGTCACGGCTCCCTATATGTCTTTTGTTATTTGTGTAGTTGGGTTGCTGTGTCATTGACGTTCGGTTATGGCATGAATATAAATAAGAAGATGTGGTATGAGTGCCGATGAGACAACTCTCCATCCAAATCACTATGTGTAAAAAGTAAACAATTATAGGTCAAAGTACCAACACCGAAAAGCAAGCTATAAAGGGCCCCAAAAAGACTAGTGTAAAACAATTCAAACAGGAAAACCAACGGTCTAATCTATATAAAAAACGAGAAACGAGAAACACTTAAGAACCACATCAACAAACGACAACCACTGAAACAGGTTCCTGACTTAGGACAGGTGCATAAAAATGCAGCGGGTTTAAACGTTTTAACAGGCGCCAATACAGATATAGTTTTCATTGAAATTTGCTGTAAAAAAAATTTGGAAATCATTTTAAGTTGAGGAATATATCTCCGTTATGCAAAGCTCTTATTCCTTGTCCGGATTTGGCTATACGTTAGGTCCTTTTTGGTTTGGTCAGCTCCTCAACGTTTGTTCAAATTTTAGATTTTCAAATATTTTTTGCCTCGAGCATCACTGAAGAGACATTAATTGTTGAAATGCGCATCTGGTGCAGTTAAATTGGTACCGTTTGTTATTACCCCAAATTTCCCTTTTTTCATGCAAAGTAGTCCATTATTCGTACATCTCAGTTTGTGGAAATAGGTCAAATTTCTAGACCCCTGTTTAAATTTTTTTATGTAAAATACATGCCATAACGTAATTTTAAATCCATTAAATTAGCATAAAATATTTTTGAACAAAATTTAGAATAAAAAAGAATACGTCATTGCACACAAGAGCTTTTGTGGTTGCTATCGGAAAAGATCGCGGACGAACAAACAGATGAACACTGTTACATAATGTCCGACTAAATCTCGGCTGTTTGCGAGAATTGTCACATTAGGTGCGTCAGTCCAATATAAAGCAGTTTTCAATGAAAACAAACATTGAAATAGATAAATTCCTGTTCTGTAGAATATCAGATCTTAAAAATGAAAACTAAAAACTACCCCACGTGATCTACCCTAGAGTTCGGCCAAGAACACAAAACTGTCGGTGTGATTCTAATATCAGAGTACCTAGAAACATAAGCTGACTACGTTTGATGTTAGTTGACCTTGCATTAAAGTCAGCTGTTTATGTTGTACTTAAGTCAAATTGTTATAAATTCTTTACCTGGTTCCATCCCTGTGGACAATCAAACAGTAACTATCGAAGTGAAATACCCAAAAGATAAGACACGAAGTCATGGTTATCACTAGAATTATAAAGGTCAAATCGGTGAAAAGTTAATTAGACATGGATAATATTTTAGAAGGCATTTTCCTTGCTCTGAATGTAGACCAAACTAGACAATCGCAGAGAACGGTATCGAAATACACCTTATTTTGTCAATCTTTGGCATTTCCATTTGACTAGATTCAGTCTGTTTATCTCCAATCAACACCACTTTGTTATATGGTAATTGAAACAAGCGCTGGATTTAATGTTGATATCAGACTTATTGGAAAAGAATGAATACTGCTTTGATGCTGCTATGTCTTATACTTATAGCTCCGTATATGGTTGTTAGAAAACAATATCGATCCACAGAACAGGTTTAACAATAGTAAATAGCTATAACAGACGTGTTGTTCATATAGACGCTGCAATAATGCTATGTGGGGGTCCTACATGTACACTCTATGCGAGGGCACAAAGCTATATAAAATATGCCAATGTATGCATTTTTTTAGAAACGCTTCAAAGTGTTTTTTTTTCTATTGCGACCTCACAAATCCGTAACTATACATATTTTGAACTTTAAATTATCTTTTACAACTTTTATCTCTAAACAAGTAGAAATATAAAATCCCAGTTAGCATTTCAGTGAAAACTTTGGTCAAATGAGACCCTTATCACAAATTGTCCTATTATTATGACAGACCGGTTCAAGAATGGCAATGGTCAATCATTTATGAAACAGTTTGTATCATGACCCATTTCAATATGACGTCGATAGTGAACACATGATTTACATATAAGTTGCCTTTTTTATTCTACAGTTAATGATACATAAAAGGAAGATGATAATAAAAAAGTCGAAGAACGATAGATAACACCATGGTAACAAAAAAAATCAAAGCGCGAAAGCGCTGTAAAGGCAGTTAATTACAGGTTGTGTGTATTTTTAGTCCAGTTATATCATTATCTTGCATAGTACAGTGTACTTATCAGAGGTGGCTTTCAGTATTTAAGATTTAGAGTTCTTTAATGATATTGAACAAGTTTTATGAATGTCATATTCTGAGCACTATATGAAGGCGATTGTTCTCACTTGTTTATGAACTAGTGCATTATGTCCAGTTTGTACCTTTTTTCTCTATGTTTATAGTCAAATTAGTTATCAAAGGTACCAGGATTATAATTTAATACGCCAGACGCGCGTTTCGTCTACATAAGACTCATCAGTGACGCTCAGATCAAAATAGTTATAAAGCCAAACAAGTACAAAGTTGAAGAGCATTGCGGACCCAAAATTCCAAAAAGTTGTGCCAAATACGGCTAAGGTAATCTATTCCTTGGATAAGAAAATCCTTAGTTTTTCGAAAAATTCAAAGTTTTGTAACAGGAAGTTTATATAAAATGACCATATAATTGATATTCAAATACTGTTTAAAATAGTAAGGCATTTTCTTTTTAGTAATAAGTAAATGTTATCAACTGTATTTTATTCAACTCTGCAAATGTGGTTTGTTACTTTTAAGTATGGATGATAGTTGTTTCATTGGCAATCATAACACATCTCCTTATTTATATAATGATCTATATTCAACGACCTCAGGTACAAAAAAAATGTATGTAATTAAACTGTGATGGGAAACCTTTGACTTCTTTCTTTTATATAAACTTTTGATTTGGTACCATAGAACTATGTAGAATAAATGTACATTGCAACATGTCAACTCTTTCAATGACAATACTTTTTTAGAAACTATAACTCCAAGCAAAATTATATTTCCAAGTTTCAAGTAATTTATGAATGAAAAAAGGAGTTCTTAATTAAGAAATAAACTGATTCGCTGAGCTCAGCTGGATACACCCGCAGAGGTCCAACCTTGAACAGTTGGGGCAAAAATGGACACAATATTCAAGCTTGATACAGGTCTGAATTTGGATTGTAATTAAATATTTGACATATTATAGTTTCTGAATAAATGTAGTCAAAGAACTTGAAAAAGGTTATATGAATTGAATTTATATTCAATTAAAGATTTCTTGCTGTTGTGCAATAAACTGTGCTGTTGCGCAATACTTAATAAATCTGTTGCCAGACTATAAACAAATAAAGTTCAATTTCTTCTCAATGTCATATTTGAAATTTATGAAAATCTATAGGGAGATTACATCAATAGCTATAAATAATTCACCAAAGTTTCATGCGAACTGCTTAAAGCATTTTTGAGTTGTTGTCCAACAACAGTGCACACGCTGAAATGTCTCGCCTTCTTTACTAATCACTGATATTATGTTGATAGTCCTTAATATAAAGCTTTATTACAACTGTCACATAAACTTAACATTAACCAAGAAAACTAAACATTGACCAATGAACCATGAAAATGAGGTCAAGGTCAGATGAACCATGCCAGGCAGGCATGTACAGCTAACAATTCTTCCATACAACAAATATAGTTGACCTATTGCTTATAGTTTAAAAAAAACAGACCAAAACACAAAAACTTAACAGAGCAATGAACTGTGAAAATGAGGGCAAGGTCAAATAAAACCTGCACGACTGACATAAAGATCATAAAATATTTCCATACACCAAATATAGTTGACCTATTGCATATAGTATTAGAAAAAAAAACCAAAACTCAAAATCTTAACTTTGACCACTGAACCATGAAAATGAGGTCAAGGTCAAATGACACCTGCCAGCTAGACGTGTACATCTTACAATCATTCCATACACCAAATATAGTAGACCTATTGCATACAGTATAAGAAAAACAGACCAAAACACAAAAACTTAACTATAACCACTGAACCATGAAAATGAGGTCAAGGTCAGATGACACCTGCCGGTTGGACATGTACACCTTACAGTCCTTCCATACACTGAATATACTTGACCTATTGCTTATAGTATCTGAGATATGGACTTGACCACCAAAACTTAACCTTGTTCACTGATCCATGAAATGAGGTCGAGTTCAAGTGAAAACTGTCTGACGGGCATGAGGACCTTGCAAGGTACGCACATACCAAACATAGTTATCCTACTACTTATAATAAGAGAGAATTTAACATTACAAAAAATGTTAACTTTTTTTTCAAGTAGTCACTGAACCATGAAAATGAGGTCAAGGACATTGGACATGTGGCTGACGGAAACTTCGTAACATGAGGCATCCATATACAAAGTATGAAGCAGCCAGGTCTTCCACCTTCTAAAATATAAAGCTTTTAAGAAGTTAGCTAACGCCGCCGCTGCCACATCACTATCCCTATGTCGAGCTTTCTGCAACAAAAGTTGCAGGCTCGACAAAAACTGGAAAATCCCAATAAAACCCCATAACTCAGAAATGTAAAATCTAAAATTTATAAAATTCTAAAGGGAGCTTACGGATTGATAATTTAGTCTTAGATGCAAGATTGTTTTATCAGTTTTTAGTGGCTTTGAACTAGCTGTCAGTAACTGCGAGTACTCTCAGATCTGTACTTAGTGTCTTTTTGTTGTTTGGATGTACAACTACCCGAACACGTCCACTTGTATTTGTATTTATCCATCTGATGAGTTAAGCCTCTTTCAAATGATTTTTATAGTTTGTTCTTATATTGTACTGTTACACCACTGTCCCAGGTTAGGGGGAAGGTTGGGATCCCGCTAACATGTTTAACCCCCAACACATTCTGTATGTACATGTATGTGCCTGTCCCATGTCAGGAGCCTGTAATTCAGTGGTTGTCGTTTGTTTATGTGTTGCATATTTGTTATATTCGTTCATTTTTTGTACATAAATTAGGCCGTTAGTTTTCTTGTTTGAATTGTTTTACATTGTCATTTCGGGGCTTTTTTTAGCTGACTGTGCGGTATGGGCTTTGCTCATTGTTGAAGGCCATACTGTGACCTATAGCTGTTAATTTCTGTGTCATTTGGTCTCTTGTAGAGAGTTGTCTCATTGGCAATCATACCACATCTTCTTTTTTGTATTTACATCAACAGATATAAACAATTCATCAAAGTCAAGGTGAGACAACAAAACTTAGTGGTAAGATCTCTGAAATTTTTTACACGGTACAAGTTTTTCTCATTATTGGAGACTGTACGGTGACAGTAACACCTGTAACTGCTTAAACCCATTTCTTATGCACTTTAGTTCGATAAACTCACTGAATATCATACCACATCTCCTTATTTTTATATGCATTACAATTTACATGTGTATGTAATTATAAATATATATATATCAGAACAAAATTCATTGTGTCACTTTTATTTCTGCATCCTTTGGCACAATACAAGTTCTAAAATTACACAACATAAAACAACTAAATGTTATTTCAGATGAAAGTTTTGTTTCAGTTCCATTCATAGGATTTGTGAGAATTTTGTATGTTTTGCCAAGTCCAATAATTCGCTCTATGTGCACATGTTAATTGGAGATTTTTCTATCCTGTATAAGAGTTTTGGAACTAATTCTGTTTCTTTTTTTGAAAAAAGTTAGCAAACAAATCTTGCACATTTAAACCTTTGTCTGCCATCACACTGTCACCTGGATCACATAATTGAACTACATTTTGTATTCTACATCTTTCAACTATTTCATAGTCACTGGTAGAACCAACATATGCATTAGAGACATAGTTGACTAAACCACCAGGCGTCGAACATTCAAGTATTTTCAGTGTTTCTGTTTTTATATGATGAAAAGGTTGCCTGAGCTCTAGGAGCTTTAGGTTTTATCACGGGATATTCTGTGCTGTCAATAATAATCCAAGTCGTAGGAAACTTTAATTTGAAGTTGGATGGCGAAAAATGCCTGACTAAACCACTAGATGGCCAAGTGTTAGCCTCACACCACTGTTTAGGCATAAAAACAATCCATGTATACACAATATTCTTAACACTAGATTCAATCTAGAATCTAGAAAGTTCAAAGTTGGTTGTATAATGCCTCAATTTCATCAAAGTCATAAAAAAACTGATTTTCAACTGACACCCTATCAATTTGAAAATATATGTATCTCAAACAATGTGCTGTTGGACCAAGTGTGGTCAAAACAAATAAAAATTTAGTATACAACTCTAAACCGGTATAAAAATGCATGGCTGTGTCACGTGTCTTCATTTCAAAATTCTCTGCTGAAAACATAGACATTGATGGTACATGTATTTGCGTAATTCCATCTTTGAAGCTCAACATTAGCTCGGCAGTTGGTGGTGGACAGTCATAAATCCTTTCTGCAGTATGAATGACTTCTTCAGGAAAACCAACTTTACAATCAAAACTTTCCTCTAGATTTCTACTACAATATTCATCAAGTTTAGTTCTTTTGTTTTCACAGGAAACTGCCCCGATTTTTCTTTTTGCGGACGATTCAGTCTCTTGCTTGGTCCAGGAAAATAGGCTGGGAATGGCAGTAGACTTAAGTCTCTGTATGGTGGGTTTGCGCCCTGAAAAAGGTTATAAAACATTAGTTTTTTGATAATTAAATGAACTTCCATTAGCAATGTATACTTTGTATTACCTGGCGAAATATTAACTAGATTTATTCATTACAATCTGGATAAAACTATGTTTGCCTGATTCAATGTATGTTATGTAAATCCAAAGGACAAACAATGAGAGACTTATGCAACAAACGTACATTGTTTGCACCTAAATAACTATAATATAGATGAGAGCATGTCACTGTTTTGTTCCTGTTAACATTGTCATTGATATTTTTCAAGAAAGTCTACGAGGCATAGCTTATGCATTCCTGTCATTACTACATTAGCATAATTACTGCTAAAATAATTCTCAGTATGATATACCTCTTGTAAGAAATCATTATAATTGTAGCAATCACCAAAAAATCTCACACAGATCACATTGAATCGTAATCCAAAAAATTATGACGTCTTTAATTAACCACCCCCTTTTATTCTAAAACGATAATTGCGGTTGTAAACATACTTTGGTTTATTCGCATGGCGATTACATATATAACTATATATTTCAAAAAGAAAATAGAGTTTTACCATGAATAGTTTCCTGCACGTAGTCTTTTTCAGTAAAATGTGCCTTGCAAACAACAGCTGATTGAGATGGACTCCACGATTTCATCGTGTTCTCGTCCAATCTACGTTTGGGCCATGGCGTTGATCCAACTTTTCCTTCTTTTTAAGTCATTTGGAAATGCATGTCCTCCTCTTAAATGACATCCAGGAACACAACAACAAGTGCTTGGCATCGTTAATTAAAAATGTAACTGAAATAGTTGCAGTGCAGAAACCGGAAGTTGAGGAACAGGATCTGCTACCACGGCGCCACCTATTCAGGAACGATAATTTGCTACTTTATATAACTGCGAAATAACAATAACGTTAGACGGGTTCACGTGCATAGACAGAAATGCGCTTTAAATTGTATAATATAATTAATGTTCAGTCGACTCTTAATTATTATATCAACGACTGAAATGATTTATAAACATCTAGATTGCAGATAACACTCGAAATTAACCCGAGCTCTTTCCACACGGAATTCAAATAATTCTAGTTTGTCAATCGGTTGACTGCTTATAATGCAAAATACAAATATATCAAAAGTTTTTAAAACTAACAAAACACAATGATCGTTTCTCTATTTCCCAATGTAAATGAAATGAAACAAAAAACATTTTATATCACAATAAGAAGAGGAGAGAATTCAACATTTCCGGATCTACTTGGAGCCTAATGACCCCCCACGTAGATAAGTTGGATATCGCGGAAGGAAGGATTAACCCGGCAACTAGAAAGGCATTAAAGCACTGCCTTTAAAAACCAACAACGAACAGAGGAACTAAATATTATAGAACTACACACACTACCAAACATTGAGCAACATAGACATGACATGATTTATAAGATACCTTATAAGAACATTCTGCGATGATAAATTTAAAAAAAATGTTATGAAACTAAGGTTCCAACTAATACAATCTTATAGAACTACACGATAACAAAAACTTGAGCAACATGAGGACGAGGAAAGGAGGGCGTGAGTGTGGTTATTTTAATTACACACCTTGGTTCAAAAACTGTCTTTTAAGACACATTCCTCTATCAAGGAAATCTGAATAGAAAACACCAGCCGAGGAACATCGTATCTACTTGAAAATGTATATTCCATATCGTGCTGCATGCTAGAATATTCGAACTCCTTGGGGCAAAGATGGCCTTAGAAGGATTTGTGTATTCGTTTCGGTTCTCTTTGGTCATATATAGCTCTTAACGTGTTCTGACACTTATAAATATCTGCGTTGATAAATTAAGAAATTTTTATGGAACTCATGTTCAACTTAATAAGTTATTAAAGAAATCTGCTAGGGTTATAGTAGAAGCTGACATAATGACATCCTTCAGTTTATTGTTTAATAGTTTAAACAGGTTAAATGGGGAAAAACGAATTCAATATCAAAAGGCAATACTTGTATTTAAATCATTAAAAGATATGGTTCCTAACTATCTACAAGAAAACTTCCATTTTTACTGATAATCAAAATTATAATTTACGTTCAGCTGATGAAAAACTATTAAATCTTCCGAAGCCAAAAACAATTTTTTTGAAGGAAACATTTGTATATTCTGGTTCTCAAATATGGAACAATTTACCAAATGAAATAAAGATGCGTAATACTCTTGTATCTTTTAAAACAAAATGTTACAAATTTTTCATAAATTGTGCAAATTAATATGCTTTTTCATTAATATCTAGTATATAAAATTGTATATTGTGTAAATATCACTATAATACAGTATGCACTTTATAAATACGTTATCATTATTTTGAGGACTCTCATCGAAGATTAGTTTTAACTAATGGGATTATCCTCTTGAAATAAAGATTATTTATTTATTTAACTCCTTCAGGCAAAGTTGACCAGTCACCGTACATTGATTTTACAATTATTCTAGGTCCTTTTCGGTCATATTGCTCTTCAAGTCAGGTTTTGATCCTTATACATCCGGGGCTTTCTCATATTTGCCTTTTAGCGTTCCTATATGAAGGTAAATCCAGAAAAGCGCTTCGGACGTATACACAAGTTTTATTTTCATTTGCTGCATAAAATGGAAAGTTGACCATAACAAAATTGAAATCATCGTTTGTCACAAATGTTAGGTCTTAACCAGCCATTGTTGTTAATTTCAAGATGAAAGTCAAGATAGAAAACATACCTTAATGTCTATTGTATTATTTATTCGAAGTTCAATACTAGTATTATAGATGTAGTCAATGAAGTCACTGAATTTTATTTAGTGGAAGGACATCATCTTTATAGCGGAATGCGAAGTCCAAAGATAATATTAGCTCATTTTAACTGATGTATAATGATAGTTGTTGATTATGTCACCACAAATTATGCTCTTATCGTCCTCCAAATATACACAACTCATATCGCAAGATACAAAGAAATGAGTTGATATTTTACTAAGCAGTAAGAATAAACAAAATATTAATCTAATTGAGATACTTTTTTTCATTGTTTTGTTGGAAGACCTGTCAGAATTTTGATACATTGCTCCATACAAATAACTAGGAACAAACAACATTTCAAGAAACTTCAGTAAGTAAATAATCAGACAATACAAAGACAAGAGATTCATGATCAAGTAGGTGCGAGAAAGGCTATAAATATCACAAGTCGAACAAAAACGATCGAATCAACGACAAAAGTTGTTAAGAAAATAAAACAACAAGAGTGCACACGCTGAAATGTCTCGCCTTCTTTACTAACCATTGATATAATGTTGATAGTCCTAAATATAAAGCTTTACTACAACTATCACCTTACAATCATTCAATACACTAAATATAGTTGACCTATTGCTTATAGTTTCTAAGAAACAGACTTAACCAAGAAAACTAAACATTGACCAATGAACCATGAAAATGAGGTCAAGGTCAGATGAACCATTCCAGGCAGACATGTACACCATACAATCAACCTATGCATTAAATATAGGGCCATAAAAAAGAATAGGTTTGTTTGCCCTAACCCTACCTACCCAGAAAATAGCTGCCTACTCAAAATCTTTTATTGCCCTGATGTGAAAATATTTTTTTTTATTCAGATAGGCATGAAGACTAATAAACATCTGATGCTTAAATTTCTCTTTGCCAAAAAAAAAAAGAAAATGCCTACCTACCTACCCACTGTCTCAATGTTGGGTAGGGTTTGGGCAAACCAAAATTTTTTTAAGTGTGGCCTAGTTGACCTATTGCTTATAGAAGCTAAGAAACAAACTTAACCATGAAAACTTAACATTGACCAATGAACCAACAAAATGAGGTCAAGGTCAGATGATACCTGCCAGACAGACATATACAGCTTACAATCCTTCTATACAAAAAATATAGTTGACCTATTGCTTATAGTTTAAGAAAAACAGACCAAAACACAAAAACTTAACACTGAGCAATGAACCGTGAAAATGAGTTCAAGGTCAAATAAAGCCTGCGAGACTGACATGTGCATCATAAAATATTTCCATACACCAAATATAGTTGACCTATTGCATATAGTATTAGCAAAAAAAGACCAAAACTCAAAAACTTAACTTTGACCACTGAACCATGAAAATGAGGTCAAGGTCAGATGACACCTGCCAGTTGGACATGTACACCTTACAATCATTCCATACACCAAATATAGTAGACCTATTGCGTACAGTATAAGAAAAACAGACCAAAACACAAAAACTTAACTATAACCACTGAACCATGAAAATGAGGTCAAGGTCAAATGACACCTGCCAGTTGGACATGTACACCTTACAATCCTTCCATACACCAAATATACTAGACCTATTGCTTATAGTATCTGAGATACGGACTTGACCACGAAAACTTAACCTTGTTCACTGATCCATGAAATGAGGTCGAGGTCAAGTGAAAACTGTCTGACGGGCATGAAGACCTTGCAAGGTACGCACATACCAAATATAGTTATCCTATTACTCATAATAAGAGAGAAATTAACATTACAAAAAATCAGAAGTTTTTTCAAGTAGTCACTGAACCATGAAAATGAGGTCAAGGACAATGGATATAAGACAGACGGAAACTTCGTAACATAAGGCATCTATATGCAAAGTATGAAGCATCCAGGTCTTCCACCTTCTAAAATATAAAGCACTTTTATGAAGTTAGTTAACGCCGCCGCCGGATCGCTATCCCTATGTCGAGCTTTCTGCGACAAAAGTCGCAGGCTTGACAAAAATGCCAATATCTGTGACGTCTCCCGTCTAGCAGTAAACCCGTGCTGACGAGGCGTACGTTTTTGGACCCGGACATGTGGGATGTATAGATACGCAGCCACGTCCGGTCGTCCTCGTAGAGGGAGAGTTATACGTTATCTGCAGGTTAAAGATCCCTTGCAAGCATTCTTTTGGGGGGTTCGTAGATGATCTGTTGTAAGGCAAAATTTCTGCCGCGATCCAACATACCATCATTTTCCAGAGCGGTTTAAATTTCCGTCGTTCAATCTGGTCGACTCACCTTACAGATTTAGAACACTTAATGGTTTTGGATTTTATCATTTAATTTTAATAGATAATAGTAAAAAATATAACGGAATAACATTGTTAACCACTACGACGATTTTTGTCTCGTTTCTTTAAGTTCTCTAAATAATTCCTGTCTTTGTTTTAAACGTTCTGTTGTCCTGGTTGTAGCTGACATTCTACGAGATTCAGACGTTTTACTCTCGGGATCTGAATCCGAATCACTACTCTCTATACTCCGTTTCCTTTTACTACTAGTACTTTGTATGTTATCATCACTTTCGGATTCAGATTTTTTTTCAAAATGTTCATTGTCTAATGTATCATCAACAGATTCATCTTTTTCTCCATCTGAACTCGATGCTACTTTTATGTTACTTTTTCGTCTCTTTAATTTACTTTTTGATACACTAGGATCATTATTCGTATGATATATGCTATCCTCGTTTAATTCTTCTTCATTGATAGCGTTGTTGACTTGGTTTGCCTCCGATTCTGAATCGGAACTTGAAATCTCGCGTAGCCTGTGTAATTTTGTTTCAGAAAACTCAGTTCTGCTTCTATCTATGCGTCCCTGAAAAAAACAGCAATTATATTATTAAAAACATGTGAATGCATTGAAAAAGATTTTTGAAGTTCAAGCTTTCAATGGTAAATTTAGTGTTTTTTTAAAGTCTGAATACAAGAAAAAAATTCTCCGAAAATATAGTTTGTATAAAATAATGAATCGCCAAACATTCCGCTAAAAAACAAGACCTTAAGTAATCAGCTGTTCCGAATAAACAACTGACCTTACAATTATATAACAGGAACATATAAATGATAATGAATAAATTAACTCTGATGCTATACAAGCAGCATTTGAGAAGAACATAAGTATTGAAATATTAATAGTAAAAAGTCAAAACAGTACCGTATGTCTTTTTTCATCGTCGTCTGTTTTATCGCTAGTGCTGTTTTCGTCATCAATTTCGTCATCTTCTACAATAAATTCGCTCATTTCATCTTCATCTGAATCACATGTATCTGCATTGTAACTATTGTACCTATATATAGATTATAAGTTAATATACTGTAACGTGTAAATCATCATAGATGTCTGATACATGGGAACAAGGTGTTTTTAGATTTTTGCTCTAGTTTGCAAAGACACGTAAAAGCAGATTGCACATACATTTTATGTTAAAAAAAACGCGGAAAAAAACCTTCAAAAGTATGATTAATTGTTCATGAGAGGCTAAACATCCTGTTTAACATAGTTAAAAAGTATGTTAGCCTTACTTCCATGAGTTTTTGGTAAATTTATTAAATAGATCAAGGATAATATAGCAGAATCATTTCAATGATTTATAAGTGAACAAGGTGTGTGATATCCGTCCAAAAAAATTTCTCACCATCTGTATTATCAAAATCTATGATTATTTATAATTGTCAGTTTTCAATATGTATGTGTCGTTCAAAATGTTAAATATATTACAAGGTTTACTATTATACAAAAATGTTGCCTATTTAAACAAACGTAATGTTAACTTACACTTTAGTTAAGTTGCTGATAACCCTTCTTGGAGTCAAAGATTTCACACTCTCTACAGTACTGTGACAGTTCGGAATTTTGTTCCAATATTCATTTTTATCAGGCATTCGAAACTCTTGGGAATGTCGCTTCCTGATGCGCTCTGAACTTCTTCCCCCAGACTAATTTAAATATAGAAAAAGAAGATGTTTTAATTTCAATTTAATGGGCTCACAAGGAACGTAGTACAATAGTAGACATTATTTTAGACAAAGACAATAAGGTACAAAAGACAAAACGTTCGAAAATGCATATACGTCTTTATATGAATAAATGTTTAAACATGTTTAGTGTAAGAATACCTCCATCTCATGCAAACCTCCATCAAAAGAAGTGCTATCAATGCTTTGGGGATTTTGTTGCCCATGCAGTAACTTAATGGACAGTGTTGCATGGGCAAGGTGGGTGATTTACGCAGATGTAACTTAATAGACAGTGCTGCATGGCAAAGTGATTGATTGACGCACATGTAACTTAATAGAGAGAGCTACATGGCAAGGAGGGTGATTGACGCACATGTAACTCAATAGAGAGTGCTACATGGCAAGGAGGGTGATTGACGCACATGGTACTTAAATTTAAATGGATGTTTATAGTAACTAATGTCTTGTGTTTTATTATTTTTGTGATGTATTATGTAATGTGTTATTTTGTTAATTCTCATGTATGCGATCAACCCCGTTGGGATATAACAGTGCATTATTTCAATAAACATTTAAAGAAATGCATATAACTGGCATGTCATCGTCGTGTCTAATGCAGAGAATTATTATGATCGTACGTGGCTGTATATTTGTTTCATCCCGAACAACCAAACGATGACGTATCGTATATATCTTTTTGATGGACATAAGGTTTATCAATTATAGAGTCAAGCCTGAAATCAATAAGTCTCCGGTTAATAAAAAGCGTTAATCTTACCAAATATTACATATTGTTATCTAAAGCAATCAGTAGGTACTAAATAGTTTTATTATGGTATATAAATCACAAGTAGGGTAGCGGGGATAACATTTCACAAATTCAAATAGGAAATATAAAGTTTCATAAAGAACTTCTTCATCATTACAGCATAGGGATAGGTGTCACAAAATAGAAGTTCCTTCATAATATAAGTTCCAAATGGAAAAAAAAAATATTCTGGAATATAATTTCCACAGGAATAAGTATTACAGTATATGTTCCTAACGGAGTAAATAGTATAGAATATTTTTTCCAACAGGAACAGGTATTATGACATTTTTTATAACAAAGTTTCCAATGGAACTTCTGTTAAGCGGAACAAATATACGTTGACATAGGTTCTAATCTTTAAAATATGTGTTTTAATATAATCACCTGAATTTTTCACAATAAATGATAAAAAGTAATGGATTAAAATACTACATTATAGAGGTAATCACTTTTGGTAATTTTTTATATCTGAATTTTAACAATAAATTAATGGACCGAAAATTATATATAAAAAGTAACGAACAAGTCTAAATTGAAAACAACGTTCAAACCTATGATTGCGTTGGATATAAACCGCAAATTTTATACGTGTGTATGTAAAACAAATTTTCTGGTAGAGGGGTCTAAATACAGCACAAACAACATTTTCCAAAAGACCAAAAAAGTGAACTAGAGGCTCTAAAGAGCCTGTGTCGCTCACCTTGGTCTATGTGCATATTAAACAAAGGACACAGATGGATTCATGACAAAATTGTGTTTTGGTGATGGTGATGTGTTTGTAGATCTTACTTTACTGAACATTCTTGCTCCTTACTATTATCTCTATCAAAAAGAACATGGCCCGGTAGTTACAGTGGAAAATATTTTGTAAAAATTTACAAAAATTTACAAAATTTATGAAAATTGTAAAAAATTGACTATAAAGGGCAATAACTCCTTAAGATGTCAACTGACAATTTTGGTCATTTGACTTATTTGTAGATCTAACTTTGCTGTACATTATTGCTGTTTACAGTTTATCTCTATCTATAATAATATTCAAGATAATAACCAAAAGCTGCAAAATTTTCTTAAAATTACCAATTCAGGGGCAGCAACCCAACAACGTGTTGCCTGATTGGTCTGAAAATTTCAGGGAAGATAGATCTTGACCTAATGAACAATTTTATCCTCATCACATTTGCTCTAAATGCTTTGGTTTCAGAGATATGAGCCAAAAACTGCATTTTACCCTATGTACTATTTTTTAGCCATGTCGGCCATCTTGGTTCGCGGGCGGGGTCATAGGACACATTTTTTAAACTAAATACCCTAATGATGATTGTGGACAAGTTTGGTTAAATTTGTCTTAGTAGTTTCAGAGGAGAAGATTTTTGTAAAAGATTACAAAAAATTACGAAAAATGGTTAAAAATTGACTATAAAGGGCAATAACTCCTTAAGGGGTCAACTGACCATTTTGGTCAAGTTGACTTATTTGTAGATCTTACTTTGCTGAACATTATTGCTGTTTACAGTTTATCTCTATCTATAATAATATTCAAGATAATAACCAAAAACGGCAAAATTTCCTTAAAATTACCAATTCAGGGGCAGCAACCCAACAACGGGTTGTCCGATTCATCTGAAAATTTCAGGGCAGATAGATCTTGACCTGATAAACAATTTTACCCCTAAGTCAGATTTGCTCTAAATGGCTTGGTTTCAGAGATATAAGCCAAAATCTACATTTTACCCCTATGTTCTATTTTTAGCCATGGCGGCCATCTTGGTTGGTTGGCCGGGTCATCGGACACATTTTTTAAACAAGATACCCCAATGATGATTGTGGCAAAGTTTAGTCAAATTTGGCCCAGTAGTTTCAGAGGAGAAGATTTTTAACGACGACGGACGACGACGACGGACGACGGACGCCAAGTGATGAGAAAAGCTCACTTGGCCCTTTGGGCCAGGTGAGCTAAAAAGTATATTTTAACAAAACGCTTTGACTAACAGGTCGAACAACGGATGTTCTTAAACCCTGCTGACTGGCACTGGCGATTGCCAAATAAATTGATCACCAGATGTAACAAAGGATCTTAATATTAATCTAAACCGAAAACAATAAACTTCCGGAAAAGATGGTATACCACAAACATGAGGTGCAAAAATTTGTACACCATGTCCGGATTTCGACAATTAATGTCTCTTCAGTAATGTAAGGGATCGAAACGGTATTTGGAAAGCCATATAATTTACCTCAATTTAGGATAGACTCTTGAATTTTAAAGAGTCGAAATATGATGAACGGATCATATAAAAACCCGAGGGAAAATATAATACAAGCCCAAACGAAAAAATATAAACAAGTCTAAATTGAAAACAACGTTCAAACCTAAAGTATGACTGCGTTGGATAAAAACCGCAATTTTTATACGTGTGCATGTAAAACAAATTTCCTGGTAGAGGGGTCTAAATACAGCACAAACAACATTTTCCAAAAGACCAAAAAGTGAAAAAGGTATATTTTAACAAAACGCATTTGACTAACAGGTCGAACAACGGATGTTCTTAAACCCTGCTGACTGCCATTGGCGATTGCCAAATAAATTGATCACCAGATGTAACAAAGGATCTTAATATTAATCTAATACCAAACAGAACACAATAAACTTCCGGAAAAGATGGTATACCACAAACATTAGGTGCACAAATTTGTACACCATATCCGGATTTCGACAATTAATGTCTCTTCAGTGATGTTAGGGTTCGAAACGATATTTGGAAGGCGATATAATTTACCTCAATTTAGGATAGACTCCTGAATTTTAAGGAGTAACGAATATACAGTAATGCAAAAATTTCTTTCAATAAATAATCGCAAACTGGGAATAACGAGACTTTAAAAAAAATAATGTACAGTACAGCACTTAAATTTTCTATAATTTTATAAAGGACTTTCCGTTTTGAATTTCCCTTGGAGTTCTGTATTTTTGTTATTTTACTTTTTATTATGAATTGAAGTCAATACTTTTTATCCTTTATTCCCAGTAAGAAACTCAGGTGACTGTGGTCTTAAACAGTTAAATAAGAAAGTTCATAGTTAATCTTGTCATCATTGAATCATTAATACTAAAAAAAAAAAAAGTAGAACTTAAAAATCAAATCAACGCAGGGCCGTAACTACCGATGAGGCAGACAAGGCAATTGCCTCGTCTGATTTTTTGACAAAAAAAAAATAATAATAAGAAAAAAAAATGGAGAAATCTAGGCATGCAGGGGTAGAAAACATCCTTGCATTTCCATAACAAGAATTAAGTAATGCATACTTCGAATAGTAATTAATGTTGACGGGCAGCTTCTGTACTTTTATTTCAACTACGTTAGGTATCGAGCTCTCTGTCTGATTACCATCGCCGGTAAATCGGCATCTAGATCGGCATTTGGTTCTGCAATTATTTATTTCCCGCGAAAAAATGCTCTTGAACAAGTTCGACCGTCAGAGATTTTGGTTTCCCATGAGAAGCTACTATTGACATTTCTGGTCGGTTCTTGCTCGTGTGAGAGATCTTTTTCTGCCCTTCGACGTTTAAAGACATGGTGCAGGTCAACAATGATTGAGGACAGATTTATATGTGGTTTAGCCATGCTTCACGTCCATCGTACGGACAATGTTGGGCACGTGAACGCAGAAGCTGTTCTCAAACGATGGGATCCTAGTGGCACAAGAAAGGTCGAAAAAGCATTCACATACAGTGACTATCATGACTATAGGTTCCACACTTTGGGCTTTATTAAAGTGTTATTAAAATGTGTGTTATTTCTAATGAAGCGTTGACCACACACACTTGTCCCGCCTTTTCTACTACCAAACATGTATCTTACTGTAAATTGATACATGTTTGATGGTACAAGATTCGAGGCAAATATCTGTCAGCCGGCTCTGATAGCCTAATGCAGTTTTTCATCGATAAGTATGAGACAAAAACGGATTTAACAAGTTTTATTTCGGACCCTTATATTACAATTTTCGGACGGGGGCTTTGTCCCCCCCCCCCCCCCCCCCCCCGGACCCCTATTAACGATGGGGCCTCAGTCGCCTGACCCAAACCCCTGCCTCGTCTGTTTCCGATGCCTCGTTACGGACCTGCAACGAAATATTCCTGTGACAGTTCTGTTTCGGCGCTCCATGGCGCGGATAGAAATTAGTATAAAGCACAAACTTACTGGTTTGTCTTGTTTGGTACAACATGTGTTCCCCGCGTCACTTGAATCATTACCGGAATCTGTGAACAACTGTCTTTTTCTACCAGAACTTAATCTTCGACGTCGAGGACTAACGATTTCCTCATCACTCGACTCAATTTCTGCCGCCATTTGTTTACCTATTTTTTTACCAAGTACACAGTCGAGTTGTCTTTCTTTTACCCAAGACCATTTAATGGACATACTTAAATTAGGTAAAAAGTTTATTTTGCTTTAAATCAACCAATTGTTATCTCATAACAAGATAATCAGTGTATATGTCGTGTACAAGTTATTACTTGTACAAAAACTTTGTACAAATAATTACTTGTACGATGCCATCATATATGAATGACAAAACCTGGTTTAAGTTATAAAACAGCAATATTTATGTTAAAAGGTACATTTTTCTGAAAATAAAACCTTACTGTTGCTTGTAAATCTCCTGCACGCTCTGTTCGTGAACTATTCTTAATATTTATCTATTTGTGTATCAATTTTACACCTGGATGGCTTTAGGCGCGATGAAAACCCGTCCGCATCTCTTACCTATATCATGAATTTATAAAACCATTTATTTTATATATTTTTTATAAATATTTAAAATATTGAATTAATATAGAAAAATACTCTGTATGTTTCTTAACCCCTGTACAAAAAGTAAAAATGGGTCAGAAATGGTATTTGTTAGAAGCAGCTTTTATTTAATTAATTAACAAAATCAATTGTAATATTTATATTTATATTTATATCTTATTATATCTTTATGAGTTGGTTGATCTTTCAAGTATTGCTTAATTTTTTTATAATGTGTATCTAATACTGTAGTATGTAATTTCACATGTTTCATCATGAAAAATAAAATAATTACAAAAAAAATTAAAAAAAAATTTTATTTTATATATTATTTCTTATCTTTTTAAAAAATCATTTGTCGTCTGTTTATTTATCATTCTACATTAGAAATTCATAACAGATATGCCAATGATGGACGGATGTTTAAAGTCATATGGCAAGTTAAATACATATTCAGGATGAGAACATGTTAACAGTAAGTTTTACGGACGCCATCACGAGTTGGTTGACCGTTATGGAATATCCGTTTCACAGATGATAACGGATATGTTCCTAATGTCGTAACTACAATCCCGTCCCATTTTCCCAAATTTGACCTACCGAATTAGACTTATTACCGGGTTTGTACTAACATGAGCAACACGACGGGTGCCACATGTGGAGCAGTATCTGCTTACCTTCCGGAGCACATGAGATCACCCCAGTTTTTGGTGGGGTTCATGTTGGTCGATCAGTCTTTAGTTTTCTATGTTGTGTTTTGTGTACTATTGTTTTTCTGTTGGTCTTTTTCTTTTTTAGCCATGGCGTTGTCAATTTATTTTCGAATTATGAGACTGAATGTCCCTCTGGTATCTTTCGCCTCTCGGCATCCACTGAACCACAGCCTGAATCACTGACTCCGGCTACTAACATGGATCAGGTTCTTATGGAATGTGAAGAGGTTAAACATGTTTGTGTGTGCTCAACACCCCAAACCTCCAACTTACCTGGGACAATGCTATAACATTAACTGTAAAAATCAGTCGGAAATGGCTTGGCTCGTCAATTTTGCTCGAAACACAAAATCAACTAACAAACTTATACTAAAGACACAATGTACCGATTTTAGAGTACTTGCAGTTTCTGAAAGCTAATTCAAAGTTTATTACAACTAATTATAGATAAATCATGTTATCCCAGACTATAATATAATCTATACACATCCAACAGATTTAGTGTAAGACGTTTTATTAATCTGAAGGTTTAAATCCATAACTCTGGAATGTCTAATCGGAAACGTTATCTTACTTTTACCAATTCCAACAATAATGTAAAGTTTCCAGTTAATCATTTAAACATGTTATTGATGATGACAGATTGAGAGAAGAAAAATATATCAAAATGTAAAGAATAAACAACACCTTATCATAATTATCTTTATTAATGCAAAACAATCTCAATCTATCATCATTAATAACATTACTTCTACTAGTTCCAACAATAATGTAAAGTTTCCAGTAAATCATTTAAATATACTGGTTATGGTACATAATGTGAATAATTTACTTAATTACTTAAAACTAACAGTTAAAGTTCTGCAACTATGGAACGACAAACCAGATTTTTTTCTAAGACGAGCGTATAAAAGGTATTGACAAATACCTGCAAAATGACCTTCGGGTCTTCTTTTGAAACTATATAAACAACAAAATATAAAGAACAAAACATTTTTTGTTACCTATAAACTGATATCACAGTAGTGTATATAAGTGGAAACAAGCACTTGTTGGTAATAAACCTGACTATCGGCTAGATTTAAAATGGGGTTGCGCTTATCTTTTGATTGACACTAATCTCTATATACGTTTGGTCATCAATAATATTTAAAATCTTCGTTATTTTTATCTTTTGTTATTGATCATTTTATGTTGTATGTATGCTTATAGCCCTTATTGAGATTGTTTTGCATTAATAAAGATAATTATAATAAGGTGCTGTTTATTCATTTTTACATTTTGATAATGTTTTCTCTCAATCATTAATAACATGACTATATCGTGAATTATTACTGTTCAAAGGCAAATGTAAGTGAATGAACGTTCCAGGATTATTTTCGTTCAATGTAACTCCGTGGGTAAGGGTAGTTATTCATCGTTGTTCTGGAAAATAAAATTTATATTTCCTTCATCGTAAAATTTGATTTTGTTTATAATTTCCCGTTTATTTAACGAAAACTGTTAAAGAATAGTTTAGATAGTAAATTTGCTCTTATCTGCATACTAATCAATTATACTTCAGAAGAATTTGATACACCTCTTAGTCATATTTAACAAGATGTTGTAATTGTTAGCAGAGCATACCTGCGAGGCATTTTAAATTAAAGGGAAAAATCCATCAAAAGTAATTGGTTATACTTCAAGTCAAATATCATTGTAACTGAATGACAGTGGAACTCTAGGAGGAAACTTAGCTTACGGCCATTTCTCAATATTTCAAGCCGGTTGGCAGTTTATATTTTAGGTTCGTTTCATATACCCTTCTGATAATTGATTTTTTCTAATATTTATGACCTCTTACACGTAATCAATGTTTTTCTTAATGTCGGGAGCACATTGTTTTACTCCTTTCCGTCCGTCCCACACAGGTTATATGATTTTTCCAACCAACTCTTCAAGTTTTCAAGCTAAACACTGATATATTATGTAGAATGTTAGAACACACCCTAAAGGTTTGCATATTGTCAGGATTTTTATTGCCTTTAAACTTTCCATAAATGATGGGTTGTTGAACTTTGTCATTGTAACATAAGGTATGGAGGGTACATTGTTTGTCCGGCTATTATCTCCTACTGTTTTCAAATTTGATATTATGTAGGGTGTTTGTACGTATACTAAAGGTATTGCATATTGTCAGAATGTTGATTTTCTTATTTTTCCACAGAGGAGAAGGGGCGATAAGGCAACATCTTTTGGTTCCTGGAATTCGAAAATCAAAAAAGTATTATAATAGATATAAGAAGATGTGGTATGAGTGCCAATGAGCAAGTCACAATTTCTAAAAGTAAACCATAATAGGTCAAAGTACGGCCTTCAACACAGAGCCTTGGCTCACACCGAACAGCAAGTTATAATGAAAGGGCCCCAAAAATGACTAGTGTAAAACCATTCAAACGGGAAAACCAACGGTCTAATCTATACAGAGAAACGAAAAACACTTATGAACCACATCAACAAACGACAACCACTGAACAACAGGTTCCTAACTTATTACAGGTGCAAACAAATGCAGCGGGTTTAAACGTTTTAACAGGCGCCAACCTTCACCCTAACCTGAAACAATAGTTTAACACCACAACATAGAAAGACACACTATAAAATATCAATTGAAATGGCTTAACTCAATCAAAAGACATATTAACAAAAACAAGTAAACATACACTGAACAAATAAATTTGATCTATGACAATGTAAATACAAAATTAATAAAAAAAAAAGGGGGTGAGATGTAAAACAATATCAGAAAGACAACTATAACCTTGGAAAAAATGCCGCCAAATAAAATAACGTACAGGTAAATAAAATAATTTTGTTGTAAGGTATACATGGAGTACGGAAATATTTTTTACAAAATAAATAATTATGTTGTTCATTGTACGAGAACAGAAGTGAAAATTTATAATCATACCAAACACTTATCAAAGGTGGTATATATTAAAAATAGTGAGACGAGATATAACACAAAATAAGTAAACATAACATAACAAAAAAGCACTACAAATTGTATCAACAGGTCAAATTAACACAAAAGTACGATTTGAGAGTACTCGCTGTTACTGAAAGCTAGTTAAAAGCCAAAAACAATTAATAATAAAAAATCATGCATCAGAGACTAAAATCAACTAAAACACATCCCAGGGATTAAGTGTTTAAAATCATGGACAGTCAAAGAAGACATGACTTGTGCAATGCCAAAATAAAAGTATCGACAGGCAGTAGGATAGTTAGGAGTTAACCTTTTTAATAAATATGTATAATGTTATATATAGATAAAGTAATCTCAATATAGAAATTGAACGTGGATGTGTATTTATACATCCCAAAATGTTTGAAAAGAATACAGATTTAGTTATGTTTTAATTTGCTGATGACAAAATCGATATTTGTGCCAATGTAAACTATATTCAAAGATCTAATAACAACATTTGTAAGATAACTTTTACTAATAAGTTTGTTTAAAGGTTCGATGAGTTTAAATCTACCACCGAATCATATTCTTCCAATTTTCATAAGACATATATGTCTGACATACCAGTATTTGTCGTTTGAATTTTGTCTTAGATATTTGCATTCGGACTTGAATTGGGTGCAAAACTGCAAAAAACTGCCGAAATAGCCTTTTCTATTATGTTTTATCATTAATATTTAGATATGAGCAATAGTTTTACCCAAAAAGATATGATTACCCTCTGAAATAAATTAACATAATTCTAATTGTCTGGCATAATTGTACTATTGTTGCAATTGCAGGAGAAAATGATAGATCTTATCATACATCCTTATTATACGTGTTGTTAAACTTTGACATTTTTTGAGTAATATCA